GTGAATGCGTGGCATCGCAGTGATCACCGCTCTCGCCGGTGACTGCGGGACCGCACAGTAACGCCTCCCACCCCCATCCCATCGCCGCATCCCGTTCAGGGCACGGGCCAGCGGAATCCTCCCGACCTCATCCTGCGACTGCGTTCCGCGCACAGACAATTAAACCGGCGGGCCTCTGTCCACGGCCCAGCGCTGCGAGCGTGCTGCACCGGCCGTAGAGAACGCTTCGTGCCGTGTGATGTGCTGAGCTATGAATTGCCTAGAGCACAACCTACGTAGCTGCGTACTATATTTATTTATAGCTCATTGTCAAATTTCACTTTTGGACGAAGGCTTCCCCGTGCCGTCTTGGTCACGGCCAGTTGTTCGAGCACACTTCACCATTCTGGTTGTTGCGGTTTGGCAAAAGTTGTGGGCAAGTGGATGGAGGGGGTGGTGCCCATGACCGCTACTGATGTTAGCCGTGGCCAGGAATCAAGCTCGGGTAACCGGGTTCATAACACAGCGCGCTAACCACTCTACACAACTCCATCCCACTGTACGTAAATATATCCGCAGCAAAATGTATAAACCCAGAAGGCAGAGAGCCTGAGTAAAAAATGAAAGCTCCATTCTGGCTGCTACCTGGAACATGAGCAGACGCCAGGGACTGAAGCGCGCATCGAGAGCCGTCTCGGGGACCGACGCTGTTTATTTTCACTGCAAATTCCATCGCTCTCACCAGCAGTTCACATCCAAGTTGCCTCGCTGCGCCGTGCTGGCTGCGGCAGCCTGTTTGCCTTGGCCCTCGTGCCCGCGGCGGGCGCATCTCGCGCTCGAGCCGTTGGGCCGTGCCGCCGTGGTTCGTCGTGCCTCGTGGCCGCTGTCACGCTCCCCAGCGGCTCTGCCCAGAGGCGGCGTGTGGCGGCGGAAGTAGTCCGTGAACACGTTTGCTTACATAAGAGGCTTGTTTTGGGTTAGGTCGCGTAAATATATAAATGTGTCGTTAAACCCGCCACCACCCGACACAGACAACTAGTAAGGGTTGTCACGTAAACAGAACGTGCCAATTCGTCACTAGTGCAGCACACCGCTGTGTTGGAGAGCCAAGCCACAACATTTACAATCTCAACATTTACAATCTGAGGATGACGTTTTGCCAGTAATTACACCTAGCTTCATCAGGCGACAGCCAGGTTTGTGGAGAAGTCCACCTGTTTCTTTCCTTATATAGAGGCTTAGATGTGGTGATGGGTTTAACGACATATTTATATATTTACGCGATCTAACCCCAACAACCTGTATTATGGATGATATTGGTCGTGAAAGCATACGTGTTAAACTTTTGCTTGCCTTTAATAATTATTCGAGATAGTATCTCCGCGCGCGTATCATGCCTTGAGTCGTCGCATTCTGCGTCTGTCTACTCAACCTACAATTTATTTCTCACTTTCTCATTCCACGAGTTTGCTATTTTAGCCTACTCTTAGACGCCGGCCGTATGCCTTGAAACGTGGGGAGTACCCACGCTTTACCCCACCGCACGCTACTACCTGCCGATCGCCTACCTGCGCCGTACCCATGCATACCGCTGGGCGCACAGCGGTGGTGGCGGATTTAGGAAAGCTGCACCGTTATTTAACCGCCTGACTGCGAGATCGACTCGAAGCGGTGACCTCTGGATCGCAAGTCCAGTGCACTGGCCATTACACCAGGGCAGCCTTTGATTCCTCATGCAGGGCACTGTGATTGTCGACACGGAGAGCCCTCTGTCATACCCCGCCACCTGTTCACCGTGAGGATTGTGAGGCTTTCATTCCGGCTGTGTGGAATGTAAGATGAGTTCAGCGGCCGCTCGTTGATGAGGTCAAGTTGTAACTCAATAAACGTGATTATTGCCATCCCTTGTCTGCGGAAGTGGCTCAGAGAAAACAAACATCTGTAATGGTATTTCATCTTCCCTCAGTGTGAGCTCTATTTACATTCTGATGAGTATTTTAATTCGGTTACTATACCAACAGAATGAATAATGGTTTCTCAAATTCTAAACGCGTAACAGTATCTTCTGTAATTTTTTGTACTCTTGGACCGGCTAAAACGTTTCTGTTAGGACGAGTGTTTGTGGTTTGTTATGGTAACTTAGATGTTGCTGCGGTGGTGGAATGGTGAGCGCCCTGGACTCGCCGGTTCCATTCCATCCTCCTGCGCGGCAGATGAGACGATGGTGCAGGTTTCTTCCAATAGTAATAACAATAAATAATTAATTATGCAGGAGAGACACACTGAGTTGTACGGCTCTTCTTCAGAAGGATCCTCCATTGGGTTTTATTTTAAGATGTTTTTAGCCAGTTCACGATGAGTGTTTTATTATACACGTGGGAGGAAACCGGGTGCCTGGAGGAAACCCCACGCGCACGAGGGGGCAACGCTCTATCCCCAGACAGATGGAAACAGGTGGCGATAAGTCCGCTTGCTGTACCGCCTTCTCCTGGCGAGCCGGGGTATGTGGCACCTCGACGCCCATGGGAAGGGAGATTCACGACACTTGTGCCGTGATGCACCAACCCATGCTGCCGCCTCCACCGGGCGTGGTGACAGGCAGCCAGGTGCGGCAGCGTAGCCGCCACCGCCCGGCTACATCCCCGCTCCCCCACCTCTATCCACACAAGGGGTATGAATGGGCATGCCACCATTAGTCAATCAGCAGGTCGTGTTAGGTGGGGTAAAGTGTGGGTACTGTACTTCCACACCTGCACACAAGCTGATCATCCCCGAGAGGATATAAGTTCGTATGCAGGTGCTTGGTGGGGCATTGCACTGCAGCGTCATGAGAGGAGGGGGCAGCTTGGGGCGGCCTTCGTCCACCAGTGGATTGACCATGGCTGCTGACGATGATTATGGTAATAACCTTCTGAAGGGGCTCTCTCTCTCTTTCGGGGATAGCTTTTCGCCTGCCGCGGTGTCATCAAGAAATTGCTGGGCTGCACCTTTACCTCCTCATGGTAACTCGGCGGATTTTTCGCTTGCGATCACCGCACGCCCGTCGGCCCGTCCGGACCGCGCGTGGAGCTGCACGCTCGTGATGCGTGTGTGTGTACGTGTGCGTGCGTGCGTGCTTGCGTGCATGCATATGTGCATGTGTGTGCGTGCGTGCTCGCGTGCATGTGTGTGCTCGCGTGCATGCATGTGTGCATGTGTGTGTGCGTGCGTGCTCGCGTGCATGTGTGTGCTCGCGTGCATGCATATGTGCATGTATGTGCGTGCGTGCTCGCGTGCATGTGTGCGTGCGTGCGTGTGTGCGTGCGTACTCGCGTGCATGTGTGCGTGTGTGCTCGCGTGCATGTGTGCGTGCGTGCGTGTGTGCGTGCGTACTCGCGTGCATGTGTGTGCTCGCGTGCATGCATGTGTGCATGTGTGTGTGCGTGCGTGTGTGTGTGCGTGCATGTGTGCGTGCGTGCTCGCGTGCATGTGTGCGTCCGTGTGTGCTCGCTCCGTCCGTGTTCACACGCGGGAGCGCCCCTGGCTCTTTGTGCGACAACTACAAACGAGCGCTTGTACGCGCGCCGATTCATTACCAGCCCTCGGGCCGCGGTTTTTATCGCAGCCGACGTGCGGACAGATGGAATGCATCACGACCAGCTTGGTTCTTGCTCTACGCTCACGGTCAAGGCCTGACACCCTTCTGAATGCTAATCGTTCACTCCCCTTGCTCGATCCTGCGTCTGAGCTCAATCGCGCGTAAGGCGGCACGGCGCATGCACGTATTCGCGTGCATGCGTGTGTGCATGTGCGTGCGAACACGCACGCACATGCACACACGCATGCACGCGAATACGCACACGCACGCACGCATGCTCGCAATTCCTCATTGTGGGTCGCCTCTGCCCATCATCCATCCGGGTTGGACAAATGAGTGCCACTTTGTGGAGAAGTCGACAGTACTATGGATAGACGCAGCCCCTGCCAGAGGAATGAGGAATTTCCACAAACTGGCTCAGTAAGAGGAGGTCGCTCTCACATGTTTTTAAATCACAAACTGTTTTGTTGAATCGATACATGGGGAAATTATTAACGGTGTGCACTGTTAAATATCCAGTATAGAATATTTTGTTTAATAAGATGCCTGTTACTATTATTACAATTTGAGGGGTAGACTCAGTGTTCAAATGTTCATAAACTTTATTTTTTAAAACATAAACTGGATACAGTGCTTTGTACCAACATTGTTTCTTTGGCAAAATGACAAAGTAAAGGCAATCCATCAGGGTCGATGTTGCGTTTGGCACAAAGTCATTCGTTTAAACCGCTTTAACAAAACAGAACAGCTAATTGTGGCTGCTGCAACGTTCTGCTCGCGGCCAACTGACGTGTAATTATGTCTGATTGCGTGTGTGTGTTTACAATTGTGGGGAGCTGTAGTGTAGCGGTTAGTGCTATGCTGCGCTACGAACCTGGCGACCCGGGTTCGATTTCCACTCGCGGCCAACACCGGTGGTGAATATTTGAACCGGTCCTGAGGCTGCCCTAGGTCAGTTCAGTTTTAAATGAATACCTGGTGCAGTGTGTAACATCAGCGCTGGGGAGACAAAGGCGGGTATTATGTTCGCACGATGTATTAAATTACATTATTCACCATCAGCAGCCATGATATATCCACTGCTAAATGAATGCCTCCCCACGAAAGTGCCACCTCTCATGGTCCCGCTATGCCACAGTCTGTTTCGCACACTCCATTAATTGGCCATCGTCCCTTTGAGTGATGCATCCCGCGCAAGCCTTCTTACCTTTCTTTGCAGTCCGTACGATGTCTGAAATCGTTATTGCTGTCAGATCCCTCTGATCGTCTTCCCGTCTCTTAGTGTAATTCCCAGCATGCGTCGTGCATCGTTTCTTTGCACAATTTGTTCGACTCTGCGTGTCGCTCCACGTGCTGGCAACTGACATCGACTGACATCATCACGCGGTTCAACCACAAAGCATGCGGAGGGCACTGTGGGTAAGGGCGCGTGTTTGCCCGGCAGGTTCTCGCGGTGCGAGCGAACGTGCGACGAGGACCCGTGCTGCGAGGGCTTCGCCTTCCTCAGGCGCGCGCTCTCGAGTGGTACGTACTCCCCACGCGTGGGCACCCACGCCGGCTCGGGGTCACGGGTCACGGAGAAGCGCGCGGCGAGGAGGCGAAGCGGCGCTGCCGCGGGCCGAGAGCCGCACTCGGCCCGAGATTGATTCCCGGGATGTCTCCAGACGTACGGCAGAAACTGATTGCGGGGAATTTCTGGTTGGCAAATTATGCACAGATGCTGTGTGTTAATTATGCAAGGTGATCCATTTATGGATTTTCCACTAAAACAATGGGGGAATATGTCAGGGAAAGCAGAATATTTTGCAAAGCCCGTACACGTCTTCTACGAATCTTGATGTCGCGGATTACATCTTTAAGGCCCTTCCAAGTAGTCTGGCCAGCCTGGAAGAGCAGAGACCAAATCCCTCCTCGAGGGGCTATTGGGAGGCTCTCCAGATCCCCCGCGAGCGGAGAACGTTTCCCCCATGAGCGACACGAGCAAGCAATTGAACTAAACTAAAGCTGAACACATTTTTATTATTTTACCAGGTAAGGCCCACTGAGCTATACAGCTCTTTTTCAGAAGCGACCTGGCCACAAATGATAGCTCATGAAGTGGCTTATCACGTGGAAATGTATAGCACCCAAACATTCTAAACGCATGTTTCTAAATATGGAGGTAAAAACCAAAGGACCCGGACAAAACTCGAAGCAACCGTGGAGCAGAACATGCAAACTCCAAATACTGTATACACGCATCAGGATCAAGATCGAACACACGACCTCCTGTATACCAGGCGAGGTCGTTAACATCTCGCCACTGCGGGACCCAAATTGCAGCGCCTCAAGCGTCAAGTTTTACCGTTTACCAGGCCAGGCAGGGAGACCGTGTGGTGCCTGGACGCCACGCACCGCTGTGTGTGACGCCGCGTGCTGCCGTGTGTGACGCCGCGTGCTGCCGTGTGTGACGCCACGTGCTGCCGTGTGTGACGCCACGCACCACTGTGTGTGACGCCGCGTGCTGCCGTGTGTGACGCCACGTGCTGCCGTGTGTGACGCCTCGTGCTGCCGTGTGTGACGCCACGCACCGCTGTGTGTGACGCCTCGTGCTGCCGTGTGTGACGCCACGCACCACTGTGTGTGACGCCTCGTGCTGCCGTGTGTGACGCCACGCACCGCTGTGTGTGACGCCTCGTGCTGCCGTGTGTGCCTGCCGCAGGGGAGGCGCTGCTACAGTGTGCGACGCACACGGGCCCTGGCGTGCAACTCTGCGGCCGCGAGTCACCGATGGGCGCCACGTTTGGGTGCCCCCCTCCCGGGGTGGACACCGCGAGCTCCCTGTTCGGGTGGTACAGGGCACAGGGTAATTCACTTTACTTTGCAGTCACCATCGTCATCCTTTGCTGTTTGTTTGTGCGCACAGTTGCCGTGCACTCTGAGAGAGGGGGAGAAGTGGGAATGTAATCAAAACTGACATCGATAATTGCCCAAGATCTTTGGTGCTATATTGGGATGTTTGGCCGACTCAGTACACAAGGGTTTACATACGTGGGAGGAAAACAGAGAGCACGCGCGTACGGAGAGGGTAACACTCAATGCTTGTTCGGATATAAATTAACCCACTTGCTGTATTGCCATAACCTGGAGATTCACGAGTGTGTGTGTGTGTGATCCACCATCGCTCGCTGCATCCACGGTGGTGGATTACCGGCACGCATAGCCGTTGGCACTTGGTAATACGCACAGAATGCCTCACCACCAAATCTCCCGAGACGCGCTCGATCCCGTCGGGGCTTGGAAGCTAAGCAGTGTTGAGCCTGGGCAATGCTTGGATGGGAGACCACCGTGCGTGTGAACGTTTGATTGATTCATTTTATGGTCACACGAGAGTCAGAACGTGTTCTAATTCATCGGTGTTTCAGCCGTCGTGTTGACCGTTCACCATGATCGTGTCACCCTCAGCACGTTCCAGCCCCCAGACTGCACAGCTCTGCCCTGCAGTGACTCTTCCTCCAGCTCCGACCAAAGGTACCGCACTTGGCACGGCGAGCAGCCACTGGGCCGCTGCTTGCTCACGTTCTTGGTTGGCCTCTAAGACTTCCACGATTTCGTCGGTCGCGGCCGACGCTCGTGCCGGAGGTCCGCGGCGGCGCGCTCCGTCGCGCGCTCGAGCCGCTGGCGCTCGAGTCCGTCTCTACGCTCCGCAAACCTCTCGCGCTCGGACCCCGCAGGCGCCGCCGACGGCTTCCAGTCCCTGGACGTCTCCACGGCCGTGGTCGACCCGACCATCTCGGCCTTTGACGTCGTCGTTCTCTTGGGGCCCGGAGCCGGGGGATCTCCGCGAGCGGCGCCGCCGTCCGACGAGTGGTGCCTGGCAGGTATGGCCCAACGGAGCGCCACCAAATCCGCTGCTATTCCGTTTGTGGCCGCCGTTTGAGCTCCTTCGACCCCATCGGCTGGAGCTCGCTCCACCACGCAGCTCTCTGCCGGGTCCCCCCCCCCACTCTTCTTTCTCTGCTTTCAAATCTCTCTCCCCAGAAGCTTCCTCTTCAACCCCGTGCTGTCGGTGAGGGTGTAGGTGAATGAGTGAGTGGGTAGATGAGTGATTGACTGGATGGGTGAGGGCACAGTTGAATGATTGAGTAGGCGAGTGAGTGGGCGAGTGAGCAGTTGAGTGAGTCAGTGGGCTTGTGAGTGTGTGAGTGAGTTGCTTTCTTTCTCTCCTTTCCCTAGCTCTGTCCATCCCATCACCTTCCATTTCCCCCTCTGTGTGTTTGTGCTCTGCAACGCTTTTTCCCTTACCTGTGCATTGTGAATGGGAGTTGGGGAGTCTGCAGCATGCACTCCTGGTTGATGTCATTACGATGGCATCAGAGAATCGGTGACTTAATATTTTTGCTATTTCTGTCTATGCCTTTATACCTCCTTACAAACAAATCCTCATATCACCGTGAGTAATGTCGTTGAGACCATACTGGGTGACAGTGATGGGAGGTGATGACATGGGGGTTACATTTTATCCATCAGTTGATAGAGCATAGATGTTAACAACGATGGTGATTATTATTTATATTCTAATTTAGGATCGTTATCTTCAGCAGGACCATAACATTTTATGATATGTGTGCCCAACCCCGGCAATACTTTCAATATTCTGATTCTTAAGTGGCACTGCAAAGTTAGTTTGACATATTCTACAATCTGGTGGCTCAGTGGTAGAGTGAGCGGCTCGCATCCTGGTTTGAGGTTGACTCTGCCCACCATCCCTTTGGGGTCAATAAAATAGGTACCACTTTGTCAGGAGATGAGCACTGTACCAATACTCATTTGAGAAAAATATCACGTAGATTTGTTCCCCCCCCATGAGTCCATCTCAGATTGTCTGATGCCGTAGCCACACGTTCAGTGATGGCCGCTTTCCTCCGTACCCACATCAGTGTGGGGGCTGTCTGCAGGTGTGGAGGGACTGGCGCTGTGGGGCACACACACACACGCACACACACACACACGCACACACACACACGCACGCACACACACACACACGTACACACAACAACAACCGCCATTCGCCACTAAGTGGCGGTGACGTCACCACGACGCTTGTGCCAGGCCATGTGCACATTGAGGCCACGTGGAGTGTCGAACGCCCGCTGGCAGGAGGTCACGGGGCAGACCCAGGTGCCACGGGTCGACTGACTGAGATGACTGGCTGATGCACCACCTGTGCCCCCTACTGTGCCAACCTGCTGTGCTTTAGCCACCCGGCGCTCCTCCGCTCTCCGTTGTTGTTGGAGGGCGACTGCCTGCAACTGCCCAGTAGCGTTCTTCACGAGTCTCCTCCACAGAGGCCGATCTTGACACCGCTGGTACCAGTCATCGGCAAGTCCATTCAGCTCCACGTCCTCCTGTACCACATCACTCCATCTCTTCTCTAGCCCGTGCCGCGCCCATTTAGCCCCCTCGATCCGGCCGAACAAAAGTTGTTTCGGCATGCGGTGATTGGGCATGCGGGCTACATGACCCAGCCAACGCAGCCTTGCCTGCCGGAGGAGCTCACCGATCGGACTTTGTCCAAATATTTCAAGGATTTGTGAGCTCCTCACACATCCAGCCTGGTTAAACCCAGGATGGATCGTAGGCAGGCTAGCCTAAATGTTTCTAACTGGCGAAGATGTTCCATTAAGGGGGTCCACGTTTCGCAAGCGTAGAGAAGGGAGGGAATGACCGTGGCCGAGAAGATTTGAAGCTTAGTGCGGAGCGACAGACCAGGTAGCTTCCACACAGCGTTACGCAACCGATGAAAATATATTGCCGCTCGACTGATTCGGAGTGAGACCTCTGCTGTTAAACTGGAGCCGTTCATAAGAACACTGCTAGGTATGGGAAACTATCCACTCTCTCCACAACTGCCCCATCACCGATTGGGAGTTGTGGGGGTGGAGTGTCCGATGGTACAAAATACCCAGGTAGGTGCTTAGTTTTGGTGGGGCTAATGGTAAGGCCCCGTCTCTTAGTGGCACGGTCCAGTTTCAGCAGCAGCATCTCCAACTCCTCCTCTGAATGAGCAGCTATTACCAAATCATCAGCATACATAACGTGGTTGAGCAATAGGGAGCCATCCCTTGACCACACCCGGGCACCGATCAGCCTCCCATTATACCTGTACCAAATGGAGATTCCCCCGGTACAGCTATTGAAGGCTTCATGAACTACATGGTCAAAATAGATGTTAAATAATGTGGGAGCCAGAGGACATCCCTGTCGCACCCCAAGGTGTACAGGGAATGGCTCTGACTCCCGGCCACGTAGTTTTACCCGGGCCCGCTCACCATCATGAAGGTCCTTAATGATCGTGAGCAGAGGGTCAGGGACTCCAAAAGCATGAAGAACAACCCAGAGCCCAGGCCTACTGGTGGTATCATAGGCCTTGACCAGGTCAATAAAGCAGATATGTAGGTCTTGCTGGAATTCCCTACAGCTCTTCTGCAGCAGACGGACAGAAAATATGGCATCTATGCAGGACCACCCTCAGCGTGCCTGGCAAGGCGATGTTGAATAATCCTTGCCTGGACCTTTCCCGGCACACTGAGGAGTGAGATGCCCCTGTAGTTGTTACAGTCTGTGCGGTCCCCCTTCTTAAAGAGGGGGACCACCAGGGCATCCTTCCTATTCTGCAGGACCCGTGCAGTGTTCCAGACTGTTGTTATGATGTCATATAGGGCAGTCTGTGCACAAACGCCACCCTCCCTCAGAATTTTGCTTGGGAGATCATCTCTTCCCGGTGCCTTTCCTGGTCTCAGACTCCGGATCACCTTCAGTACCTCCTCAACAGATGGCACCTCAGCCAGCCACTCACAGGAGGTGACTTCTTCCAATATTTGAGGCACTGCAGCCTCAGCAGGGTCATCTCCACTTTGTGCCACGATGTTTTTTTGGCTGAGGGATTTCCCCTCCCCCAGGACCTCACAGAAATGCTCAGCAAATCTGCAAACCTGTTCCTGGGGGTCGGAGATTGGATCACCGTTTTTTCCCCTAATGATGGTAATAGGTGCGGCGCTGCAGGTTACTTTTTTGATGGAGTTAAATAGAGATTTGTGATCGCAGGCCACTGAGGCAGACTCCATCTCCTCAGCAACCCGTGACCACCACCCATCCTTGCAGCGCCTCACGGCTCTCCGAACCTCCGAGCAAAGGCTGCGGTAAGCCTCCTCATTCTCTGACGTGGGATTCTGTAGCCGATGACAGTGGGCCTGTCGCTTTTTCTCAACTATCCTGAACACCTCCTCTGTCAGCCAGGGTCTCTGGGGAGGTCTGAACCGCGTACCCAAAGCAGCCATTGCAGCTGCATGAGTCACAGTCCTAAACCTCGCCCATTTACCCTCGACATCAGGAGGAGTGGGGGACGATGCCAACCCCATCCGCAAGCGATGATGAAATTCTTGCTTGCAACTTTCATCAGATAACTGAGACCAGGCCACTTTAGGTTGGAATGGGGTCCTGGGTATACACCCACCACCGGAGTGGAAGAATGGCAGGCGCATCTTACAGATGACTAGTCGATGGTCTGAGGACAGATCAGCTCCACGGTAGGTCCTGGTGTCAAGGACATGGGCTCGCATCCGCTGGTCCGTCACTATGTAGTCCAGCAGATGTTCTTGCTTGGACCCGGCATGCATCCATGATGTTGTGTGGATGCGCCGATGCCGGAACAGCATGTTGGTAATTACAAGCCCATGGGCTGCACAAAAATCTAGCACCCTCCTACCGTTGTTATTGAGCTGATCTGGCCCATACCCTCCAATCACTCCAGACCAGGTGCCAGCATCATGACCAACTCGGGCATTGAAGTCACCCAACAAGATGACTCTATCCTGAGGGGCCACTTTAGCCAGCACCTGTGACAGGAGGTCATAGAAGACATCTGACTCATCGGATTTGCCTGCATCCCTCCACAGATATTTGTCTTCGGTGGGGGCATAAGTAACCACGACCACCACTCCTCGCCTCCGGTTGATGGGAAGGCGAGCCCAAAGTAACCTGGAGCTTACAGCTTCCCGCACCTCACCGCCACGCTCCCACGCCCCCTTCATTCTTTTGTTCAAAAGAAGAGCCACACCCTGTTGTTTGGCAGTCTGCTGCCCCGAGTAGAGGACTGTCCACCCCTCATGGTGGCAGGAGCCAGAACTGGTCCACCGGACATTCTGAATGCCACAGAGATCCAGGCGGTACCGGTCCAGCTGCCGACAGAGGAGTGGCAGCCTCTCCTCCACAGTGAGCGTTCGAACATTCCACGTGGCCACACGAAGTGGCTTTTCATTGTTTCTGGAGGAGCCCCGAGGGTAGAGATTCAATCTCCTGGCTCCGCCAATTGGGGTTTGGCCAGGAGACGTCATAGACGCCAGTCCCCCCAGGGCCTCCGGCACAAGCTTATTAGTTACATTTTATATTCGTGGTTTCGTGGTATATTTTTGAAGGTGGAGGGGTTACCAGCCCTCGCACCCGTCCAGAGCCCCCGTTTAGCCACTGTGGTGGTCACAGATGCCATGAGGGGAGGGGCCAATCGGATTTGGCCCTCCCCCCACAGCACTGTCCACGACAGAGTTGCCCGTCCGGCACTGCGCGCACACACACACACGCACACACACGCGGAGGATGTTTTCTGTTTACATTTCTCCTTATCCGAAGGTTCATCTCCGTTCGGCATGGGCGATGTCGTAGCAGCGTCAGCGCCACATCGTCCTTCACCGTAGTCCTGCGATCGTTACGGACCCCGCGTGAAGAATATCGTTAACACCGAGACGCGGTTCCCTGTGATTCCGCGCGCCAGCGGATAACCCGATATACATTTTTTAAAAGCAACGAAAAACTCTCTCCAATTGTTGCCATATGCTCGCCGGTGGATGGATTAATTTGTCAAGATTGCCAGAGCCAGAACACAAAGGGAGAAGAGAAGATGCAGTGCAGCCTGGGGGCTCAGCACACTCCGAGTGCGCCTAGGAACAGAAAATATTTCGAGGCTTTTGCAGGAAGTGCTCCGGGCGGAATAGACCTCTGGACTTTTTTTTGGCAGGTGTCATTGTGTATTTTTTAGTGGAGCGAGGGCTGACACCACCACGGGGGACACACATCGCTCGCCGTAATCCGCTTCCCAAACCTTTCCATCGAATTTTTGTTTATCCTCACTGATCTGCAACCCATGTTTGCGCCCCACGTTGATGATTTCAATCTCCACGGCACCCTCCTTTCAACTTCTAAAACTCTGACCGAATTTTTGGTTTTGGGGGGGGGGGGATTTTAATTATTTTTCTAGCGCCAATCTTAAAATCTTAATCAGTGCCATTTGTCATCGTCCTGACATCACCGGATGAGCCGGAGGAGCCGGAGGAGAATTGTGGGGCAGCGGCGAGCCGTTGTCTGCGACTCGTGAAAGGTTTTGAAAGGGGCGCCGCCCGACACTCGGTCTCGTCGCCGTCGTGAGGACCTCAACGCCAGCGGGCGCAGCGGAGACGGCACCCGGCGGCTTCCTGTGCTCTTGAATCTGCACTCCGCTCTGTTGACGCAGCAATGCCTAGCCCCCCCCCCCGCCACTGTCAGACGTGGCCTCGTTGGCGCCGTGCCAAGATTCCAATATTGTTTGCTAAAACCAAAAAGAATGCTCAGGGCACATACTCCTCCTCAGACAAATGTGATTTTAAAATAAACGGTAGATTATTCAACGTTGCGCTTTATTTACGTTGAATTTAAGCTCCCAAGTAGATCCCTCGGAATATTTGCCTAACCCTGACATGTGCACGTTATAGAAAAGATAAAGAAATGACTCGATCATTGACGGCGGTTGGTACCGTCTCTCGCGGAACGTGCAGCTATCGAAATATTTTACTCAATCAAAGCCCGTCTGAGTTGCGAACGCAAACACATATTTCAGGCCGAGCGGTTGCGAGGCAGGACACTGCCACGGTTCCTATTTTCGGAACGCCCAATACCGTCTCCATCCCGCTCTCTGTCTCGTGGCACGAGGCAAACTTCACAATTGCTCTCAGGCAAATTGTGATCAATGGAAGCACTTGCCGTACAGTTCTTACGTTACGCCGTCCGTGACAGCGGGCGGGCGGGTGGGCGGGCGGCGAGCTGGGGAGCGGGCGAGCGGGCGGGCGTGCAGGCAATCGGAGATGCCACATTCCTGCCGGCTGCTGGCCGGAAGGAGCTCGGAGGGCCCGGGGAGAGAGTGATTAATATCTGAGCGCGCGCCACTCCGAGCGGCCCGGCACTTCCACCCAGGTGCCATCGCGGCATCGCACCGCTGCGTACAATTTGTGCTCTCATCGTCATTGTCATCATCATCATCATCGTCGTCGTGCTGGTGGTGGTGGAGGAAAGCGAGCCCGGCAATGTCTTCCCCGTGGGAGGCATTACGTGCGTCCCTGCCCTTTCATGCCTGCTTCATAGTTTCCATGCGATGTTTCTTGAATATATTTAGCTAAGCAATGGGTTGTGTATTATACGGTTTCTTTTTTTTCTTTGGCTGTCAGGTGTGGTGAGGAATTGCCCCGAAGCAATTGTGTGATGTGTGTGTGGGTGAGCGAGGTTCTTTTTTAGAGGCACGCAGCTTGTCCTGGTTTAAGGTCATCGAATGGAATGCTCGTTAGTGCAGTGACAGGTAGAATAGCCGAGTTATTACACGGAATAGTTTATTTGTAGTGAAGCCACTGGAGCTATGCACTTTTAAATCTGGATTGAAAACTCATTTCTTTAGAACTGATTTTTGTGTTTAGTTTGTTGTCCTTCCCCCGCACCTCCGATCAACACGGTTGGCTACGTACAGTACAAAAGAAGTTCAAAATACATACATCCCAAAGAACAGAGACAGAAAGAAGAACACATGCCATAGAGGGAACATTTACATGTGCATGACATTGTTCAAACTGTGAAGATCAACGAGTGGACTTGCATGCACATTGTGGAGTTAAAGTTTCATCCTTTGAGATATAACTACGACTTTTATAGATATTGAGATATAATGGATAGTTGATGGACAGGTCACGTGTAGAGTATGGTGTGCCTACCTCTTCCAAATGTCTGGCCAGTCTGAAAGAGTCGGCCGACTACCCTTTATAGCGGCTCTCGAGAGCTCCCTCTATTGAAGGCTCTTCTACTTTAACAATGTTTAGAGCAAGGAATTGCGGGGTTACACCTTTACCTTTCATAACTATCACAGTCACGATATGTGGTTAGGATCGTGGTTGACTTTCTCTTGCCATAGACATGTGGAATGTCCAGACCTGTCAGCAGACACTGATCACCACCCAACGCTCAATCTTTTTTGCGTTCAGTTTGTTGTCCTTCCCGCGCACCTCCGAGTAGCACGGACGGCTACGTACGGCGCGAAAGAAGTTCAACACACGTACGTACAACCCAGCTGGAACCGACGACGCTGTCGGAGAGGCGGTGCACGCGGGTCGCCCGCAGCGCCATCCTGACGGTCGCCATCGCCGTGTCCCTCCTTGCAGCGTGCCAGCGGAGCCCGTGGTGCGCGTCCGTGGGGGTTCGCCACCTCGGGGACAGCACGCGCTGCGTGCTGCACGCCGAGACGCTGGCCTGCGGCTACGGCGCCCGGGGGGGCCGCCACTGCCGGCTCGGCGTTCTCGAGCCGCCCGCCCGTCTCTACCGCAAGAAAGGTGGCTCTTCCTTCATATTCCTCCCTCTTATTCCTTCTGCTTCTCCCTACGGCTTCTTCCTTCATATTCCTTCCTCTTATTCCTTCTGCTTCTCCCTTCATCTTCCGTCTTATTCTACTTGTTCCGTTTGGCGTTTAAAAAAAACAAACGGCAAAACATTGAAACGCTTTGTTGAGCCTGGTGATCCACTCCATGGCAGCAGGAGTTGCTTTGTGTGTAGCATCAAGTCTGCATTCCCCACACAAGCATGCTGTGTGGTGAATGCAGACTTGATGCCTTGTGATAGGCGTCTATTTGGTGTTTGAACACCTTACCACCTTCCGTATTCTTTCCGGGAAAGGGTAAAGCCTATTCTACGTGTCAAGATGATTTGACAAATTTAGAGGCATTAATTAATCCCCCCCTTCCCCTTCGCATGTGAAGGGCTCACAAGTGACGTCATCACATATATCCCTCTATTTAAGGAACGAAACAGGAGGATTTTTTCCACAAATCTGACTGTCACCTGATGAAGCTAGTTGCAATTACTGTTTCAAACGTCGTACTCAGATTGTGAATGTTGTGGATTTGCTCTCCAACACACCGATGTTGCTGTACTAGTAACAAACCTTACTAATTGGCTGTGTCGGGTGGTGGTAGGTTTAACGACACATTGATATTCACGCGATCTTACCCAGAAAACCTTTATTATGGTTGACGCGTAGCGGTCGTGCCTCCCGTGTGAGCATTCAACGGGCAGTGGTTGAGGAACTGGCCATGTGCGAGTTCACATCTCGCTTGGGGGTTGACTCAGCCCATAATTCCTCGCTTCAGGGGTCGATAAAATGTGCAGTAGATTGTGAGGAAGTCACCGGTGGTTGTCATGTGGGTAGACGCGCTCTCGCTGTAGGAATGTGGAATCCCACCGCAGGCTCAGCGCCATAGACCGGATGTGAACACCGCCCCAATGCTTCTTTGAGCAGGAGGGCGACGAACAGCTCTGCACTTCACCACATTCACAGCACGCTGTCCCTTGAGTTGTCCCATTGCGGTTGAAGTAGCCGCACCTGCCACGCGTTGTTTGGACCGATCAAGCGAAGCCCATTGCCTTCCCTGCAGGCTCAATCCAGCTCGTTCCTATCTTGGATCTTTAATTCACATCTTCTTATGTCAATTCAAAAGGAGATGTCAACCCAACCACTTGAACCTGCACTTGAACCCAGGGTCTCAGTGGTGCTGGCTCATTGCTCATCCCAGAATGCAATTTTGATTTGAGGAGGCCAGATGGCTCGAAGGTTAAAGGTCACAAGACTGAGCTGGCGTGGCTGAGATCGTGGGTTCTGATGACTTGGCCGGTAAAGACAATAATTGCATGGACTCTATCCATCGTTGGTCTCCTTTCATCGTCATTGCAAAGACAACTCAATCAAATACTTGTGCGTGTTCTTTACGTGTTCTATAAAATAAGTTAAAACATTCCACCGACATTGCAGCATTAAATTATGCTTTACTCCACCGCAAAAGGAAAAAAAAACATGTCTAACAGTTCCAACATGTTTTAAAGAAAGTTATTCGTTTTACTTACTTTCCATCAGAACCTAAGTTTTAAATAGAAAAATACTGTAAACCCTAAGAGTCGTTGAGAAATGCCAGCATTTTCCCTAAGATGTTCTTGTAAAATACTCTGTGTGGGTTCTCAAGAATGTGCCATTTCGGACTGGACAGTTACAAATGTGTTGGAGAGATCTGTGAAGTTCAGAAAGTTATGTCGGCTTGAATAGCCCTTTGTTTATTTTAGAAATGCAACGATCACAGCAAGAGCGACCAATCTCCCTTTGCAGATAACCTATGGTGTGACACTTAAATTCATCTTCTTTGTATAAATTTATACCGTGTATGCTTTTGCGATATGGAGGAGAAAAAAAACCCACACAAGGAACCTCATTGTCTTCGGGACAAACCCGTGAAGGATGAATTCCTACTGTCTTGCCAAGCCGGTAACTTTATAACCTGGGGTGTTGATGTACACTATCACATCACCCTCCAGGCCTCAGCTGAACAAACACCGAGCGGCTGCTGTAGGCTCCGAAACGCGCCACAGCCGCTGCTGCTGCTGCTGGTGGTGGTGGCGGTGGCGCTCCGTTGGCAGATGGCAGAACTGCTCTTCCGAGCGACGCAGGGCATACGAAAGTCTCGGAAAAAATATCCGTGGCCGGCGAATGGCATGCCTGCCGCTTTTGGTGGCCTCTCTCTCCGGAAGAGTCGTGGTTGTGCCCTGCTGGGGGTCAGGCCACATACCCGCACCCCCCCCCCCCCAGGCTCTGCTTGTATAGGTCACAAGCTGTATCTTGTTTTGGGAAGGGACGGCCGTAACGCTTTAACAAATATAACTGTCGATGAGATAGTTCAAACCGCAGTGTGTCGTCACATGTCACGTGTTGTCACATGTTGTGTGTCGTCACATGTCACGTGTCGTCACATGTCACATGTCACGTGTCGTCACATGTTGTGTGTCGTCACATGTCGCGTGTCGGCACATGTGGCGTGTCCGCCCTGACCCCCCACCCCGGTGCAGTGTTTGTGCACAGTGGTGTGACCGTCATTTTCTGTAGACGTTCACAAACCCCACCTATTTTACGAACAGCCGTTGTCTTCTTCACATCGCGTACATCCGCTCGCTACTAAAGCACAGCCAAGTCCCACCAAGTTTAAAGCAGCTTTGCGCTTTGTTTTCGCCCAGTCACCTATGTGTGCACGATGGTGTAAATTACACATTTTTATAGGTGTTCACGTATCCGTTTTGTTTATTTCACATGTCTGAGTTCCCAGTTAGTTGGATGTGCGGCATTGTGCTGTACATCTGTAGCATAGGGGATTGACGACCACACAGGAAAGGTATTCCTACGATAAATCACCGTGAATGAACGCTACCTTGTTGGGCCTCAGAAGTTCAGCAGGGCTGTGCCTGGTTAGTACATCGGTGAGAGCCTGGCTGGCATGACGAGATGGTGTAAGCCTGGGCTGTGTAAGCCTAGCTGTGGTGACGAGGTGGAGTAAGCCTGGGCTGGGGTGACGAGGTGGAGTAAGCCTGGCTGTGGTGACGAGGTGGAGTAAGCCTGGCTGTGGTGACGAGGTGGAGTAATCCTGGACTGGGGTGACGAGGTGGAGTAATCCTGGCTGTGGTGACGAGGTTGAGTAAGCCTGGCTGGGGTGACGAGGTGGTGTAAGCCTGGCTGTGGTGACGAGATGGAGTAAGCCTGGCTGTGGTGACGAGGTGGAGTAAGCCTGGACTGCAAGGTGGCTAGGGGATGGCAGCACAGCACTGAATGTATCGAATCTATCTGTATTGAACTTTGAGTCTTCGTAGTCTATGCAATTTTATGAACTCCTTTCTCTCCGATCCTTGTGTTGTTCTCTCTCTCTGTCCCTTGTGTAATTTCCAGTGTGCACCTCTCCATGCATCAGTGCGTACTATTAAAGTTTTGTTCCAGCTTCTTTGTGTCCATATTTCTGCTCCGCATGTGAAAGCAAGTATTACGCTCCAAATGAAAACGTTCTTCTTTCCGCAACTGGTACATTACTTTTCCTTCATCGAGTTCACGATCTTAACAACAACGCCCCTGCTGCCGTCCGCCTGTCTGTGCACCTCATTGATTGCCCTCGGTGTCCGTAACTCTGATGCTGCGTGTCTGCTGCGCTGCACGCACGGTGCAGCGAGCCTGGGCACCTCCTGCGCTGCCCGCTGTGGCCTGTACTCCCCCGGGCAGCCCTGCCAGTGCAACCGCGAGTGCCAGCGCTTCGGAGACTGCTGCCCTGACGCTGCCGTCTGCCTCGGTGAGGGTGACCGCCTCTGCACGCGACTTCACGCCTTCGTTCAAATTTATTGCCACCTGAGCACGAGGATCAGCAGACACTGCGAGTGTTGTTGACTTGTGACAGATGTGTTACTCGCATTCAGAAACCTTCATCATCATCATTATCATCGACGACGGTTGTCTTTTCCGTCAGCTCATTTGTGGAGAAGGGGCCGAATTAATCTCCACAGCGGTTCTCTCTGTCCGGTGTCGCTGCCCCGCTCGCTCTCGATCCTCTCTCTGCTCAATCTCTCCCCGCTGCGTCCGTCCCTCCGGGTTTCCATCTCTTCTCCCCTCCTCGAGTCTCTTCTGCCACCTTCGTGTGCAGCCTCGCCGAGTGCGGGAATCACGCCCGGGCTCATTCATTTTTTTGTCTTACCCCCCCCCGCCACCTCCGATTATCACGATTTGCTACGTACGGTGCAAAAGAAGTTCAACATACAGACATACAACGCATCCGCACCACCGCAGGCCTCTCACCTTCACTTGGTCTCGTTGTTATTCCCACTCCTAATAGTTTTTTTTATTGTATTTTTTGTATCGACAAGTCTAGGATCCTTTCCAACCAATCACTACGGTATTTCTTCATCGACTCTCCTTGTCGCCCAGGCTTCTGCCCTATGTAGCTGTCACCATCGCCGTGTATACCACGGGAAGGTCGACGAAGTGCAAATTATGTCTTAATAAAGTTGACTCATAGTACACTCCTAATTTCCCGCTGACATGTTTACAGCCGCCCTGGAATTTAGTGTCAAGCCAGTTCAAGGTTGTCCTTAGGCGACATATTAATCATAAGATCATGAGTTATAAATTACGTTTTACAATGCATACACGTGAAATTCCATATATGTATGCCTAGAATGAACTTTATTATTATTATAATAATGACTTATGCATAGAAAAGTCTTCCTGAGTCTCAAGATTCAATTTCAGGAGGGTCCTGCATAAGGATGTCTAGCTAATTCCATGAATTTATTTTTGACATGTGGGAAGTAGACCGGAGTACCAGATCAGGTGTAGTGATATAGAATGGATCACTACAGACTACAGCGCATACTACTAAGTATAGTAGAATGAGGAAATATGGGTGTAGAGCAGGGATGGGGAACCTTTTTTCTGCCAAGGGCCATTTGGATATCTATAACATCATTCGCGGGCCATAAAAATTATCCTGTTATATTTGGTCAAACATTTAATTAACTCACCCTTAATGTGATGGCTGGAACTGCTTCTCTTTGGTGAGACGTGTGATGTTAGCTGGTATTGATGATGTTGCTACTCGCAACTGCTTTTCCAGGTTTGCTCCTAGATTTGTTGAATTTTGAGTCCCGCCTGCGGTTGCCTTGGCAGGGCCAGACCAAATGATTTCGCGGTGCCTTATACGGCCTGCGGGCCGGACGTTCCCCACCCCTTGTGTAGAGGCTAGCACACCATGCAGTACCACACGGTGGGTCGCTAGGGTGCGTGGTACTGGGTGCTAGCAGAGAAAGGCTGATGAGTCCTACCGACAGAGTAGGGGATAGCAGCCACTCCGCCAGCACAGCGAGTGAATGCCACGTAAATGGTCACTAGGGAGCATGGTGCGGGATACTGGCAGAAAGGGGCATATGAGGACGAGTCACACGGGCCTCGGGTGAAGCACGTGATGGGCCGGGGTGGGGAATGTGGGGCAAAGTTGACCGAGGGGACATGGGAAGTGTAGCCGGGAATCTTCTGGAGAGTTCCTGAAGGGGGCGTGGTTAAGGGTGGAGCCAGGCAGGTGGCACGTGCAAGGTAGCCTGGTACCTTTGGGAACGTTCCAGAAGGGGGCGCGGCCGAGGGCGGAGCTAGGTCACGCCAAGAGAGGTAAAAAGAAAGCCCCGATTTTTGATCGGGGCTGTCTACAGGTGAAGTGAACCTGAGGTGCTACGTCTTCGTCTCCGACGTCGTGGGTCAGACAGCACGTTGGCTGCTCTGACCCGTTTATAGTTATCTCGTGTGTAACGGTGTCTAAGAGATAGGCATATCGTAGTCCCGTGTGTAACGGTGTTATATTGTGTAAATTAAATGTTGTTGCCTCCTAACTAGTGTCTCTGAAGTGACTCACTACATTTGGTGTCGGAAGTGTTAACGATACATTTTTAACAAATAATCAGAAAAGATTAGTTGTCTATATCGACGCGGAGGAAGAAACTCACCGTGATGTCTTCGGATGAGGAAGACGACGGGGAGGTGATTCCCCAGACAGCCCCAGGATCCGACAGCCTGGAGATGATCCCCGCGGAGGTGCTTCCGGCGGAGTAGCATGAGGAGGAATGCAACTCCGCACTGTTACTGCCCGGAGGGGGACGCCGGATCAGGAGCACGTGCCTCGTGGACATACTGTCTGCGGCGGCGGCGCTGGTTTCCAAAATTGAGATGGAAGAACCGGCAGTGCAGGATAAACGCATGGACAGCCCTGCCACCACCATTTCGCGAGCGCGGAAAGCGCGGAGCCGCAGCCCACGCGGGTGGCCGCCATTTTGTCGGCGGGGCGGGAAAAGGCTCCTGCCAAATTTGACGCGCCGCCGAATTTGCGCTCGGAGATGCCCACCCTGGGGAAGTGGCTGCCGCTGGGGGTGATTGGGCAGCTTTTCAAAGACGTTTTTCCGCTACATGCCAGCTGGCTGGATGGACTGGCGCTGAGGCGCTGCTGACGACGCCTTAGCGGCCTTTTATGCGATTCCCCCGATGGACAGGACAACATTGGCGGCTGCTTGCGCACAGATGGCGGCTATCTTCATCCCGCCATCCAATGTGTGACAGAAGTTTGCCACGCGGAGATGGGGGGAGACCGAGATGCCTCTCGCCTTCTGCAGCGCGCTGATGTCACTGGGCCAAGCTGCATGCCCCAAACGGGGTTGGATTCCCTAGTGTTGGAGAGGTTGTTGGCGTTGGCATGGGAGCTGGAGGTTTTTTTTGTCTGCCATGGAAGATGACGACTTGATGTCCATTGAGGTCGCGCGCTTCATCCAGGCGCATTGTAATTTTCGCTGGCGAGTCGGGGTGGCCGCCTGTACTGGACAATCGGGGGAGGTCGAAAAGCCTGAGGAGAAGGACCTCCCTCCAGTCTGTGCATCTTTGTTGGGGAGTCAGCGGGCGAGGACCGACGTGGGATGGCGGCAGGAGCAGAGACAACATGGGAAAGTCGTCACTTCCCCGTGGAGGACTCCCGTCATCTGCTTCAAGTGTGGCCTGCAGGGTCACGTTTCCAAGGGATGCCGCGCCAAGCAGGGACAGCTCGTCGCCCCTCCGCCATCTTCTACCCCGCCGACCTCCGCTCCTCCGAGCCCAAAGGCGAGTCGCGGCACATCACACACGCGGCCCACACAGTCACCTCAGGTATCTCCATCACAGACTGTGTCGGGTTCGCGCGTCGCGGGTTATAGTTATTTCGCGGCGCGTGAGATGGGGGGGGGGTTGAGTGTGCTGGATGGCCGCGGTGTCCGGGGCAGTAGACAGCGCTGGTGCATTGGGTCGTAGCAGCGGCAGCGGGGCTGTCCGCAGTCGTAGGGACGGTGCAGGGTTTAGAAGTCCGGGTACTGATTGATAAGGGTGCATCTGCCACCCTTATTTGAGAGTTAATCTATAGGCCCTTGCCGCCAAAATTGGCTTGTTTGGGACCTGTTGGTAGTTCTTGTGTTGCCATTTAGGTATTGTGGGCCAAATATATACGACGATCCGGATTGGTGATATTGAGATGACGGGATCAGTGCTGGTTTCGAAGTCACTGGCTGTGCCTTGTCTGTTGGGGACTGATTTTTTTTAAGAAGATGCCCCTTAAAATTCGAATTGACCAGGGTTGTGTTGAACTGCCATCGGGGTGTCATTTGGCGTTTTTGTCTTCCCAGACTCGTTTGAGTATGACTAATGCTACAGCTCAGGCCCTGGTGAGAGAGACTGTTCGAGTTCCCCCGGGTGCACAAATGCTTGTACCCTTGCGACTGCAAAGCAGCTCGACTGGGAAGTTACTGCGGGGGGGGGGGGGTTCTCCTGACCCCCTCGAACAGAGCAGTTAAGGGTCTTATGCTGGTGGGGGTCCAGACGATAGTGAGGAGGGATCAGGAACCCTTCCTCCAGGTGTTGAATGCAGGATTGCGTACCGCGGTTGTTCAAGCGGGTACGGTTTTGGCCCACGCGATGGCCTCGGTGGAGTGAGGAGTGGCATCGGACGAGTTGTGGATGGATGTGTTTTGCTCGGAGAATTGGGATTTGACAAGTGAGCAGAGGGACAAGTTGCGAGCCCTGCTCCGGGAGTTCTCCGATGTTTTTAGTAAGAGCAAATTTGACAATGGCCGCACGTCTTTGATGCATCAGCATATTGATACGGGTAGCGCCGCTCCCATCCGACAGAATTATTTTCGGTTTATTCCTAAGGAACAGGACCATGTATGTCAGGCGGTCGATGAGATGTTGGCCGCCGACATTATTTCTCCATCCACCAGTCCGTGGGGAGCGCCCATCATTCTGGTTAAAAAGGACAGGAGTATGAGATTTTGCATGGATTTTCTAAAGTTAAACAAGGTCTCCGTGGCTGATGTGTATCCGCTCCCACGGATGGACGATTCATTGGATGCCTTGGATTTGCTATCGGGGTTTTGGCAGTTGCCCTTGGATAAAAATTCCAAACCAAAAGCAGCGTTTCGCACCCCACAAGGGCTTTTTCAGTTCAACTGTCTTCCGATGGGACTTCATTTGGCCCCGGCCACCTTTTATTCTACTATCAGGACTCCAGTGGGATTCATGCTTGATTTATTTGGATGACGTGATCGTCTTTGGGCACACGTTTTAAGAGTATTCACGGCGATTGTGCTCGGTGTTTGTCAAAATGCGGGCGGTAAATTTAAAATTTAAGCTGCAGAAATGTCATCTGTTACAAAAGTTGGTTCATTACCTGGGTCACATTGTGAGTGAGGCCAGTATTTCTATGGACCCTGACAAAACTGCTTGCATGCGCTCGTGGCCAACCCCCACGTCGGAGGGTGAAGTTCGCAGTTTTGTGGGGTTCACGTCATATTACTGCTGCTTTGTGCCCAAGTTTGCAATAGTCACGAAGCTGCTCCACGCGGTCACTGCTAAGGGTCAGAGATTTCGGTGGGGGGAGGAGGCCGCTTTTGTTGCATTGCGAAATGGCCTCATGAATGCGCCTCCCCTTCGGTACCCCGATTTCTCCGTACCGTTTGTGCTGGACACGGATGCCAGCGACACCGAAATAGGTGCCATGTTGCCACAGGTGGAAAATGGGGTGGAAAGTGTGGTCACTTATGGGAGCCAGGTGTTGGCCTTCGCAGAGCAGCGCTATTGCATTATGTGCCGCGAGTTGCTGGCCATCGTGAATTTCGTACAGCAGTACCGTCCGTACCTCTACGGTAGACATTTTGTGGTACGCACGGATCACGGGGCCCTGCAATATGCGCTGCATGTTGATCAACCATCTGGACAGCTCTCGCGCTGGTTAGAGGTTTTGCAGGATTACTCCTTCACAGTCGCCTACAGAAAAGGGTTGCGCCACTGTAACACAGATGCTTTGTTGCAATTGCCGCCGAAGGGCCAGCGTGCATGTTTGACTGGGGCCGGGCATTGTAAACCAGTAGGTGATGAAGGGCCTTGCACCATGATAGTGACGGTCGCGCGCGACAATACCATCGGTCTTGCGCATGAAGAGTGGGGGCGCCTCCAGTCGGAGGACTCCTCCCATCTAAAAATGCGTTACCACGTCGACAGCAGGAAGGGTCCAGGGGGCATGTCCACCATGGTCCTCCGAGACGGTCTGCTTATGAGGTGGGGTGCAGAAGTGCAGCGCTACTGCATCATTGTGCCGACTGCCCTGCGGGGTAAAGTTGCGAGAGCTGTCCATGTGCAGTTAATACACCTTGGTGTGCAGAAGACTTTGTCTTCTTTGAGGCGAGACTTCTTTTGGCCTGGGATGTCTGAAGACGTCCACAACATTCTTCAGGGATGTGTGCTAGCCCGACCACCGCTGCAGTCTATTGGGGTGTCGCACATATATGAGCTTGTTTTTGTTGACATCCTCAGCCCCTTTTCCCACCACGCCGAGGGGAAATACATTTCTGCTCATGGAAGTAGAATACCTGTTACTGTGGGCTGTAGCATGGCCCCTGCAGGATCAATCAGCTGCGTCTATTACTGACTCTTTCATTCATGGGTATGTGTTAGACAAGTGGGCCCCGGAACGTCTCATTATGGACCAAGGCCGAAAATTTTCTTCCAAGCTGTTAAAGAAAGTACGCGACCTATTGGGCACTAAGAAAATTCGGACTTCGCCCTACCATCCCCAGAGTGATGGGATGGTGGAGCGTCTGCATAGGACAACCACGTCTATGTTGTGCCAGCAGGTCAACGAAAGCACAGTCCGACTGAGACTTGCATGTTCTGGGTGTTCTCGCAGCTTATAGAATGGCCCCTCACACCTCTACCGGGTTCTCCCCGTTCTTTTTGATGTACGGGAGAGAGTATGATCCCCCCATGGATGAATATCGAGTCGAGTGCTAAAAAGATCGCTGTGCCGGAACTGAAGCGCGGGAAGCGTCCTGTCTGAATTTGGCTAAACTGCAAGCGGCATATGAAAAACTGGCGGGGCTTCAGGAGTCAGGGAAGCCATGGAACGTTGGGGATAGGGCATGGTTGCCCTGCCCCCAGGTGCCCTTGGGCACGTGCCCTAAGTTGCATAGACCGTGGCAGGGCCTGGTCAAAGTGATAGAGGTCAAGAGGCCCCAATGTGTTCGGATCCAGGTCGGTCGCAGACGTTGGTATGTGCACCCGTCGCGGCTGAAACCGCATTTTCCGCCTTGTCATGGTGTTTCATCCCCACTGCCCCGAGGCCGGGTGTCTGATGTGCCCGACGAGCGCGGGCGTGCGACCGCCGAGGTTGTGCCTCAGTGGATTTCTGTTCCTTCGCCCACAGGGATCCAGCACTTGACGACCACGGAGCCACCCGTTACACCGTCGGAAAGCAATCCAAGGAGGAGGAAGCGGCCGACATCCGCTTCTCCTCCTCCCCCATCTTTTGTCCAGGAGGGGCCGCACCCATTAGGCCATCTTCAAGTCGTCCCCGGGGTCCCCGGGAAGCCCGCCCTTGTTCCACCTGGGGGCCGGCGACGAGGACCCGTTCCAAAACTGTGCGGTTTAAATGACCGCCCCGGTCACCCTATTTATTCTGCCACCGCCTGGCAAAAGGCCACAGCCACGAGCCGGGCTGTGTTTGCCGGTTGAACTGGCTCCTTCCTGGGTTCGTGGTCTGTGGCGGGCTAGCGGTCGTCGGGTGTTGTACATAGTCCAGGGGTGGGTTATTGCAGTGCATCGCAATTTTTTTGTGGTTTGCATTGTTGTTGTTGATTTGCGAAGGAAGCTGACAGTTGGTCGTCGTTGCTGTGTCAGAATTGTTGTTGATTACTGTTGGTCGTCCCGTTGCCATCTCCCTCCCCAGGGGGCGGCCAGGGCCCCGTGAGGCCGGTGGTGCCGCTGGGCTCGGGACAGCTCCAGGGGGCCTCCCGGACGGTGGAGGTCGACTCCCAGGTGAAGGTGGTCGACGTCTTCCTTGGCGTCCCCTACGCTGCGCCTCCGCTGGACGCCAACCGCTTCAGTGGCCCGCAGCCCCCGCGGCCGCTCGCCGTCAACGAGACATGGGACGCAGACCGCTACAAGTACGCCGCCAAACATGTTTTTAATTGTAAGATTCCAAATGTCGCTTTTTTTTGGGAGTGTCTGTGGTTTATGAGTTGTTGTACGTGCTCTCCAGGGCATTGCAAATAAAAGGACGTGGAATTGCATCGATGTAATAGTTATCCAGAGGTTACCGGTGCAATTGGATTTGATCTCCCGGCGCGGGAGTTGTAACAAAGGTGCAAATTTCTTGAAATCTGCCCACCTCTGTACACCAATCAGTTTAAATGGATGCGTTGTAATTGGTCGATTGGCAAATTACATGTGGTGGGTTAAAGTGTAGTTGCATTTGCCTTTTACTAGAAGTCCAGCCAGTGTGGAAGAGTCGGCCAAGGGCTCTATCGAGCTCCCTTTAGTAGAGGCCCTTCCACCAGCAGTAGCATGAGCACTCAAGTATAGTCCTGCACCTTTACTTTCTTAGGGTAACACTGAGCAGCCAGCATTACCTATGGATAAAGGCATGAACATCTGAAACATTGCAACCATCTGAATATCTTTCTTCCCTCTGATAATATATATGACACTCTAAGTTCTGGCATGCCAACGAAATACAAATTGAGCAGTTAAAATGGATGAAAATGTTTTTTTTGCAAATTACTCTAATGTGATTCAGTGCTTCAAAAACACATGAATCTGTGGTGCATTAGAAACAAATCTTGTACCGATTTTGTAATTTATGATGTCTCTGAACCTTGCTTTTTCAAAAACTTTTTCCTGAACCACGATCCAGGATTTTCAGGCCAAATTCTGTGAAAGAGTAGCGCATGAGGTAGCATTGGCGCAAATGAAAATATTCCGCGCAAAAACATAAAAAACGATGAATAAAATTAAATTTGTGTTGAGGCTTATATAAAGGCCTCTTGGGGGTGTATTCATTTCTTGAAAAAATATTTCAAGAAATTAAATATTTAACGTTGACATTCCGTGCATCTCCCGCATGCCTCCCTCCTTTCCCTCACCCGCCGTGCGGACGTAGAGAGCGGAGGTTCCCTTTGCAGGGCGAACGAACGGTCGCTTGCAGGTGTACTCTTCATCACTGGAGACACCCAGGCTCGAAGTGCCCTTCTCAGGGTTACAAATGGACAATTGCGCCCGTCCGTAAGCTCGGCGCGTCACGTTATTAACAACAAACCAAAGTGTACTGACACCTTGCTGGGTGGGACTAGGCCGGACTGTCTCCAGCCAGACGGTCAGCGAGGCACCTCCCTGTCTGAAGATTGTCTCTACCTCAACATCTTTGTCCCCAAGGTCAAGGTGAGATAAAGGCCTCCCTACGCCGGCACAGTCAGAATGGAGTGGCAGCGCGGTGCCTCGCGCATAGCGACACGAACCCGCCGATGAGTTTTATTCCTGGTAGTGGCTAACGCGAGTCTCCAGTAATATCCGAACCGGTCCTGGCCCACCCTCCTCTTCGCCAGCCTGCACTGACCAGCCTGGTGACGTACGATCAGATAATCCACGTTATCCTGGGTAGATCTAGCCTGGCTTTTATACAAATTGAATTTAATATTCCCCGAACACACATGAGGCCTGCCACTTCGAAAAGCCCCGCAAATTACATTTAACTATCACTGCGAGGATCTTAACCACACTAATCGGTTACTAGATGGGAGCATTTTTGACCTGGCAACACGGTGGCTAGGAGATGTTATCTTACTCGCCTGGTATGTAGGAGATCGTGGGTTCGATCCCTACTGTGACGCCTGTATATTTGGAGTTTGCATGTTCTCCCCGTGATTGTGTAGATTTTTCTCCAGGTCTTTCACTCGGCGCTTTTATCTCCCTTCTCTCCGAGTAGCCGCACAACGCCTCCGTGCTTGTGTTCTTCCCCGGAGGAGACAACTCCTTCGGGGGCTCGGCTCAGGGCCCCCTGGATCCCTCCTACCTCGCCGCCCTGGGCGACATTATCGTGGTCACGGCCAACTACCGGCTCGGCCTCTTTGGCTTCCTGAGCACCGGTGAGGTTTGAACCCCTTCCCTCCGCTCTCCCTCGCCGGCTTCGACTGGCACGGCCACCGGCGTGCCCATGCCGAGCCAGCCCGGTTGCGGCCCATGAGGTGCCAGTTTGATTTTTCCACTGCAGCAGCTGATGCGCGCCGCTGATGTCACCATACGCAGCGAGTGAGTCGAGACGTATCTAGACGACGCGGTGACGCTGTGCTTCACTTGTGCTCACACTAACCGGTGTGGTGAAAGACGATCAGATAACCGCCGTGACCAACAATATGTGAGGATGCTATCATCTAGCAGTGGATTGACAAAGTGCTGAAATTATTATTATCATCTCCAATGTCATCATTGTCAGCATCAAGTTTTGCAGCACCTTTAATGTTACTCGGCATCATCATAAATAGTACATCGTAGTACATCGTAGCTGATAATCCTGATTATCATTCAATCAATATCATCATTATATGCCATACCTTATTGTTCGAGAACATCCTCATCATCCTCATCATCCCATGGGGGGGCCAGTTGAGCCGTTGTGTGCAGGGGGCCACCATAATGGTGATTCGCCGCTCAGTAGGAGAGTGATCGTGAGTGTTGCCACAGGGACACTTGGTGGTGCAGGTCGCGCTCCATCGCCCCCCTAGTGCCGGCCTTGATCATCTACAATTCTACATGAACTGATTTGGACGCCACGGTGGCGAGATGTTACTACTTCGCCTGGTATACAGAAAGTCGTGAGTTCGATCCCGACCCTGACGCCTGTTGTATATTTGGAGTTTGCGTGTTATCCCCGTGGTCGTGTGGATTTTTTTATGAGTCCTCTGGTTTTTTCCTCCACATTTAGAAAAGTCCGTGTAGAGTATTGGCTGCTATAAATGCCCACATAATGATAAGCCACTTCGTTGAGCTATTTGTGGTCAGGTCGCTTCTGCAAATAACTACATAGCTCAGTGGGCCTTACCTGGTAAAATTAAATAAAAAGTTTAGTTTAGTTTATTTCCATTTTCTCGGAAATATTCTTACACCCGTTGAGTTTGTAAACTCGCAAAGGCACATTGAGGCCAAAGGGGCTGCGATGATGACAGTCGGAGCCGTAACCTGCCCGCTCTCCCCGCTCGATCTCCAGGGGACGAGGCAGCGGCCGGCAACTGGGGCCTCCTGGACCAGCAAGCCGCCCTGCGCTGGGTTCGGGACCACGCGGCGCTCTTCGGCGGCTCGGCCGGTGCCGTGACGGTCGCTGGCGACCGGAGCAGCGCGGACAACGTGGGGCTGCACCTGGTGGCCCCGGGCAGCCGAGGCCTGTTCCAGCGCGCCATCCTCATGGTACGCCGGCACGCCCGTGACCGCTCCCCACCCCCCCTCACTTTGCACGCCCGTGGCACGAAGCCCGCAGCTGTCCGCGGCTACTTCTGATGGACGTCGCTGGGCCGCGTCTAATCAGCTCAAGTGTCCCGTTGTGAGTTTACAAGTCTTGTGGGTTAGAACGACAAGAGCCACTTTTTCATTATTATTATTTATTTCCAGACTCGAGACTTGTCGTCTCAATAGGTTGTCTGTTCGCTTTAAAGGGTTAAGGTGCAGCCCTGCAATTGCTTGCTCACACCTCTGCTGCTCGTAGAAGGGCCTTTCCACTCCAGGGGGCTCTAGAGAACCCCTCCAGAAGGTATTTTGCCTTCTAGATGGCACTTGGCCTACTCTTCCACGCTGGCCAGACATCTTGGAAGACGTGGAAGTACCCACACGTCACCCCACCCCGTGTGGTAATATAATTATAAACAGGCTTAATTAATTTGAGGCAGGTCTGTCTAAGTTGGTGGTGCGTAAAATATCTCGTTTCCCAGCACACTACATCCAGTACACCCCTTGCTGCTATGGTTCTGGCTACTAGTCCTGCGCCTAGTCGAGTCTACCAGCGAACTGGAAAATATTCAGTGAGGAATTAAGCAAGGCCTTGTTTTGAAGGATATGAACATTACGTACATTCCTGCTGCATGCGAGGCATTTATCCAGCGGTGTATTGACAAATGGCTGTATTTTATTATTATTATTATTATCATCACGACATGCATAAACACATAAAAGTAACTGTTGCACAGAAAAGTTATTACAGTTAAGCACGATTGCACTGTGCTCTGGAAATGTGTAAAATCCTTTGGCTTATTTCCAGAAACCTTTCACGGAGCCTCTAACTGGCCTCGCGCAGACATCCATAAAGGCTGCGTTAAAAAATGACCACGGCACTTATAATACAGCTGGGTCCAAAATGTTTAAACTGCAGCCTAAATGTCACGTAAATTGATCGTGCCAACGATTTACCACAAGTGTTCAAAACGGCCCGCACACAGCACTGCCAGCGGATGTATCGGCGGCCACGTGATACGTCTCTTGGTCACAGCTGGAGTGACGTGAGTTTGAATGATCTTGACAGACCACCTAGGCCTACCTAAATAGCAGAGTGCGTCCAGCTATGCGTGAACAGTCCAACGTTGCCATTTAAACTCCGCCGCCCTGCAATGTGTTTGTTTTATGCGTTTGTTAAATATGTGGGAACTACGTGGCACGCACAGCACGACCCATCGTTGTAGCGCACTCATGCGCTCTCACGTCCGCGCTCTCCGCCCTCACAAACCCGCACGGACGAGCCTGGTGAAGTATGGTCAAACAACCTCCAAGACCGACACGGCATGGGGAGGCCTTCATCCAGCAGTGGATTGACAAAGTGCTGCACATAGCTATATCTCTAGCGGCCACAATGAGAAACCAGATTCTGCCGTGGTGTTGCAGCTCTCGCACTGAACTTCAATTCAGAGGTCGCCAGTTCAATGTAGATCTCCCGGTGAGGCAGTTTAGACTTATGCCCCCCTCCCCGACTGTGTCCAGCTAGCAGTATAAGTGGGTACAGCACAGTCAATCAGTAGGTCGCGTGTTTATTGGGGTCAATTATGTGACCCGCCGCCTCTTCCAAGACGTCTTTTGCGAGCTTTAAGGAGTAGGAAAAATAGCCTCTGGAGGAGCTCTCAAGAGCTCTCTCCGGTGGAGGCCCTTCCGCCAACGGTGGCGTGAGCGAGTAATTCCAGGGCTGCACCTTTGCACCTTCACCTTGCACCGAAATAAGAACCCCCTTTTGGCTGTTGTTCTTGGCAGGTACTTTTGCCGGACGATGGTTAATGTCCTGCCAGCAAGTACTGTACTGTATACACCGCAGGGACCGGGGTACGACTGCATGACCTCCTCCCCCCCGGCTCTTTCCGCTGCAGCGTAACGCCGCTGCGTGTGGAGTTTGAATTCGCTCTGTGGTACTCGAGCGCTTAGAAGGAAAAAAAAGCCACACGAAGGGCAGAGGTTTCGAGCGTGCCGCTCACCGCGAAACCCCCTTGGGCTTACAGTGCCGCGCCGTACACTCGTGTATGTGCCCCGGAACACTTTAACCTGTCCATCAACAAGTCTATGAATAGTGAGAGAGTGAAAAAAATACATTTTCACAGACGTGGCTTTGTAATTACGGTTTTTTTGGGATGGTGGAGGGGGGGTTAATGCGAATCCTTCATCAGCGACTATTACACAGGGCCCTGTTTACTCTGTGAGCCTAAAGGAGGAGACCAGGCGGTCAACTGCGGAGCCAAATTCCTACAAACGTCAACTCTGTGGAAGCTTTGGTTTTGGACGTTTCGATTATTGTGAGCGAAGTGTCGCGATTCATTCACGACCGAGTGACGGCAGATGAAGAGCGACTGCGTCACATTCGCGAGAACACCTTACAACCACGCGCGTTAGTCCTCGGAAGTATTTAATTAGCGATAATAACGTTGCGTTACTTTTAAAAAATGTAAGCGCTGGTTTTATCGCCAGCTATTTGGGCAGCCCTTTGATCAATTTGGCCCGTTTTGTCCACGGTAAATCTCCAATAGTTCCGTCTCTACGGTCAGTCGCTCAACACGACTTTACATGCAGTTCATATCAAATAATCTTTGCAACAGTTATCGTGTGCCCATGTTACGGGCAGATGGACAGAGCTGATGCATCGACGCTTTCTGGCACCGCTAAGAATACTTGTCCCGCACTTCTGGCCAGGCGGTTGGAAACAACGACCATTAGGTGGAGGTTTTTCCCTCCGCATTTTCCTGGAGCCTGTTGGTGCAGGTGAATTAATACTTGAATTTATTGTATTTATATTTTTTGGGCTAAGTCATTCATGTGTTTGAGAAAACTATTGTACCGTGTTATGCTCTGTCGGCGATCTTCGCCGGGAGGTGCAGCTGCCTCGTTTCCAGCGTGGCCTCAGCAGTCACTTGGAACGTGAGCAGCAGCGAACCGGTTGAACGCACAAGTGAACATTTAGCGGACATCATCGGTGTGGCAGTCCTGTCACAGCAGCCAGTCGTCTCCTCATCACTCTCCTTTGGCTTCTTACATGGTTACCCTTCTCACGAACTTCACTTTTTGGTTCTCCAACAATGCCGAGGACACGGTCTACCAGCCTCATTGATTTGTCTCACCCATACTGTGTTCGACTACCATACTACACGTCACAACAACACAAGACACAGATTCCCCGCATAGTCTTTAGCAGACTGTTGGGGCAAGTGGTGTTAGTGAGCTTCTATGAAGACCGGAACAGGCCAGCATCACGCCCGACCGCCTTTGTCTCACCAACAACGCCCACCATTCGCCACGAAGTGGCGGGGACATCACCACAGCGCTTGCGCCAGGCTAGATGCACCGACTCATCCTCTCACTCACCACACTGTCTGTCAGAGCACTTCTCTTTGTGCGTCTTTCCTCGCACTGCTCCACTTTAGAATCGCCTCCCCCATCGTATCTGCTCCCCAAGTTCTCACAACCTCGCTCTATTTAGGAGACTCTCAATACCTACAGCACCTTCAATAAGTGCCGATGGTTGCTGGCCACTTGACGTTCTGGCCTTTTCGGCCTGTGCTCGGCAGCCATGGTGCAATACAAACAACGGGAGCAGGGGCCACCCGGGAGAGCCGCCTCTCGTGGGGAGACGAGGAGCGTGGAACGACGCTTTGGATTCTGCCACCGTTTAATCATTCCCCCTACAGCCCGCAGGTGACAGAACGGGGGGGGGGGGGTCCACGGGGACGAGAGATGGATGGGCGTTGTCTATGACCTGGTGAGAAGACGTGGACAACAAATGTCTTTGTTTTTATTCAGTGGTGATGTGAAAGAGATTTGCTCATTGATTAAAAAAGATATATTATTAGAATATAGAGTAGGCAGGAGTGGTGGTGCAGTGCTTAGCACATTGCGCTTGGAACTCGGTTTCCCTGCACTCGATTCCTTGTCAGGGCATCGGTGCCGAGCGATACCTGGCCGTGCCCCCCGTTTATCAGCAGTCACTGGTCATTGTGGTGAAGTATGGCTATACATCCCCCCATGACTGAAATAGCGTGGCTAGGCTATCATCCAGCAGTGAATTGACAAAGGGCATCTCAACTATTATTATAACTGGAATATAACAAAGGCATATGACAGAAAATTATAGCACTGGTTTTTGGGTTCCAAAATGATGCTTGGCATTTCAGTAGCTATGTTCATATCATCGCCATATTTTGGATGTGGAAACCTATTGCTTAGCAAACACAGAAGGTGCTGCAATTGAATTTCTTGGGTCAGGGTGTTGCCAAAGTGTTTTTTTTTGTGTTACGTGGTCTAAGTGCAATGACTGGACCTACAGAATAAAAGGCAGGGTGTGGATTTTCTTTTACATGAATTTTAAAAAATGTCAGGATTGCTGCATGCGCTGTAACATAACTATACTGTTCACAGACCCTGCAGCATTTTTGCGCATAGAGAAGCCTTGTTTCACGAGTTACCTTTGTCACGGGTGTCCTGGGGCACGGGCTGGAACAATGCCACGTTGGAAATGACGCGAACCCTACTTCAATCGCACACACTATCCCCGAAACCCCGATCGGCTCACACGAGAATTCTCCCATCCCTTTGATTTGCTTAACAAAAATGAGCAGAGCTCACATTCACGGGTGGCGAAGACAGTTACGGCCCCCGGGGCCTTTTGCGCTCCGTATCGACAACGCCCCGTGTCAAACGGTGCATTTCAACTCTTGCTGGTCGTCGTCTTTTCATTAGACGCGTCGCCGATGTAAGCGACGTATTTTTGGAACAGAAACAAACGTTATTAATCGACGTTCGTGTTCTTTAGCCATTTGCCCGGAGTCGGGTGTGGGCTGATGAATTGCCTCCGGCGCCGGCGTTCGACGGCGTAGATGGGCAGCGGTTAACTTCGCGCTACGTCGTCTACGCCGCTTCGTGATCGGAAGGGGGAACCATCGTGAGAGGTTGCCAACTACAGTGGACGAAGGTGGTAACCTTCACTCTGTCATTAAGTTCCCTGCGCAACCGATACCGATGCCAAGGTGGAGCAAACTGTGGTCATTGGCAGCCCCTCAGGCGGACCAGCAACCAAGCCCAAATGACAAATAACACTGAGCCGGTGGAAATTCCACGTGCATATGGCGGGGGCGAGTATATCTATTGGAGGACCACTGTTAACTTCCCCATAAACTGGTACTCATTTTATCGACCCTGGTGGGATGGTGGGCTTTGTCATCCCCTCACGTTGAGCCACCTGACCGGATGATATCCGTTGCAAGTGAAAATATTTTTCCTGAAACAATGCAACTGACAGTAATAGCGCGCCGGAAAATTTTTATTATTTTTTGAGCAGATAATGAAAGATAGCGGTACAAAGAATCATTTTTATAACAAAATAACGATGAGATTGATACTTAAAAATAAACAAATATTGCTTATGTAGGGCAGGGAAGTGGTCCAGCCACAGCCTGCTCCGGATCGTAAAGTGAAGCCTTTTACTGAACATTTAAATAATTAGATTCTTTCAGAAGAGACACAAAATAAATACGTACATTCATACTTGCATAGCTCGATTAGAAATCATTTCCGAAAGCATGTTTTTTTACAATGTTGAACAAAATACCTGTGCAATAGTCAAGCAAATTTTACTCTTAAAGTGGATGATGAAACGTGTAGAATGGTATCCGTACAATGTGTCACATTCATATTCTTAGTTTTTTCGGTAAAGTCACGTTGAAGAGAAACAACAAAATAATAAAATATATATAAAACAATAAAAAAATTCTCACGACGTTTCGACCATAACTCAAACGGTCACCTGAAGATGACCGTTTGAGTTATGGTCGAAACGTCGTGAGAATTTTTTATTGTTTTATATATATTTTATTATTTTGTTGTTTCTCTTCAACGTGACTTTACCGAAAAAACTAAGAATATGAATTATTGCAGTCACGAAAGCTTTAAATCAAAAATGTGTCACATTGTTCATGTTTTATGAACACAATGTCACGATCCCTGCAATATTCAGTGTTCCATATGCATATACGTAGAGTATTCTGTTATTCTGCGTATAATCACCAGGAATGTGCTCAATATATCAGGTACTCATTAAGGTTCATCCGAGAGGGTGCTTTGATGGGTTGTCACGATGCACAAACGGGTTGCTGTCGGCTGCTGTGGGGTGAGGCGGTAGGCAGCTGGCAAGTACGTACAGCAAACTCCATTGTTGTGCTATACTTGCATGCTTCCCACGTCTGCGCTTTTGCACCTCCACGAAGCCACGCTGTCGAGCGTGGTGAAGTATGGTCAAATAACCCCCACCCCCCCTCCCCCCCCCCCCCACGCGAGCCGTACAGGAGAGTCCCTCATCCAGCAGTGGATGGAGCAGAAGGGTCGTGCGCACGTCCAGACTACGAGCCGTCCAAAGCTCCCGTTCACAGCGAGGGCGTTTGGAGCTCGCGTCAGATGGAGCTCCTGCAAATCTCCTTAAAGCCCCGCGGATACATTGTTGAGCATAACTTGTGTATGAAAAAATACATTCCAAATTTTGCTTCGGTGGTAACCTTCACAGGCGGACCGAGCCTCTCCCGCAGCGGAAATGTTCTGCAACAGCCATAATTCTTATTTAGCAGCTACAGCTGTTCCCGCAGCACGGCCACAGCGTAACAGTGACGGCAGCAACAGCAGCAGCGAGCGGGGGCCGTGAAGGTAGACCCAACTCTCCGCTAGCTTGTTTGGGTAACAACTTCTGTGTCCAGCGGTCATTCTTTAGCTGTCGCTCCTCATCCCGGAAAAGTTGAGATGATCCCGCATGCTCTCCAGCAGTCCGTAGCTGACTCTGTTCGCGGACAGAACCTCCACGCACGTCGATCTGGATTGCCTGGAACGTGAAACGTGTACATAGTCGCCGTCTGCATCGACACTCAGATCATCACGTCATCATTATCGACAATCGACACACCGTCATCATCTACAATGAGTTAATCATCAAGATCTTCAATCAGTTCATCAACACCACCGTCCGGAATCCATATAATGTCATGATTATTATCATCATCATGATCTATAATCAGTACCACGTCACCTACAATCAGTCCAGCGACGTTAAGACAACGATCATTATCACGAGTGTGGCTGTGCGGTCATGACCTCATGTGGAGGCGGAATGGTTTTAAATTACACGCGGAATTTAACACGTAACAGAAAGGCGCACATTCATGCCACTTTGGCAGAGCTTGCGACTTATTCAATTAGCAGAATCATCCTGGCGGGGTAAGGGGGGGTGGGCAGCGAGCGGCCAATGAAGTGACCTCGCATGCCTCGCGACGACGATGATGATGACGATGATGACAATGATGATGATGATGACAATGATGATGACGATGATGACGACGATGATGATGACGACGATGATGATGCGTGCGCTGCGCGGCTCCTGTTACGCTCGCGCCGTGATAACGCAGAGAGAGAGAGCGAGCGAGCGAATCGAGCGGCGCACGCCAGGGGCCATCCTCCCCGGGCGCCGAGCCAGCGCACGCGGGCGGACGGACGCAACGCGCGCGAACCTGTGGAGGCTTTGCCAGTAGTGGACCGAGTCCCTGAGGGGCTCAGCTTTAGGCGGGGGTGGCAGCGCCACGTTCGTCCTGCGCGATTCCCCGGGGAGCCGGGAGAAGCAGGGCTCCCTCAGCCGCTTACAGACGTCGTCGTCTTGCTCTGCGGGGCGGAGGGGTTGGACGCGTCGTTCACGAGGTTAAGGTGCAGCGCCTGCAATCACTCGCTCACGCCATCGGTGGCGTGAGGGCCTCTACTGGAGGAAGCTCTCGACAGCCTCAAGAGAGGGTATTCGGCCTACTCTTCCACGCTGGTCGGGCATCATGGAATGGGTGGGAGTACCCACGCTTTGCCCCACCACACGTGACCTGCTGATCGACAGACTGCGCCCCGCCACGTTTCTGTTGCTCTGGGGGGATTTAAGAAAGTTGCACCTTTGTTTCAACTGCTGCACCGAGAGATGGATTCGAACCAGTGACCTCTAATTTGGAAGTCCAGTACGCACATTATTACACTACTGTGGCAGCAGTTACCGATGCTATTAATCATAACACTGCCGATGAAGGCCTCTCCATGCTGTCTGTCAGTCACGGGGCTTGTTTGAGCGTACTTCACCATGCTGGTCCATGCAGCAAAATCCATTGCTTTGGCTTCTCCGCTCACGCCTTAACGAACGCATTCTGACCACCGCGGTGAAACAGTGGATTTCCCATAGCTGATGATGATGATGATGACAACGCCGCTGTAGAGGTGTTCTCTAGAACTCTCTCGAGCGGATGACCTTCGCCTGTTCCGGAACGAGATGGATTGTGGCATCGCAGGATCGTGAGAGATGGTGATGCCTTGGCGAGACATTCATCTAGCATCAGATTGATCATCGCCACTGCTGCTGCTGCTGCTGATGATGATGTCACACGGTGATGGTGACGATGCCGATGAAGGCACCACCGTACCCATGTAATGGTCGACCAGTTCTTCCAGGGACTCGAACTGTGCTCGCTGGCTGATGTAGCACGTGCCGTTGGGCTGCATGTGGATCCGGTAGTGCTTGATGACGTCCGGCGCGCCGGAGGGACGTTGGCGACGCACGGACAGCGCGTACATATCTGCAGCACGGCACGCGGAACTCACATCTCTGCGCGTTGAACATTCACCGTATTGTTTTACGTTGGGCGCTCCCGGGAGTAAGATGCACCCCGAACTTTGGGGTCATTTGGAAAAGCACGTGTTTTAAACAAGAGTGTACTTTGTACTGGTCACACAATATCCTTGTGCACCAAGGCGCCTTTAGGAGATGTCTACTTATGTGCGTATGGGTTTATTGACATGCCCCCGCTCATGAGTACGAATATTTTATCAAGTAAAATCAAAGTCGGTACCTGGTGTCGGTGTTCATCCGAGCATTGAGCGGTACTCATCTCAATTAGTGGCTTTGATCCAGTGGAGGAAATTCCACATTCCTATGGCAGGGGCCAGACTGGACTGTATAATTTGTGAGCCGGAGAAAAAAAAATCTACAACAACGTGATAAGGCGTAGTCGTGGCACGCTGTTTTTATAAACAACAACCACATCGTGGAAAAAAAACATTTTGATTCCCCCGTGGAACATATAGCAAGTGTATCTTTAAGCGAGAAACGAGAAGCAAGTAGGTGTGGCATGGCTTTGGTATTAATGCCAAAGGGAAAGCCAATTTAAGGGCACGTCTTTTGCATGGTGAGGCAAACTCTGCTCACGGATTTTAGTCGAGTAGTTGTTGTTTTAGCAAAATATTTAACGAACAGGATTAATTTTATTTAATACAGTGTTAATCGCATTAATTAAATGCACACATCTGAATTCGTAAACCTGGAATTTACCGACATGTTGTGTCTGAACAACTAAGGAATTGAGGTTGAGAAAATAAGTAAAATTGGGTTTTGTCCACTATGTTATAAGATAAAATATGAAGAAATACATTCCAACTATTTTCAATCCACTGCTAGATGAGGTTTCTCCATGCCTTGTTGGTAGTTATTTTTTTACCATATTCCCCATGCTGGTCAGTGTGGGCCGGTGACAGGGGGTAACTAAAACGGAGTTTAGTGGGCAGTGTTAGTTCACGGATATCTCGCCACCGATGTTTGCCGTAGCCGTGAATCTAATGTGGGTTGTCGTGTTCATCGCGCCACGCGCTGACCACTGCGCCGCCACTCCACCCCTCCGACGTTGGCTGTTGACTGATTTATTCACAGCAGGTAACGTACACTGATTAACAACGTGCTTCTTTAGGCATATTTGTATGTGCTGTTGAATCAGTGTAGGTCATTTGCCGTGGCGCGCATCAAAAAGTGGACATTGAGAAAGAAAATGCAACCAAAGGTGAGCAGCAAAGCTTGGAATCAGTGCAGGCGCTATGGGCGCCAGATGGATCACCGGCGACGGCTTGGCGAGGCCTTCATCCAGCAGTGGATTGATCATGGCTAATAGTGATGATGGCGAGTATGACTGGAGCAACATAGCCGGTAAAGGGGAATACGAGTAATTAAACCGTTCCCATCATCGTCGCCCTGGAGCTGGGAAAGGAAGACGCGTCACCGATCTCCCAGCCCGCTGGTCACGGCGGTGAGATGTTAACTCCTCGCCTGGTATACAGAAAGATCGTGGGTTCGATCCTGACCCTGACACCTGCATAATTGGAGTTTGCGTGTTCTCCCCTTTGCCGCGTGGATTTGTCTAGCTCAGTGGGCCTTACCTGGCAATGAAATCAAATAGTTTTAAGTTAGTTGCACCATGACGTGCGTGTTTGCAAGGGCCCTTTCCCCCGGGCACCCAAGTGCGGGGACTCACTGCGGTTGCTGGTGCTGGTTCTCACGAGAAAGGAGCCTCCGTGGTTGCCATCCATCAACAGGATCCTCTCGGCGTCCTCCCGCATCAAGGCTTCGAAGAGCCACCTGAGTGTGGAATGAAAGTGTCAGCCTTCGTGTTGGACCATTGCCCACGCAGTGTGGCAGGGGGGGGGCAGTGCGCCCTTCACGCAGAGAAGAGGTTTGCCACCCTTACGTTGCCGGCACTCCCTTCGCCTGAGCTCACTTCACATCTCGGCGACACCAATAGCTCAGCGCGCTGCCGGCAGCCCACTCATGACGAAACTTCCCACTGTGGCTGTTTCTGTCTAAATCCTCTCCGCTCCTGCGAGGGTGATTGCCAATCCAGACAATCTACGTGCCTATGCCCCCCCCCCCCCTTGTTTTCTATAATTGTGCGTAAATAACCTTAAACATGAAACAACGTTTGCATTGTTGTGATGATTTAGAATGTTTGACTGTGAGGTTTGACTACCATGTGGAACTGCCCAGGAGCATGTTTTACCGATGTGCTGGGGCTGTTATACAAAAATGCAGCTGTTGCTGTGTTACAACCCAAAAAAATCGAATGGCTTTCCACCACTTATGGAATTATTTTACTTATTCTGAATGCATCACCTTTATATATGTGTGTGTTGTGTGTTTTTGTCTGTCGCTTAGCAGCAGAGCAAGCGACTCACAATCAAAAGGTCGTGAGTTCAAATCCTGGTTGGGAGATGGCTCAGCCCATCACTCTTCTGGAGTCAGAAATCCAATCTTTATTTCGACTGGAGGAATCCAATGAGCGATGAAGCTCTTTCTCACAGGCGTCATAGCGATAAAATGAGTACCACTTTGTGGGGAAGTCAACGGTAGTTGTCGTATGGATAGACTCGGACATGACATAAGAATGTGGAATTTCTACCACCAGCTCAGGGCTGTAAACAGGATGTGAGCCCTGCCTTCTCCGTGCTGATAGAAACAAGAAGTCACTTGGAATGTTTTTTTATCTGTAGCCTCCGAAAAAAAATATTGTGTCATAATAACTAGAATAAAGAGATTTGTCTTTTGGGGATGCATCACCCTCTTAAAGCCTGGGAGAGCCTCAAACAAGGGTGGTCAGATTCAATTTCAGTAAATATTTCTTTATATATATACCGTAGGAGACGACCCGTGAAACTGCACTGCTCTGAGTATCAGGTGACATGTCCACAACTAAAACCCATGGACACGGCGACAGAGGGGGTGACATAGACACGTTTAGAGAGCTGGCATTGAGACTGTGGACTCACACTTCATGTACATTCTAGCAACGTGCTTGCACTGTATGCAGTCTGCGTGGCACTGTAAATTTAAGGGAACATCTAGATATTTGTATAGCCTTCGAAACACTGTTTTATACTTCCTTGTCTGGGATGAGTCAGAAAAAAAACTACGTGAGGTTGTCTAATTGGTGGAATTGCCCAGAAGCATGTTTTAGAGAAATACGTGGGCTCGAATGGATACAAGCTTCTCATTGGAAATAAGAAATACCATTGTTCTTGGCAATTACAACTTCTTGTGTTTAGCAGGGAAATGTAAAAATACGAAGGAGAGTTGATGTCATGTTTAGGCTGCATACTTGCTTGTGTGGGGCAAGCGGCAGCGTGCTGTGCTGTGAAGCCAGCGACCTCGCGTTGATTCCTCACCACGGCTTTAACAGGTCAAATGTCTGCACCCCTCCGCTCCCTCACCAAGCTGTCTTGGCCAGGATGGTGACGTATAGTCAAACAACCTCCAGGACCAACATGGGTATGCCGACATCTAGCAGGGGCTCGACAAGGGGCTGTAATTCGTGTAATTATTGTTTGAAGTGTCTTGTTCGGTGGCAGGCCACCGGCGTGGCGTGCGGGTATGTGTCCTCTGCTGTTGTATCTCAGGCGTACGTGCGCCCGCTAGCCCGTACCTGTTTTTCACTTTCACCGTGTGGCTGGCAGGGATGAAGGCCTCTCTGTTGTTGCAGATGGACATCACTTTCCACCAGTCTCCATCCCTATGGATAAAAGCAGACGACATTATAAAATACGTTGCTTTACAGTACATTTCAAACATAATTAACGTATACTCCTTTGTCTATCCACTGCTGGTTGAAGGCCTCCCTCCTTACGTCGTTGTAAGTCATAGGGGCTCTGTGGCCATACTTCACCATGCTGATCAGTGCGGGTTGGTGAAAAGGAGACCCAGGACCGGTTAAGATATCACTCATGGTTAGTCTTGGCCAGATATCGAACTGAGGCGACCAGGTCCGTAATGTCGTGCGCTAACCACTGCGCCAACGCTCCAACCACATTATTTCAAATTATTGTGGTTATTTTCACTAAGTGAATTCCCGCTTGCATTTTTAAAACCTTTACTCTTGTGCGCTAACGACCATCAGTGTTTGACTTACACGCCTGTTATCTTCACTTTATCGCCGACTGCGAATAGCGGTTGCCATTCTGGAAAGTCTTTAATGATCACAGCCATGCCGAGGTCTGGAAGAGAGTAAAGTTGTCCGTCACTGGCGCGCCCAGCATGGCACATGGCCCAGGGTAGCCCCCCCAGTCTCCACCACGACAGCTTTAAAACTCCACTCCCACAGTTCAACGGACGTTTTGTTTCCCATAAACGAACTCCGCTTAACTTTAAATGGCATTTTTTTAACAGATGGATTTATTGAGTATTGTTGTTGTCCGTAATCAGTGGTTTTTACAAATCACCACCAGTGACTGAAACGGGGAAACGCTTTTAAGCGATTGAAGGGATAAAATCACCACCCCTTATCCATGCAGCACATCGCATCGCCACGGGTTCCAATTGATCCATCCGCCACATCGTTAACACGTGATGCAAACTGACATAATTTGTGTCGATTATCGCGTTGTGAGAAATGTTGCCCCACGTTTGTGTCATCGGCAACACCACGCGACAAACACTCTGCCCTAACACAAAGTGCGCGCAGACACGGTCTTGGGAAAGAGATTGTCCCTCGTGACCTTCCACGTGGAACAAAAACTCAACGTGTCCCTCAATGTCACTGTCTCAACGAGGATACGCGGTACTATAGGAAACATTGCAGGCAATGGCCCTGCTTTGTGTCAGATAAATTATCCACCTTCTTTGGTTCTTTCGGTAAAGTCACGTAGATAGAAACCACGACGTTTCGACCGCAACACAAGCGTCACCTATTCTGTCACTTTTCCTCTTCACGGCGGCGTTACCGACGGAGTCGCTGAGTGCTTTATTGTTTGCGCTTGTGCACCACCGCCCTCGGCTTGCCAAACAACACCGTTTGGTTTGTTCCACGGCCCCTCGGTGCGCCGGCTACTCGAGGCCGTAACCTGGCAGCCCGGAGTCGCGGCACGGCGGGGCACCCGCGCCGCGCCGGCCGCAGCGTTGATTGCTCGTTACCGGGAGGGGGTGCGGCGTGCTGGGTCGCTTGGAATGCGGAGAGCAGGCGCTGCTTGGCCGCGCTGAACGTGGCTCCCATGGCGGCGAGCGATTCGCATCGCTCCGCGCCAATTCCTGCGCTCCACACGCGCCGGAAACGCGCGGGCCAGGAGGTTCAGGTTCAGGCGGCGGCTGAAAAAATATCCTTTTACCTTTTCGCCGGCAATTTCCTGCAAGGTGCCGTGACGTTTGCTAGCAGCGTCCGACTCGCAGAGTGCAAAGGGTGTGATGGTGCAGCATGACCCTGTGATGGTGCAGCATGACCCTTGCTTAATGGGGGGGGGGGGGGGTCCGCTATATAAAATCTCACCCCGGACGGGTGGTGGGTATATACGAGATAGTAAATGTTCAATAAACTCTAAACAAATGTTGATGAAATACAATGTTTAAAGGCGGCTGAGCCTGCGGGGGACTCAGCCCCCTCCAGCCTACTGAGCTACTGCTGTTAAAGTAGTGATCTGTGAAGTTGATAGTTGGTGGATTTTTAGCGCCGTGCGTTTTTGTGTCGGTTTATAAAGCCGCTAGAGGAAGACATTCGGCTGGCGTTGTCCCAAGGATAAAGCAATGAGGAACGAAGCCCAAGTCATGCACAAAGACCGTTCTCACAAACTAAATGATTGGGAGGGAAGTGATATCGCTGTCGTGCAAAACGTGCATTTGCTTGTGCTTTGAGTGTAAGCATATTGTGCAAGATAATCGAGTGACTATCAGGCTTCTTTGACTCTTAACCGCCGAGACACGGGGAACAAGAACATCAAAATCTGTGCATCTGCGCAAGCCTCGCGATCGATACGCTGCGAGCTCTCCGGTGTGTTCCCCGGGTGTTACTGCGTGTCGTTCGCCATGGCGTCCGACGTTTCGCGCCACGTTCTGAAGGAGCTCCCGGCAGGTGCAGAGACATTTTTTGGACATTGTGCCGAACAACGAGCGGTACAAAACCAGGAAATAGATCGGAGGGCTAAAACGCAGCGCAGCCGTGAAAACCGTAACACGGTGGCGATACGCGGCAAAACCACGCACAAAGACTCCGATTCGTTTAGTATTCGGAACCAGTGGCACGTAACATGCCGCGCAGGCAAACGTGACCCGCTCTCGAAGATCTGTGTTTGGATGTGGACGACACGGAGGCTCCTTTGCGTATAGGAAACACGCGACGACATGTTGTGCTCCGCTCGCATTTCGCGGTCCTGTGTGCCGCGGACACAAATAGTGCACTAAGCCCTCCGAGCGAGTCCTGGTTATGTGCCAGACATACAAGAGTCATTACTCGCGTCTGCTGCCTGCTCCACATAATGCTGCACAGCTGCGTTTCTTCTGAGATCAAATAGGCCAGCGTTGATTACTCGCGTGCCTTGTAAGATCATTGTCGACCACCTCCCGAAAGGCGACCTGCAGCAGCGCCGCTCGCGTGTGCTCCCCACAGGCATTGCCAATGCCAGCCACGTGAAGCTGCATCCGGTCGATTTGATCTCCCAGCGTGGCACTTGAAACAACGGAGCGAGTTCATGAATGATTTCTGCCTCTGTCACTAACCCCCCCCCCCCCCACCAGAAGTATCAATTGGTACACTGTGCAGTTAGTCGATATGGTTTGGTGGGGTAAAGCGTGGGTACTCGCAACTCTGCTTCGGTGTCTGGGCCAGCATGGCAGGGTGAACGAAATCGCCCTCTTTAGAGGGGTTCTCTCCCGCTCCCCTTCCCCAAAGCAGTGGCAAGAGAAATTAATTGCAGCGCTGCACCTTTAACTTTGAAAATAAAAATCCCGATTTTTTAATTTAACAGTTGAATTTACGAAGTTTACGGTGATCCACAAATAGCACGGCAAGTTTGAAATGCTAGACACACAGTAAGCACGCTGTTTAAGTGAGTCATCAACATTACTTACCTTCTCCAGCTGTGGTGGTATGAGTGAGTTAAGCCGTGCATTGTGACATTGTGGAAAGATCATGAAGTCATGGAAAATGTACGGTTTATAATTCTACCGTGTGAAAGTCACGTTGGACTTGTTATTCATTATATTTCGTTTTACATATCCATTGAAAAGTGTGAACGGAGACAATGACTAAACTCCGTAGTCAAATATAATGTGGACCCACTTGTAATACAAATGCCCCAATTTAAATTGGTAATAAAACATTTGAAAAATAACACCACAATAATTTAAAATAACATACACCGTTCAATTCAAAATGATGCGTTCATTCAAAGTATCATTCGTTGAATATTGTGTTTTATTCATGAAAACATAGAGCAGTTAGAGAAAACACACATTTAGACTGCATGTTACAGCCACCACTTCCTCTTTCATAGCAACAATGCCAGAGATTAAGCAGGAAACTAAAGCAGCAGCGCATTTAACATGCAACGTCGTGAGGCTACGCATAAATCGCAAGACTCGAGCGGCACGGTCACAACTGCCATGTGTTTTGTCCCGTGAAGTCATTCGAACCTGCCAGAAGCCGATCTCAACGAGGCACTGCGTCTCCTCCGCTCCCACGCAGTCAGGAGAACGGTTGGGCCATCACCGGCCAGCGGGCACAGCCACGTGTGGCCGCTAGTGACCCGGCACCCCGGTGTCTAGATCTGCTGGCGTCGGTGCGCGACGTCGCGTTGCCCTCGCTATTGGTCCCAGCGGCGCTTTCTGCTTCGGATTGGTTCTGCCCGTTATCAGGGCTCCACAGCAGCCTCTGTGGTCACGCGGGCTCGGAGTCACAGAACGTAGGTGAACGCCAACCCCAACACTCGCATACACGTGCGTGTTAACCCCCTCCCCCCTACTACGCTTACTCAGTGGGGGAAATGAACAAGGTTCACAGGAAACATTCCGGTGTTCAATGCGTGGCGCTGATAGCCTGCAAATTGCATTTTGCAAATCGGCAACTGAATTTAGTATTTTTCAGGAAATCGTGTAAAAGACGTGTTGTGCTTTCCATTTATAAATGTGAATTGATATGAACAGCGTTTCCGTCAAAGTGGCGGTGGTGTAGCGGTTTGTACTGGCATCTTTCCTTCTTTCTTGTGGGAATCATTTCGATTAACTTCACTCTACCACTGGTCAATCGACTTTATTCTCATCGCCAAATTTTGTTCAGACTTGAAACATGACTTGTCTGTTTAACACGTAGGTTTTCGCGACCAATATTATCCATAATAAAGGTTTTTTGGGTTAGATCGCGTAAATATATAAATGTGTCGTTAAACCCACCACTACCCGACACAGCCAATTAGTAGTAATGTTTGTCACGTAAACAGAACATGCCAATTCGTTTCTAGTACAGCACACCGGTGTGTTGGAGAAATTATAAATGTGCCTTTGCTCTCCAACACTAGTAACGAATTGGCATGTTCTGTTTACGTGACAAACCTTACTAGTTGGCTATATTGGGTTGTGGCAGATTTAACGACACATTTTTATATTTACACGATTTAACCCAAAAAACCTGTATTATGGATGACGAGGTCTGGCAGTAACCTTTTACAAGGCTTAATGTCAGCCGCGGCCGAGGCCTGGAAAATATCTCCACAGTGGGGGAGGAGGGGGGTGGTGAGAGTTCAGGGGTCACAAAATGTAAGTGTTGGATGTTTCTAAATATTAGTTATTGTGGCTCACACCTGCAATTTAGGGTAAGATAGATGATGCTTGTTGGGGTGCAAGGGTTGGTGGATCACGAAGACCTGTGGGTTGTGAGGTGGGTGGCCATTTCCTGGGTTGGAGTCAGGAGTTGACAACATTAAATGGATTATTGAAACTATCTGTGCAGCACTTTGCTATCCCCATGCAGTGAGTTTTCTCTGGCCCCTAGGGTTTCCTCCCACATGTTAGGAATTGAATTGACCGGACATGGCAATGCAAAACGCAGTTGAAAGAGTGTCTTGAGACTCAGTAAAACGTCTTCCCTGGTCATTTTACTTTTGTTTACACTTACAGCATTTTGCTTTTGCTGAATATATAAGATATAACATTGTTATAAAGTGTGTATATTATGTAGATTTTCTTGTAAAATTGTACATTTCTTCGTAACCATTTGCAGCATTCACTAATAATACAGTATACCTTAATAAACATGTATCATGAAATTGTGGTAATAATTAGTAAAAAAAAAAATGATTTTGAAAAGGATGCAGAGTGTTCATTAATGAGCATTAAAAAATAACTTCTTTGGGTAATATTTACATACATTAATTTGTCGGTTTCCATTTTAGTGCATAAATATAAATAAATAAACACATTTAATTAAAATAGTCTCAGTTTCCATCGCAAATCTACAGTTTTCTAACATCCGGATTTATAAATAAACACAACTTTAAATTCCTTCAAATTTTTTGCCAACCTTCCTAAACTGCCACACCCGGCCCTTAATCAGGAACTAAGTCCTGAACGAAGATTATATTTTTTGGAGTTAAAATGTAATTTTTACATATTTCATTACATAAATTTAAAACATAATTGGGTGTATATAATGAAGTAAGACTCGTATTGGAGTAAGACTTATCGGAGTAAGACTCGTATTCGAGTAAAACGTATTGGAGTGAACTTGAGGAATTGCTGTGACGGGGGTGCTGTGGTGGTGGTGTAACGCTTCACACATTTGGACTTGCAATCGAGAGATAACCAGTTCGATTCCATACCCGTGGCAGCTGAACCGTTGGTGCAAGTCTCCTTAAAAGTGCACTTGCTTCTGTCCACCCAGAATTATAAATGGGTACAACACATCATTAGACCTCCTTTGCCAGTACCAAAATGTAATAATAGGGTTTTTCCCCTTTTTTTCTGGCAACAAAACTGAAACTTTTTTACAAGGATTCATGTTACTGCATTAACCACAATACCTGCAGTCAAAATGCAAACAAAAAACATACTACATATTCTTAGCTCTTTCGGTGAAGTCACGTTGAAGGGAAACAATAAAATAATAAAATATACAGTATTTCAACGTGACTTTACCGAAAGAGCTAAGAATATGAATTACTGCAGTCACGAAAGCTTTAAATAAAATAAAAAACATACTATCTTCTTTGGTTCTTTCGGTAAAGTCACGTAGAATGAGAATAAAATAATAAATTGATAAAATAAAATAACACAATAATATTCTCACGACGTTTCGGCCACAACACAAGCGGCCTTCATCAGGTGAAGGGACGAGGCTGTCTGCTAGGACAGCGCTGGAGTGAAAGAGCGCTGTCCTAGCAGACAGCCTCGTCCCTTCACCTGATGAAGGCCGCTTGTGTTGTGGCCGAAACGTCGTGAGAATATTATTGTGTTATTTTATTTGATCAATTTATTATTTTATTCTCATTCTACGTGACTTTACCGAAAGAACCAAAGAAGATGAATCATTGCAGTCACGAAAGCTTTAAATCGAAAAACATACTATGATAATATATGCATTGTCCTTGAAACTAATTGGTCCACACCAAGGGACGGCTTTCTTTTGAGCCTCGACCCAATTGGTGCTCGACCACATGACGCCAGAAGGCGTACAACACAGTTAGCGAACACGTCTTGGTCAGCGTGGAAGAGCAGACTAAATCACCTCTGGAGCTCCCTCTAGCGGAGGCCCTTTCGCCAGCAATGCCGTGAGAGAGGCATTTCAAGGCTGCACCTTTGCCTACCTTTGCTTGTTGCTGGGACATGTGCTGACAACCTGAGTGTACTTTCATTTCTGCATTCCCAGCAAAAATCCCCTTGCAACGGGTCAGTGCATTCATACAGTTGCATGGAGCCACAGTTGCGTTTTAATAATAAATAACAGCTTTCTAAATGGCCCCGTTTAGCGGTTATGGAAAATGTCTCCTGCAGTTGAATAGGTTTCATGTGCTCCACATCGCCGTTGCTGCTTCTCTGACGGTCCAAATGCTGGCACCTTTTTATTTTGTATTAGAGAGCAGACCTCGGAGTGTTGGGGCACAGGGTGTGTGGAGGAGCGTTGCCGCAGTGGTTAGCGGACGGTGCTATGAACCCAGAAACCTGAGTTTGATTCCCGACCACGGCTGACATGAACAGCGAGTGATATCTGAACCGATCCTGGGCCGCACCCATCGCCAACTCGCATGGACCGTGCTCGACACGGTGCATGGAGGCCCTCGTCAAGCAGTGGATCGGCAAAGGGCTGCACAGCACCCCTTACCAATTTGCATAATTTGCCAGCTTCCATCCGTCTGTCACCCAACCTTACGTCGGAAGGAGACATCCATAGATCCCAAAAAAAAAACGTGTCTTGCCGAGGACATGCCTGCCTGAGAAATTCTGTCAGTGGTCTACTAATGTACGTAACAAATAGACGTAACATTGCTTTGTGGTTTTGAACGCACGTGCTGGAGCAGTCAAAACGTTTTCATTTATTAATGTAATATCCGACGCTCAGGTGGAGTCGGAACGGTGCAGAGTCGGCGTGGAAACGACGTCCTTCCATGGCACACGCCGTGCTCGTGAGATCGTGGTGTCATTTTGCAGCTGTTATGGTTTCATTGTCGTTGTGATTATATTGCCTTCGTTACGGTTTTCATTATTATATGTTTGAAGTTGTGGTTACGGTTGTGGATTCAGTTGTGGTTGTAAAATGCGTGTACATCTGCCTTGGTAATATGTGCACACGTGGTGTCGATGATGATGTTAACATTCGTATTGTTGACATGTTATAATGTTGTTGACAGTGATATATTATTGTAGTTGATGTTGGTATCATCAGTAATATTGCTATTGATACGTGACATTATTGAAGTTGGTATTGTCATATCATTTTGGTTGAGGTTGTTGATTGAAATTACTGTATGCCAGAGAGTGCCATTTGTAAACAAATAGCAATAAACGCATAGTGCTCGCAATCCATTGAAGTTATATCCCACGTTAAAGCGCATGCAGTGCTCGTAATCGTTATTATTATAGCTTCTTCACTGGTACATTGCCTGCATGTGGCCAAGAATCCCACGACCCTTGTAGACTTGAGCAGCGATGCTGGACAGCGGCACGCACGCGTACCGGTCCTCCGCTTAGTGGGAGACAACGTGCACTCCCTTCACCAACCCGGACTCACCGGTATGGTGAAGCATGGTCAAACCTCACCCCCGCCCACCTTCCACGACGGACACACCTAAACTATGGCTGACAGCCCCCAGCCGCCCTAGATCCACCGGCCGTTGCGTTAGCTGGGGTGGTGAAGGAGCGGGTGGTGCTCAGAATCACTGGTTATGAACAGGACACCTGGATTCGATAGGGAATTACGCCGAGCACAGGCCCAACATGTCAAGCGGTCAGCCACAAACAGCACTATTAAAGATGTCGTGTGTATGAGTAAAAAAAAGCGTTCCTCGATTCGAGCAAGGTTGTGATAAGAACTTGGGAACAGAGATGATGATGCGAGAGGGAACAAGCAGAAACAGAAGCGAGGTGACCTACAGCGTGGCAGTTGAACATTCTGGGTGAGATGCAACAGCCTGGTCGACCGCTCCCCACGACAGGGTTATACTAAGGGCGTGCTCATCCTGTGCTTCTGTGTCCGCTGTCTCCCCTGCGCTCCAGGGAGGGTCGGTGCTGTCGCCATCGGCCGTGCAACTGGACTCTGCCACCGCCCGCTCTCAGGCCGCGTCACTGGCCCAGCTCGTGGGCTGCGGCCACTCCAGCAGCGAGTACCTCGTGCGCTGCCTACGCGACCGCTCGGCGCTCGCTCTCAACGCGGCGCAAGCGCAGGTGCGCACGCGCGCACGGACACCCGCACGCACGGACACAGATATGGAAGTGACAGGCATGCACGGACGCATGCACACACGAACTCTCGCACACACCGACGCACACACCAACGCTCGCACACACCGGCAAACACACACACCGACGCTCGCACACACCGGCAAACACACACACCGACGCACACACCAACGCTCGCACACACCGGCAAACACACACACCGACGCTCGCACACACCGGCAAACACACACACCGACGCTCGCACACACCGGCAAACACACACACCGACGCACACACCAACGCTCGCACACACCGGCAAACACACACACCGACGCTCGCACACACATGCGGGCATAGACGTAAGCATGCGCATGGATGCGCACGCACGCACGCATCGGCACAAGCAAAATACACGCACACGCAAGCATCTACCCAGGACTAGGTCACGGTTGATGGGGGCTCAGGGCTGTTCGAGTTAAGGGGGCCCCTCTGTATATGCAATTCATTCATTGGCTGTTTTACCAACACCCATGCCTGATGTCGGATGCCAAACACTGCATTGTTGTTTACTCTTGTTTGCTCTCGTTATTTCAGTTCCAGTATTTAATTTCTTACACAAAATTGTCAGCCGTTTAAATTTCTCACGGAACAATTTCCGAGGCGCCCAAAAAATATTTTCAACCCTCCGGAAAGATTTTCTGGAGCTCAGCCCCAGACAGCTCAGGCTAAAATTAATCCTTGCAAAATGTGAAAAGCAAATCGACTGTAAAGCAAACAGCACTGTTTTTCTTTCGGCCCATAACTGGTCGTAATATGCATAACGATACGATGCCTGTAAATACGAGTCCCTCATTTCCATCACTACTAACCAGTACTGTACTTATTTATTTACATCTGCGACTGCAGCCCCTAAAAAAACGATGGATACTATTTTTATTTTAAAACTATTTTTTTTATTTTACCAGGTTAGGCCCACTGAGCTACGTAGCTCTTTTTCAGGAGCGACCTGGCCACAAATGACAGCTCAACGAAGTGGCTTATCATCATGTGGACATTTATAGCAGCCAAATACTCTCAACGCGTGTTTCCAAATGTGGGGGGGGGGGTGGGGGGGGGGAAACCCGGACGACCCATAGAAAAATCTACGCAAACACGGGGAGAACTTGCAAACTCCAAATATACAGGTGTCAGGGTCAGGATCGAACCCACGTTCTCCTGTATACCAGTCGAGGGAGTTAACATCTCACCACCACAGCACCCGGTGTGTATCCAGCCCAACACACACAGCTGTGACACAACCACAGTCAAAATCGGGGCTTATTTTCTCACAGAATATGCTCTATGTCGCCAGTAGACTGTGGAAGGTGACGGGTGACTCTGTAATAGTAGCCATAGCCATATCCACGCATGGTAACAGTCTGGACACAGAGATATTTTTCGGGTCACCGACTGGGACAGACCCGGCTGAAATGAATCTCTGATTACGATGGCGTCCGAAGGCTCTTGCATCTCAAGACATTGCGAACATGTTTTAACACGCGCAAAACATTTACGGAATTATTTTGTTCAACGTTTGACGCTATTGACGTATTAACACGTGGGTATCATTGCAGGTTTTTATTTTAATTCAAGAGGTCTCTTTACCTAACGTTCTGCGCATCTCTTATATTTCCATATGCGACACACAGTCTGCGTAGTCATCATTGCGCTCTTGCTGTGGTCATATTGTGTACACGTGCGGCCCTTTATCATTCCACTGCTGGATGAGGGCCTTCCATACGTCATACAAGGTTATTATAATATACATGTAAATAATAATTACATACTCATAGAATATATATAGGATTCTACGCTGCAGCATTTCGACTGCAGGGTATTTTTACTCTAATGTACTAATGGTTTTTTTTTATTTTCTCAAAGTGATGTTTATTAATTTGCTTTGCTGTGTTTGTTTTGAGAGGGTTTTTTATGGAAAGTTTACGAAAGCGGCAATGAAGCGTTTTGCTGTTATCGACTGAAAACACACTCCCACACACCCACACACCCACGCAGCACACGGCAAGTTGCGCCACAGTCCGTGAAGATAATGGTTCTGGGAGCCCCGCTACTGCTGCTGCACGTGTCCCTTGTGCCAACATTGTGGTCAGCGTCGCGAAGCATTGTTCATCACTCCGAGTTGTGACTGCAGCGTAAACGACTTCTTGACTTCAAGCGCTCGAGTTGGTCCTCACCCAGGGAGCCGCTTTAATCATCGCAGCAATAAGAATGCCGCCACACCGGTGTAACGGTCAACGCGCTGGACTTGGAATTCGGAGGTCGCCGGTTTGATTCGGTCTGCTGGCGCAGGAGTTGAAACAACGGTGCCGGTCTCTCAAATCCCTCCGGTCACCTCTCTTCTCCACCCAGCAGTCAAAATGGGCTCAACCCACGGTCGATCGGCAGGGCTTCTATAGTAGGGGGGAGGGGGGGGGGGGTGGTACAGCGCAGGTACTTCCACATCCTGTAAGACGCGTGGCCATCGACCCAACACCCTCTAGCAGAGATCCATCCGCCAGCAGCGCCATGGCAAAGACATTTCGGGGTTGCACCTTTTCCTGTTTCCTTGATTGCTGCCGTCAATATTCAAGGGCGAATCGATGCACATCCCACAGTATGTATGCACTTTGAACTTCTTTCGTAGCGTACGTAGCCAACCGTGCTCATTTGAAGTGCGGAGGAAGGACAAGAAATTAAAAACAAAAAGCAGTTAAATTTCGATTTAAAGCTTTCGTGACTGCAAGGATTCATCTTCTTGGTTCTTTCGGTAAAGTCACGTAAAATGAGAATAAAACAATAAAACAAAATAAGACGATAAAATTCTCACGACGTTTCGGCCACAACACAAGTAGCATTCTTCAGGTGAAGGAACAGAACTGTTGGGACGACAGAGCTTCAATGAAGCGCTACTTGTGTTGTGGCCGAAACGTCGTGAGAATTTTATTGTCTCATTTTGTTTTATTGTTTTATTCTCATTCTACGTGACTTTACCGAAAGAACCAAGAAGACAAAAAGCAGTTCTTAAGAAATTAGTTTTCAATCGAGTTGATTTAAAAATACATAGCTCCAGTGACTTCCTAATATCAGAAGGAAGAGTGCATTCCAGACGGTCGTAGAAGCACAGGATGGCGGTATCCAGCGCCGGGGATTCTTTTCTCGTAAAAAAAAAAATGTTCTGTTCCAGCTGCTGAGCGGTGAGTACCTGCAGCGCTGGGCCGCGGTCGTCGATGGCCACTTCCTGCGTGACATCCCCGCGGAGGCCGCTGCCCGCGGGGCCCTGGCCGACGTGGACATCGTCCTCGGCGCCACGGAGGACGACGGTGCCCTCGGGCGCTCACGCCTCCCGCAGGTTCGGTGGAGGACGATGTTTTATTTTCGCATTCGTCGAGCGACGTCGGCCGCAGGCGATCCGCTTGCCGGACGAGGGACGTCGTCCTCGTTCTGTCCGTAAGCGGGTCGCTACCTCGCACAGATTCGTCGCGGATGTAACGATGCAACACCGGCGCCCGGGTTTGTCACTCCGTCTCCGCAAAGGGCGACCTCTCGGACGCATTCCGCCTCTTTGTCTGCCGGTCGGTCATTCTCGTTGACCGTCGACCATCATCGCCTTCAGCTACGACGCGTCCGGCCCAAGCCCTCTTACTTTTCGTAACCGTGATTGTAATGTCAATATAACGAGTGTTCTCTAATCCGTTTGTTCCCTTTCTATCTTTCAATGTAATTCCAACGACGCAATCCCCCATACTTCTTTGCACCTTTTTAAGTTTTTCTTTCTGGTCCGTGTCATCATCAGTAATATGCGTGGATCAAACATTCTTCTTGAGGCACATCGGCACCGTTGCTTTTCAATATTCAGCTCAGTTTTCTAAAAGCCACTCCAACCCGATCTCATCCACCTCTTACTTTCAACCACGCTGATGGGTGGAGGGAAGAGTGCTTTATCAGGAACAACCACAGTTATTATAATTATTATTGACGCTTGTTCACCCAAGAAAGTCTCAACGAGTCCCGTGACTCTTTTCAAGGAGGTTCCTGCCAAGTGTATTGCAGGAGGTGGGTGACCACTGCTATGAATATTATAATTATTATAATTTGGCGGTCATTTTTTCCCCCCACAACTTTGGACCATGACACGGGCAGCACCAGAGGCCTACTCTTGCGAATGACACCACGGGATCTTTAGCATCAACTGCGAGGAAGAGGGCGCCTATTTAGCTGGAGCGCAACACGCAGACGAAGCTGTCCCCAACGCCGCACCGTAATAACCGCAGCGGCCGCCGGGCTCGATCCGCCAAGCTCTGCACCAAGCAGTCGGCCGCATGGTAGGGGACAATTGAGCCACAGTTAAGCGATGCCTTTGCAACTAATTATTTCATGTTCAGTAAAATATGTGCCAACTGTGCACAGCAAAACACGTATACAGTAGAACTGTATATTAATTCATTTCACCAGGTTTCCTCTGTAGATATTTAATACAAATTTTAGTGGTTAAAACACATGAGAATATTGCATTCATGCCAGAATCTCAAAACATATAAACAAGGTGTTTCAGCCAAAATGTTGGCCGCTGTAGCTTTTGGCTCTCACAATGTGATTTGCTGGAAATGTAATAAATGTAAGCAATATGAGGCTGACTGGTACGAATGCCGGTTGGATCACTGTGTAAAATTACGGTCTATGCTTATTTCGCTGCACCTACGTAGGCATCAACATCGTCACCATCATCGTCACTCATTAAACACTCATTTATTGGCTGAAGACATCTTAATATGTAGAGGACTGCAGAGCTTGTGCGAGTCTCTTTGCCGCCTGCTGGCTGTCTTCCCGCTCGTCTGTGCAGTGCCACGTTACAAGTTGCATTATTGTTAACTAGAAAGTTCACTATACGTATCTTATTTGATAAATAAAAATTCACCCGGCTAATCCCTTGAGATGGAGCATCTAATTTCCTTTAAGATAGAGCGTCTCATCCATTGTCAACGTCACCCATCAGCCGTGACCTTGATGATGTCATGATGGAGGAACGGCAAACATTTCGCAGAATGACGGCACGTCTTGATATCCGGCCAAAAATGTTCGCCAGATTCGGAGTGAATTGTGGAGACATAAATTATCATCATCATCATGTTATATTATAGTGGTTTAATATTGTTTAATGTTGTCAAGGAATAAACAACAGTCCTGTTACTAAGATGATTCCTGGGTCAATTTAACCTCTTTTTTTCGAATCTTCTCCACGTTAGTAGCTGAACAATAAATAAAATAAAGGATTGCTTGAGCAACGGCACAAGCAACAATCAACTAACACACCTCAGTCACCACCAGCAAATGCCTTCCAGGACGAAGATATATTCTCTTCTGGGCCGATGGTTTGGGTCGTATGCCTTCTTCAGAGCAGAATGCCTGAAGTGTAAATCATATACAAACTATTTGATGATATTTTATTGTTGTAAATTAGCGTCTCTGATGACGACGGCAGCTGAGGTTCCTATTCGCAATTGGCACAGCAGTGCCGTTCACCGGCACGACACCGCTCTTATTCACCAGCCTCAGACTGCCGTGGGTGGGGGCTGACGACGGCTTAGCCCCCCCCCCTCGCCTGCCTGCCTCAGGCTTCCTCCATCTACACAGGCGGTGAGAGCAGAATGCACGATGGAGAAAGCGGATTGTGAATTATTCTGTTCAGTGTTTAACGTTTAATTACGGTTTGTTTAACATTCAACGGGTTGTGACCCCCCCTCCCCCCCCCCGTGGTTTTACATGCCCCACCTCCTATTAATAAGGTCCCGTGACAGATGAGTTTTTTTCTGGTCACATTCTGATGTTGCCGTGAAACCGACGCACTCCATGCCGTTCCGCGTGGCCCGCCGGGCGGTGTCCAGGTGTTTCCCAGGTTCACCTCGATGAGCTACAGCAGCGCCGGCTTCGACGTCGCTTTGCAGAAGGTGCTGCGTGGCGCCGGGGCCAGCTCGTTCGCGCGCGACGCCGTGCGATGGTTCTACAAGCGGGGAGACGGCGCCAACCCACCTCCCCTCGCCGACGACGAGTCCTGGCTCCTGAGCAACGTCTCGCGGTGAGCGTCCGGCGACGCTGCGGACTCAGGTGGCGGCCCGATGACAGCGGCCGCCTGCCCCGGCCGGGCGTTGGACACGAGCGCGGCGATAAACAAATAACCTCTTTAGAAAAATACACGGCGATGTTTAGCGCACGCTGCGCGAGACTAATGTGTCTCTTGCGCGTGGTTCTTTAAAAGAAGGAATGTGTTTTTTTGTGTCCGTCGATGGTTCGTGGTGGCAGGGACTACGACGTGATCTGCCCTGCTGTGCACATGGCGGAGATGTGGGCCGCACGCGGCAAAGCGAACGCCTTCCTCTACTACGTGCCGACGCAGCAGTCGTGGAACACGTACGCACACCCGTTGTGCACCGGACACCGTAAACGAGGGCCCAGTGAACACTTGTTTGGGGCACAGATGGCGAGCTGTTCCGCCGCAGCGTTCTGCCTAAGCATACTCGAATGCTTCCTACCCAAGGTTAAATCGTCAGTGCATTGGCTCTGTCCGTCTGTCTGTCTCTATATCGGCGACCACGATTACGCTTGTAAAGATGATTCAATATAAATTCAATTTTTGTGTAAGAATTGTGTGCGATAGAAAGCCGGCCATTTTAGTCAAAGTATTCAGCAAAACTTGGCAATGAAAAACCAGCGCACCGTAGATAAGCTTTTCGGCCAAAGCTTCATCACTTAATAGTTATACCGCACCTCCTACACAATAAGTCTCCAGGCAACCTGCAGCAGGGGACCCCCAGTGGCAGCTGTCCGTGTGCAGCATAGGGTGAACGCAGAACCGGCTCTGCAGGAGGGCATTAGTGTGCCAGGAGGGGGCGATGATTTTAAGTGGTTTCCCAATCCGGCAATTTTGTGAGTCATTTACAATATATGTGGCCCGTGCCAACGCCGCTACTCCACTGGACACAGCAGTGCCTCTCCGTATCGGTGCCCCGCGAGAGTCATCACCGACATTGCCTCCTCACCGCCCCCGTCCCGCCCCTCCATCAGCCTGGAGTGGGAGCCACACAGCGACACGCAGCTGGCATTTGGGGTGCCGCTGCACCCCGAGAGGAAGGGCCGCTCCTGCGTGGGCGAGCAGCAACTCTCTCGACACTTCATCGGGTACCTGGCCAACTTTGTGAAGTCCGGGTGAGGAATCCTCGCGGTCGCCACGCTACACGCTGAAAAGGCATTGATACTACGCATAAATGTACACGTATATATATCAAAATGCATTGGTACATAAATGGTTTATGCTTTTTGATGCAATATTTTTCACATGCTGTGATACAGGAATCGCAAACATAAACATTGACATGGAAATGAACAAAAGCTATAACATGTGCACGAATCACCGTGGAGAAGTACACACTTGGCATTGCAACACGTGGGTTGGAGAGCGCACTTTGAAGAAAAGTTCGTGGGCTTGGGCAGGACACGTCATGGCTGAGGGGGACGATGGTCAGCGGTCAATAATAATACCGGTCCCAAAGGACGTTCTCCAAGGAGATAGAGCAACGAGATCAGCACGTGTGCAGGCGCTGGATGCATTGCGACAACGTCATGAGTTCTGCTGGCTTAGGGGGGGGGGCCTTCGTCCAGCACTGGATAAATCATGGCCAATGATGCTGATGATGTGTAACTGTGGTGTTCTGCAGAGGCTCGTGGTGTGTATGGTAATTATTATTGTAATCCGTGGTGGTGAGGGTTCGTGGTATTTCCTGTGGAAGAGTCACACGGTGCTGTGCGTGCTGGCGCTGCGCTCGCGCGGGCGATGGTGGTGTCACGTGCCGATGCAGAGACCCGAGCTTCCCGAACAGACACGCGCGTGGCGCCGGCAGCCGCCTCCTTCCAGCGTGGCCCAGGTTCTCCCTCAACGAGGCCGGAGGCTTCTACAAGGAGGTGCGGGCGGGCATGCGCAACCAGAGAGGCCTCAAGATGCGAGAGTGCTCCTTCTGGAAGGACTACGTCCAGCCTCTGATGGCCGCCACAGGTGAGCAGCTCTCTTCAACGCTACCAAACTCGCGCGACTGTCGCGGCCAAAGAAAACAATCTTGATGGCTCAGCGGATTGTTGCGGGATAAATAATTATTCTCATCATGCCAACTCACCAAGTGTGTATGTTGAACTTCTTTCGCACCGTACGTAGCCAGCTTTTCTTATCGGAGGTGTGTCCTGGTTGAGCCTCCAGAAATTGGGTTTCTTAAGCTCTCTTTGATGTTTTGGATTTCGCTCATCTAGTTGAGCTGCGTTAGGTGTTGGGCGTGGGCAAAGCTGGGAAAGGTGTGCAACATTCCACTGCATCAGTGCTCCTGCGTGGCTGGACTAATGGATTTCCCGTGTGTTCCTCAAGTGTTTCTGTGCCCACACGTTATCTGGGTGGATGAGCACTGGTCACAGAGTGGTACTCATTTTATTTACCCCAAGCGGATTGAAAGGGTGAGTTGACCCCTGACTGGGATTTTAATTCGTAACCTTGCCATTGCAATCCATACCTTCTACCACTTGCACTAGCCGACTAAATTGTTTAAAAATTACATTTATTTATCCAGGAAAGCCTTACTGAATGTCAGGTCTCTTTTTCAAGGCTGGTCTTGCATCGAGATGTTTGACCTATTCTATTTTAAGGAGTGAATTGCATATAAGAGGAAAGTAGTGCCCAGAGAAAACCCACAAATACAACAGGGGATATCACTCGAAAGGTTCACACGGACAAGTTTCAAAATTCTGCTCGCTGTAATGCTTTTACATGGCCACCTTGCAGCCCAGCGGGTTTGAGAGCATCATTGTCGATGTGATCCACCAACCCTTACCTCCAAGCGCTGGATTACAGGCGTGCACCATCACGCCCGGCTGTTACATGAAGCGTTCTGTCAAGTAAAGCCGTAATGGAATGCATAATAGCTTTATATATTTTTTTTGTTCTTACATGAGGCAGATAATGCCTCAGTTTGTTAATTTAACAACTGCCCCTTGCGTACGAGACGTGTCTTGCACATCTGTCCGTGAGGGCATTTCTCCGGAGTCTCCACAGCCCTGTCATGGAGAAAGATTTTTTTTTATTCTTGCGTGGAACACTGCCGCTCCCAATAAGACGCCCTCTGCCTGGTCTTGTCTATCGTAATGCTTCTAATTTTTGTCCTTTGACACGATTGACATATGCGATGCCGGTACATGCAAGACATGACATTGAACACCTTGCGTGCTGTGAACAGAAGGCCAAAGCTTGGAGCGCAAATGTTGTTTTTTCAAGTATAAACAAACTATTGTTTTAATGCCGTTCGAATTTATCTTCCTGTCACGTTCAGTAGGTGTGCGTGTTGACAAACAAGCACGTGGTAGATATTGAATATTGCCATGCACAGTTATAATTGCTGCAGCAATAAGTCTAAAATATTGAACCTTTTAAAAATGCGTGGGAATTGCTGAAAAACGCTGAAGAGTTCTATTTCTCAAAGAGGTTTGGACCCGACGGGACAGACTGTGACCTGCAGTGAACAGAACACCACCCCGGCCGACATTATTCCTCTCATTCTCAGAGTTATGAAGTGTTCACGAGTGTCGGAACGAGCTCTTGCGGTATAATTCTTCATTCTTCCACGTCACGTCCTAATCCCCTTCCTTTTGAAAGAACATTCCACCATCACTTGTAGAGGCACTCTGTAGGAGTGAGGTGACAAGGTGTGAAGAGCTATGCTCGGCACGGGTTATCGAAGGACAATCTCACTTTTTTGCGACTGAGATGGCCTGGCCTGCCCTCATTGCTGCATCCTCAATCAAGTAACCACGCAAATTCAATTGCATTGAAGTTGATTTGCACAGCTGTTTAACTCATCACCATCATCATCATCAGCCACGATCTATACACTGCTGGACAAAGGCCCCCCAAAGCCGATGTTGTCACGTTCTTGCGATGCAACAATCCAACCAACGCTTGCACACGAGCCGATCTTATCGCTCCGTCTCCGCCGTGGATGCCTTCTCTGGCGTGTTCTTCCCTCCTCGGGCTGCCACTGTTGTTAATCTTGACCACCAACCGTGATCCCTCCCAGCGACGTGCCCTGCTCGAGCCCACTTATTTTTCAGAACAGTCAATGTGATGCCTCTTAACTTGTCTTCTGATCCGTGTGTACAGCTGCTATGGGTGAAAGGATTTACCCCTCTGGAAAGTCAATCAATTGTCGTGACTTAAGCGGCACAATATGATTTATATTTCAACTTACTTTTTTTGACATTGTGGGCGTTGGTAACGGTGCTAGTGTGGGGTGATGTGAACCCATTACTCGTGTCCTATACGAACCTAAAAACGCCGATTATTATGCACACAGTTTGATGCATTTTGAATCAATGTTTTTAATTGGTGCACTCTTCTGCTGTGACGTGGATCCCAAGCACGTGTATTGACAATTAAAAATGGAACAAAAGTTGAAAAGTGTACAAGTAAGCGTGGAAAAGTGCATGCTGGGAATTGGGGTGAGAGACAGGGAGAGGTGGATTAGAGATGATACACAATTTAGAGGTATCATAATTACTGCTAGGAAAAGTAAGTGGGCTTGGATGACGCACGTCATTTGGGATGACGACTAGTGGTCGTGGCTAACGACTTGGTGGTGCTCGTGATAGGAGGGTATAAGCCTGAGAAGGCGCCTCCTGTGCAGAGATCAAGCAATTTGACATAATGCGACACAACGCACGGTATAACAAGAAAACGCTTGTGAGTGGCTCAGCCCTCATAATAATAATGATACCCGATACAAGTGAGCGAATGAGTTAACGGACGAATGTTTCACGCAGGAGGCATCGGCGAGGTGGAGCGGCAGTGGAGAGAGGACTACAACGCGTGGCGTCAGGAGGCCCTGCTCGAGTGGCGGGTCCAGATGAGCAACTTCCGAGCGGCGGTCACGGAGAGCATGGCGACGGAGCGACCCGCCGCCGCACCATACGTGTGACCCGCCATCTAGCGCCGTGCCATCGTGCGTAGCCACCGCCGCCATCACCGCCACCACCGCCGTGATCTAAACTAGGCGCACGATAAGCTACTTCTATTTTTGCAGATCACTTTTACTCTCCGGACTTTTGGATGTGATTTGTAAAACATGTTTTTAAATGCCGGTTTGATTGCATATAATCTGCTTTTTGTTTTTCATGGGGAGCTTCTGTTGGTGCTTACTTTTGGTTAGCGGTAGGTCCTGCGGCTATAACTTCCCGGGCATCCGGTGATCATCTCACACGTACCGAAAACGTCCCTCGTGAAGTCTCTGGCACCTCATCTTTAAATAAAATAAAGCCTCTGTACTGTCCGTTATGTTTGAATAAAAATGTTTGCAATTCACCATGTTTATTTGAGATTGTCACTTGCGGTGCGGCCGGTGTTGTTAAAGCGAGACTCCTGCCAAGGGCCGGGGCCGCACCCACAACTGGCTCGGAGCAACACAGCGCCTCGATTGATTCATGAAGAACCATCGGTGATCAAGAGTCTCTCAAAACTACATCAGCTGAAATCTGTGTCAACATTTGGGTTTCAAAAGAACGCACATTCCAAAGGAATTCAAATTCCAATGTCAAATATCGTTTCGTGAGCACGTGTGTGTTTTAAGTAATATTTTTTCAAACATTCGGCAAGGAGGTTAATAAACTTCAGTGATGTCACACATACTGCTTGGTAATGAATTGGAAGGATGATTCCTTACATGGAAATCAAATATACGTGGTTGTGCTAAAAACTAGAAACACATGGCGTGGCAAGGAATGGAACATTTACGAGCTTGACTTGAAACCAAATTTATTTCAAACGTCGCATATTTAATCCGTGAATATTATTTCCCCCCATAAAATTAGATGCAGATGAACCTGGCTTATTCTGCAGACCTATGGACTCATACTTGTGTTCCCTCTGTGGTTCGTGATATCTACTACTTGACAACAAAGTGAACAACTTCGTAACATATCAGCTGCTCAGTGATGCGCACAAAGGTTCGTCCGTTCCACCCTTAGAGAAAAAAAATGTGAATCAGTGGCAAGTCGAAAGATTCGTGGGCGCTTGGCACGCTCAGGTTTATATTTTGAGAGGTGGCCAATATGAGGCATTGAGCCAAATGGTGAGACTAATCTTATTTAATACTGCGGTGTTATTGGCTGTAATCCATGGATAGGAAACGTGCAAACATGAAACTTTGCATTCGGATAAAATAGATAAATTCAACAAACAATATATTCACGAATCATTTACAGCCTGTTTGTGAATTCACTGCTTTCCGGAGGTGTTCCTGCGCTGTCAGTCAAGGGTGTCACGGGGTGAGATGTTAACCACCACGCATGATACACAGGAGGTCGTGGGTTCGATCCCGACCTTGACGCCTGTTGTAGTTTTAGAATTTGCTTGTTCTCCACGTGGTCGCGTGGATTTTTCTCCGGGTTACTCCGGTTTTTCCCCCCGCATTTAAAAAAAACGTGCGTTCAGAGTATTTGGCTGCGATAAATTTCCACGCGATAATCCACTTTGTTGGGCTATCATTTGTGCCCAGGTCGCTTCTGAAATAGAGCTACGTAGCTCAGTGGGCCTTGCCTGGTAAAATAAAAATAGTTTACAGTTTTGTTTATCTTTTTTTTATATTTCATCCAGTTGGTCAGTGCGGGTTGGTGAAATGGGGGGGGGTGGTTTAGTGGGCTGGAGCAGTGCAGGCGTCATTCGTCTCTCACGTTAACCATCGCTGCGAATTAAATGTAGGTCACGGAGCTCATAATAGCATAACGCACTCACCACTGTCCCACCGCTCCATGCTACGGTATTAACGCTTCATTCACAAAACATAACATCGAAAGATCGTAAAAAAATGTCACTCAGTAGTGAATAGATCATGGCTGATGGTGAATTCACATAAGCGCACACTTTATAATCACACACAACACAAGCCACTGTGAGGAATTTCAAATCTAAAATGAATCTGCAGCTTCTGTTTGATGACATCTTTCGCCTCCCGCTTTGCCGTCCCATTCCCTCTCTCTTTTTTTACGATCAGAGGAAACAAGAAGATGCTCGGTGTAGTCGGCACTTTGCTCCGTTCATCATTTCGTTTTTTGTGTGTTTTTATGCTTTGCTTTATGTAACCCCCCCCCCCCCTCCTTTTTAAATGAAAGACCCAACAAAATATTTTTTCTTTTTTTTTCTGCTCTCCTTACCCCTTCCCTCTCTCTCTCTACCCCCCTCTCTGCCTCTCCTCTCTCTCTCTACCCCCCTCTCTGCCCCCCCCCCCTCTCTCTCTGCCCCCTCTCTTCCTACTCCATTTCTCTCTCTCCCTGTCTCTGCTGTCATGGTCGGGAGCAGTCCGCCACCGTCGGCGACGACTCAGACTCAGACAGTGGTCGCCCGCTTTGCGAGAGTCGCCTGGGGCCCGCACGCCCAACGACCGAGCCGAAAGCAAAATGCAGCGGCGGTGCTAAAGGTGCAGTTGGCTTAAGGCGATTTCGTTGTTTGAGCGTTGAGGAAGGGCTGCCCGCCCGCACAGAGCGCTCTCGTGTGCTCGCCTTGCCTTCGAGGTGTGTGCCACGTTGCTCTGTTCCTGGCAAGGCGCCGACACGAAAATAAAATGCGCAGCTTTCAAATGAAGTATGCGTCAGCCATCAAGATACAGTAAAAGGTAAAGGTGCAGCCCTGAAATGTATTGCTCACTCCACTGCTGGCAGATAGGCTCGAGAGAGAGAGAGAGGGCTTGGCCTACTCTTCCACACTGGTTGAGCGTCTTGAAAGAGGCGCGGAGCACGCACACTTGACGCCACTACAGGCCACGTGCCAATTGTCTGATCGTCGTGTACCTGTGTACTTGTACATTTTGTTCAGTCCCCCTCCAGTCATGAAAACAGACATACACACACACGGGCTCGCCTCTCCGTGTCTGCCGATTCAACTTAACCGCAGCAGTTGCGTGCGGGCGCATTTATTTGTGTTGGACGGCTCTGGGTGTTTACTCGCGAACTTAAAAACAAAACACCGCCACTGGTGTAGAATGTGACGCCAACTTTCTTCGACTTTACGAATTAAGAAAGGCGTGCTGATCGTCCAGCCCTGCCTCCCACACACACGACACCACGGGGCTGAAATCTCCGTTCTTTCAAGTTAAAACGTTTGAAAACACCCTCCACTGGCGTGCACAATTCGGATAAGAATCGATTCTCCCGAGGGGGTTACAGGAACGTGGCCGGCTACGTTGCGATGGGGGGGGGGGGGGTGTGCGCAGAGGCATGCGTGTGAAGCCCTCCTCACAAGGGGCTCTTCAGCCTCCTCCAAGTGCCCTTTCCTAGGGGGAGGGGGGGTCCCGATGCGGTTCCATGCCCCCACTTCAAGTCGCGTTCTTGTCGTCGTCATTGGCGATCCATTTTCCAGCTGTACTCACTTCACCGCTTCATTGTGTTACCGACTTCGCGGCGTTTCTCGTGGATTTAGATGCATCCCCTGTTACGCGTGCGTGCGTGTGGATGTTGAACATTTTTCGGTGAAGCGCACGGAGTCAACCGTGCTAATCGGAGGTGCGTGCAAAGCATGGACAGCGCCTTGTGTGTCAATCCACTGCTGGATGAGGGCCTCCCCGCACCGTCTGGACTGTGGGGGCTACTCAGGTATCAAACCCAAAAACCTGTACTATGGATGATATTGGTCGCGACAGCCTACGTGTTGAGTAGACAATACGCAGGTTGGGTTGGTGGTTTCAGGCAGTGGGCATAGGAGGTGGAAGCATAGAAGTACAGTACAGGACACGATTTGGTCTTTCTGCACCACCTTCTTGCCGGCCACCATGTAGCCCCCCACGTTCTGAATCAACCCATCCCATCACTATCCAGCCGAAGCTTCGCTGCCGATTCGAAAACTGGAGTCTAACCTTGGCTGTCGTTGGAGTGAACATCCCTGCGTTTGCATCGGCAACCAGCTCCCCAAAGACGATGATTGATGCGTTATTGTCACGGCCCTGGGATAGGATACAATCACGTGCCGCATGTGTATCCCCCAGGAGCACTGGATCGTTAACACATGCATTCGAAGAATGTATACGTTGCGATCCATTGACAGATACCCCGCTAAGATATTATCGAGAAATCGTAGAGAAAACGACATTTTATTTCTAAGCTCCCACACGTCTCCCCAGTAAAGCTCAACACCCTAAACGCGTGCAACAGGGTTCCTCCTCTGTGAGACAACGGACCCATCGCTCTCACAATATTCAATCGGCTGTCTAGAAGAGGGTCGTTAACAATCCGTGGGTTATCTAATGTTGGATCGCCCAGTGCATAGCTGCGTGCATTAAACACGTGGAGACGTTATCCTGGCCGTGAGCAGGTTTTTGGAAGGCCCTATCCATATACATTGTATCAATTCCTCAGAATATATGTTTTAAAACACGATTTTATGTTCGGCATACGCACCTTGAAAAACAACATTGGCATAACCATTGATGTGTTTGCAACATTTGCGATGTTATTTCAAAATTACAATCCGCGTGCAGCTCCCGTTCGTGCGATGTCGGTGTTAGGTGCCAATGTGAAGTTGGCAACTCGTGGCGAGACCGCGAGAGGAGACAGACGAACCCGACAGCAATCGCTGTCGGTTGCCACCAGGGCAGTTAAACAAGTCCGAGTTTCAATCCGAACAGAAGCTGACAAACCAGTCCAACAAGGGAGCATCTTTTTGTTTTGTACGTAGGCTCGAACTTACACGCGAGGCTGATGCCTTTTATAACGCATTTGCGTTCTTGTTTGTTTCTGAACATATTTTTCTGAGTCAATCTCGCCCAACAACTATACAGATCTTAAACACTGTAATATTTTTGGGAAAGTTTAACGAAGCAATTGGTTTGGGTGTAGGTACTGTAGCACGGTTCATTGTTTACGTGATAAAAAAAAAACAAGTGGAGTTGTCCCCTCTGGTTTGTGTCCTCAAGTTCTGGGCATCCATTTCGTCGAACGAATCCGGACGTTTGTTTCATGAATGGGGCATCTTTACTGGACTCGCTATGGTGAAGCTCCTGAGTGAGCGACGGACAAGCAAAGACCGGCAGAGCCGACGGATATCGTGAACGCTCTCAAACTAAGTTGTAAGAAGTTTAACCAACAGCTCGGCGCGTCGGTGGTCACAGCATAATTACCGATAACACTGAATTGCCTCCAGTTGGGCAGTTCGTGAGCTGGAGGGGTGATAGAGGAGTGTGAGCCAAAGAGAGAGGGTGATCGGGATAGGGGAGGTGTGGTGGTGGGTGAGGGCTGGGAGCTGAGTGGTGGCTGGGCGGTTCTGGCCGTGTGTGGCTGCATGAGGAGGAGGCGGGTCTGTGGGCGGTCTCCCTTCCAAACAATTATCACTCCGATGCAGTTGAGCGGGCGGCTCTTCGCATTTGGGAAGAGCCGCGGTTGTCCACGAACCCCGCCACCGCAGACAGCGGACAACATCCCTCTCCATCCAGGTGCCCTGCGCGCCCGCTCTCCTCGTCGACTGCATGAGCTCTACACAACACACTCCCACCCGCTGGAGGTTCACACATGAGCCGGCTGTCTGTACCCCACCCCCCGGCTTTTTTTTTGGGCTACTCTTTGTGTTTCCCCGTGGTCCAAGTTTTGCGCAGACGGCTCAATTTGATCCCAAGTGCGCAGAGATTGTTTTTGTGTATTTTGTATTGGCGGCATCTGCAAGCAGCAGCATCATCAGCATCATCAGCAGCAGCATCAGCAGCATCATCAGCAGCGTGCGCCTCCACGTTATGCGGTGCGCGGATGGTGCGGGGATCCTGGACGCGAGATGAGACGGAATTCTGAGTCCAACTCATTCCTTCTGCTCGTGGTGGTCGCGCTCCAGGTGAGACTCGTTTTGTGTGTGTTGTGTGTTTTGTGTGTGGTGTGTGTATTTGTGTTTTGTGTGTGTGTGTTTTGTGTATGTGTGTGTGTTTTGTGTATTTGTATGTGTGTTGTGTGTGGTGTGTGTGGGGAGCGGTAGTGTAGCGGTTAGCGTGCTGCGAATCAGACGAGCCGAGTTCGATTCCCGCTCACGGAACTCGTGAGGAATATCCGAACCGGTTCTGAGTCTCCCTCTAGGTCGACTCGGACTCAAATGGGTACCGGGCGCGGTGTGCAAACATCGCCACGGGCGCCACTGGGAGACAAAGGCGGCACGGCGTGGTGCTTGACCACCCGTGCATGCCTTCATAGGTGCTCGCTAACCACTTGCCCAAAAAAGTCTGTTTACGCTCTACGGGGGATGTTTGTCTTTGTTGTGATGCACTGCGGGGAGCGCATTGACGTTATACGTAGCTGGCAACCTTAAGTTGAATGGAGATAACGTCAGTGGTGAGTGATGTGTGAACAGGACCCGTTCATCTCCCTTGGTCGAGTCAACCTTAAACGAGAATACCCGGCGCGATGTGTAAACATCGACATTGGGGAGACAAAGACGGCCGTGTGTGGTGCACGCCCACCCGTTCGTGCGTCGTTCGGGCCTTAATAGGCGCTCGCTAACAGCACTCGCCCGGCAGGGCAAGACGGAGGGAAGAGAGAGCTTGGTGTGAACATGCAGCCCTGCTGGTAACATTCGTGGTGTTCACGTGGGGCGGGGGGGGGGGTCATCCAGCGGTGGAGTGATCATGGCTGATGATGGTGGTGGAGTTCAGGTGAAGATCTGTGTATTTCGGTGGCAGCCTGTAGCTGCAATAAGTGTACTACTTGTGCCGTTCCGTTGTCTGCGTTGCGAATGTATATACACTGTGTGAATCGGACAAAGATATCGTCTTAACGGACTGTTGGGGCAGGCGCTGTTAGCGAGCATCTATGAAGGCCGGAACGGCACACGAGGGGGTGGGTGGCCAGCACCACGCCTGGCCGCCTTTGTTTCCCCAGTGGCGATATTTACACAGGGGAGACCCAGGACCGGTTTATAAAATCGCCACTGGTGTTGGCCGTGAGCGGGTTCGTTTGGCAGCGCGCTAAACCACTACACTACCGCTCCCCACATAGTTACTGTGTGTACACTTGAATACGCGCATCACGGTGCGCCGTCTAAACAAAAGATAACCCATGTCAATATGCCAATGGGCTGTTTTAATAATGAAGATGCACGCAGGATGTTCATACCAACACGCATGAGAATGGACACGCGTTATCTTCATGTGCAGTGTCATCGCGCGAGACGGGCTCGAGATGGGGGGGGGCAGACAATCCTAGCTGTTAAAAACATTAAGTGGACACGTCATCGCTGGAAGTGAATGGTGAAGGGCAGTGGTGAAGACTAATGACGGAGTGGCAGCCACGGAATGGATTGCGTTCGAGTAGTCTCCGTGGAGGAGACGGAGCATGAGATCAGCTCGTAGAGGGATCGTTACATCTCAGGGCCGTGAGGGATGGCGACGGCTTTGGGAGGCCTTCATTCAGCAGTGGATTGGCCATGGCGAATGATAATGATGAGAGCTGTAAGTACATCAGCGATCGCAGTTTAAATACATGATTACGCAAATAATCGTGATTTTTGCATACAATTCTAATCTAATCAGCAACATCATGTCATGACCCCAGCCTCGGCTTATTGAGAAGCACGGTAGACTGGGATGAGGTTCGCATACCTCTCAACCCATACGGTTTACCCCGTATTCTTGTACAGGGGAATTTAGTTTTACATTCGGCGTACAGCCGTTTCAAAAGGGGCAATTTTTGTCAATTTGTTTGTGTGTCTCCCTTGTGATGGGACTTTGTAGGATGAACGTTGAGATTTATAAAAGATCACGGGGTGACCAATAAGGTCTGAATTGGTCTGTAATAAGTGTGGCAGCACTGATAATGGGTTAACAGCTATCGGTGCGTGATGTGCATATTCAGGCTTGGATCGCAAACCAGCGCGCACGGCTTGTGCTGCTGCGTTAGTTCACGGCGCGTCAACTGTGTCCCCTTATTGGTGTGGGGGCAGTAGCTAAAGCTGCCGACAGTCGCTGCTTCAATGTTACCGAGTGCGTGAGTGAAATGACTGCCGACAGTCGCTGCTTCAATGTTACCGAGTGCGTGAGTGAAATGACTCAATGTGGCTCGTGGACTGCTCTCACGTGTGCCACGCGTGGGTTGAGAGATGTCATCAAAAGCAGATTGGTGCAAAACCACAAGCTTTGTTATTACTGGCAGTCATTAATTAAAATGAGCTCGTTTAATTATTGACTGGGTGACTGCTCCAGAAATTCAGGCCATCAGCTGTTGCTGTTGTCCGTCTGCAACTTCCCAGTTCTGGGGGAAAGGCCTCCCTTATTTCCTCCCAACTCTGAGATGTCGTCTCGTCACCGTCTCTTCTGCTGTCTTCCCCCCACTTCCCTTTGCCTTCTCTCGGGTCTCCACTCCACAGGTATATTTTTTTCCAACCTCTTGTAAGCTGTCCACATGACGTGATGGACTTCCCATTTCCCCTTGATTCTATTTTTCACGAACACATCAACTGTACTTAATTTAAATTAGCGGTCAATATTTTTGTAGCCATGGCAATCGAAAAGTGCAGACTATTCACACACCATTCTATTATTTAACTTCACAGTTGCACCCACCTCAGTAGATTATGGTGTGTTAAGTGCATGCAGATGTTGCCTCTGCTCCTGTGACTTTCAGTGCAGAATTTCAGTCTGTGAACTTGCTTCCTTGCGACAACTCATAAACGGTGGTATGTTGTTATAAAATGTTGCACATTACTGTTTCTAATATATTGCAAGCCGAGCCATTGCATCTCTTACACGCATTGTTCCATGACGTCAATTTGCATGAAGCGATCAAGAATCATTTACATTCCATCTTCCTTCCACGCCTCCTTTGTTCACGTGCAATTATCTCCACTGCTGCATTGCATTAAATAACCCATCATGTGCACTTCTTGCTCACAGCTGTAGGCTGTGAAAAGCTTGAGGGGTGATGGATGATTGATCTACGGAGTAAGGTGTCCCTGTAGATGATTCGTTTTGCAGAATTCCATACAGTCCAGGGCCATTTCTTTTATTTGTGTCCACTGTCTGAAAAATTATTGTAAGTATAACTCCTTCAACAACAGGCAATGCTTATACGTGAATACATAACACGAGCAGGATACTTCAGCGGGCAAAAACTTGGAAACAGCTTAGAGAAGGAGAATGGTCATGTGTAGCTGACAAGAAGTGCTGCAGCTCTTGGGTGTGCAGGCGGTGCAACTGCACCGGAACCCAGAGGGGAAGGGTTGAATTGGATAGGCAGCCCCACATTTAATTCCTTGTCTCGGGGCCCGTGTCGACAATTGTCATTTTCATGTCCTATGTGAGAACACGTATGGCACACGAGACTAAGCGTCTGCATGCATAGACTTGAAGCGTACCATCGTCAGCCATGATCAACCCACTGCATGGTCTCTCCAAGTTGTCACCATTCCTCAAGGTCCTACGATGCCACAATGAGATGATCTCCACATCAGCCCATCTCTACCGCGGTCGTGCAGCAATCCATCGTGTGTGTGTGTGTGCAATCGTTTCTGGAGCGTGGTATGGGGTCGCCACCTTTTCCACAAAGCAAACCCGGACACATGTATCCGTCGGCCTAGTTCTGTTATCGACACTGTGCAGCCTACTGCAATACAGTTCAACACAATTCCGGTACCATATCTCAGGATAAATCAATTCTTGCCACCACGAATACAAACATCAACTCTCAGATCAAAGTTTTTTTGGGTAAGATCAGAATTATTAAGAAGTCTTTCTGGCACAATTCTGGCTAATCACCTGATGATGCTAGTTGTGGGTTTACTCTCCAACAAACCGTTGTGATGAAGGAGTAACTAATTGTCACCTTTAGTTTACGTGACAAACCTTACTAAATGAATATTTGTCGCGAAAGGCCTGCATGTTAAACCGACCGACTGCCCAGACTATCTGGGTCAAGCCCGGATAGTTGGCAACCGCCGAACGCGCCAAGGCGGCGAAGTGACTGTGCGTGGCGCCCTCTGCCGGTGAGGTCCGGCACTGCCCGGGTCCTCCGCCGCTGGTCGCACGCGGTCCGCGAGGGGACCAGGGCCCGGCTTGTTAATTGGGCCCAGGCAATGCAACGGTGCCAATGGGCGCAGCGAGCGTGGGTGGCGTCGCCCGTGTGCGGGATCCAGCCGACGGTGAGGCACGGTGCGGCCAACAGAACATCGCGAGCGCACGTTCACGATACGCTTGAGAGACATCCACACACGCACCTTGTCCAGACTCATTGTATGGTGCACAGGCGAAAATTAGAACAAAAAACCTCAACATTCGTCAATGACACTGTGGCCTTAAATTGAAATATATAATAGACGACGTTTTGGGCAATAGCCATTCAGAGCACAGGCACGTTTAGACATGGCCCAGAGACACCGACAGGTTCTTAGATATGGCTCAGAGACACCCACAATGTGTTTGCACTATAGTATGGCTATAAGGCACAAGATTTGTAGACGTGGTTAAGACGTCGGAGTCTGCATGCGGGATCGGAGAGGTAGGCGGTGTCGAGTCCATCCACGGCTGATCTTGATGCCGAGTGTGATCTTCAGATCGATTCCTCAGCAATGCGATGCTTTGTGCACAGGCAAATCAGCAACGTTATTGCAAACGCTCAACAATGCTGTGAAACACCCAGGGCCGATTTGAACGACGCATTAAAAAAAAACCTGTGCCCATTTGATTCCCCGCTGTTATGCATTCCCTAGAATATGGACCACCTCTGAGGAGTCAAGGTGCGTTCCAATGTCTTCATCTGCATCACATTGATGGACATTTTATTTAGAAAGCCTACAGGAGGCAGATGCAAAACACGCTGCAAACGTTGCGAGTTGGCCGATCGCAGGAGCTCGGGCTCCCCCCCCCCCCCCCCCCCCCCCCCAGTAATGCGTGATTCAAACAAATTACTCGAGACGTTGGTGTATGGCAAGCAAGAGCGGTTTATGCGAATGCTGTTGACAGAGGTCACACGTTTGGCCGCAATGGTCCTTGGCCGACTGTGCGCGATGAATGGAGTGGAATGAGGGGCACCCTGAAGTGGCGTTGTACGAAACGTGGTGCAGTGTATTTGAGTACGACGTTTTCGCCATTCCATCGAGGCCACACGACATGCCGATGGCGCTAAGAGAGAACCTTTACAAAGAGACAGCAGGGCACGGGCAGCAGTCGCGTAGATTCACCACAGCTCGTGCAGCAGAACTGTTATTTCCGTGACAAAGTGGGGGGCGAACATCGCAGATGCTATCTGCGATCTCGCCCACAATCGCCGGGAACCGTTTGCCAGTAGGACTATTTAACTTTTATTTTAGGTAAGGCCCACTGTGAGCTATATACCTTTTTGTCAGAAGCGACCTGGCCACATGATAGCTCGACGAAGCGGCTTGTCACGTGGACAATTATAGCAGCCAAATATTCTAAACGCATGGTGTTGATTCTAAATGTGGAGGGATAAAACGGAGGACCCGGAAAAAAATCCACGTGATTACGGGGATACCACCCGCTGCCACGCGTGACCGCATCCACTGCTTGATCGTGCATCGTGTGCTGCTGCTACAGACGAACGTCAAGTGCTGAACCCATCCAACTTCGGGCCCGTCTATGCCCCAAACCTCCCCCCTGCCGCTCTCAAGATTGGGAGGAATGTTTCGCGTCATTGTTGCCCAGTCTCACGAAAGAGGGAAAAAAATACAAAACAAGATCAACCGATTAAAACTTGTGTTTGAAGCGGCCATTACCGTCTTCTATCACTATCAAATGCCATTAAAGATAAACTTCCAACTTAAAAGGAAATATGATAAGCTTAAGAATATTATTGCAGTAATCTAAATTGAGCGCTTTTGAAAATATGAATGTTCCCATATCCATTAAGTTTTACGTTCCTGATAGTTGCGGAGTTCTAGTGCTGGGCTTAGTGAATGTGTGTGTATGATGTAAAGGGACTGCCTGGTTAGCACATCTCACCCAGTGGAAAACTCTACTACACGTGAGCTGCGTGCAATGTGAAACGAAATTTCACGCAGTAGCAAAAAGGTGAGAGTCAGGATTTAAAGACTGCTTTATAGTTGATACTGAAATACTTAAAAACAAATACACAATTACACCTATTGCTTGGTCATTTGAGAATGCAGTAATTTGCATGTTAATGTTTAAACACACCACAGTGAAATATACGTGCCATGAGGAAGGGCCATCACTCAAAATGTCACCTTTCGTGATTTTTGTAGATTTTTTTTAATTTGCTTTGCTTTTGTCTAATTGGTGGCACAGGTCACTGGCAATTGAGACTATCCGATTCTTTTTGAGTTCTCACCCGGTGAAACTAAACCATCTCCGGCAGGCCTGCATGGTGGGCGCCTTCGTCGGCAACATGACCGGGACTGCCGAGTCTACGGTGGAGAGCAGCGTCACCTCATCCACCTCATCGACCTCATCAACCTCATCTTCTACCACGCAACTTCCGGCAGCGCTGGCGTCGCAGGCACCGTCCAACGAGCTGCACCCGTCCGAGCGCCGTCAGTTCTGCGAGTGGCCCTGCCGCTGCCCCGCGCTGCCCCCGCGCTGCCCTCCGGGCGTGAGCCTGGTGACGGACGGCTGTGGCTGCTGCAAGACGTGCGCGCGTCAGGGCGGAGAGCGCTGCACCGAGGCAGACACGTGCGACTATCACAGGGGCCTCTACTGTGACTACTCCGGGGACAGACCTAGGTACGAGATAGGCGTTTGTGCATGTAAGTTTCACCCTTTGCAATCTCTACTCCCCCCCCGTCCCCCGTGCACGAGCGCTAACAGCAGGTGGTCGAGATAAACCCGCCAGGCCGCCGCTGCGACCACTGCGTGGGTTCCGCCGCCCCACGTGTTAACGCGGTACGAAGGTGCCGTTTAATGTTTGGGAGGTTTGGCCACCGTTACAAAAAAAAAAGTCGTGCCTGTCATTAAAGAATTCAACTTTTTATTGACGTTGAAATGTTTAATGACGGTGGATATTGAAAGCTGCAATGTTCTTACGCATGGAATAATACATAGTTTAAAATTTTAGAACACCTAGAAGGTTTATCTCTGTTAAACTAGAGGGCCAGTGATCCAAACAACATATAATTAAATTACATTTGAACTCAAACTGTGCCCTTACCAATCATGTAAGTTACATACAAAACAACCTTCAAGAGCTCTCTTGAAATGCGACGAATGAAAAATGTTAAATTGTGGATTTAAGATCAACACGTGTGCAATGGCTAACGCTTGGAAATTATTGACATGTGCTGTGGTGACATGTCATTTTGCATGTGAAGGCTCCAATGAGGCTGCAGATTTAATCTGAAAGTTAACTTCATGCATGCAAGTGAATGATTGTTCAGTATATCATAAACATTTAGCTGTTACGTCTACGGACATTACATTTATTAAGCAGCCAGCACACCTGAAAAAGCATATTTCAAAACCTGGGAATGTCTTACGACAAACCTTCCTGTGAATTGCACTTCTGTCTGTGAAAACCAATAGGGTTCAGGTGCCAATTTAGTTTCATATTTATAAAACCGCAGTAGGTTATGAAGTGAGGTCCTTCATAGCATGCACATGACTCGCGTTTAGGAATTTACAGTCGAGCTTGCATCGACTCTCCTCGGGCGTTTTCCGTGGGCCCATCTATCTTGAACATCAAACAGGTTTTGGCCGTTTGCCAAGCCGCATAACACCACGCCAGTGGCCAGGGGCCGCTAGGCACCACGAGTCCGCTAAGTCAGTCTTGCTCGCGCCCTTGAACATTGCGTTCTCCCGGCGGAGCACTGCTCGGCGTCGATATTCTGATTTTTTACTTTGCGAAAGTGGGCAATGCAGCACCACCATGATCCATATATGTTGTTGAGTTAGGCCACGGATATTTGAGTTCACCATGGACACAGCTTGCTTATGATGAACTCAGGGTTATTTACACAACTCGGCAGACAACCCCTATGTTTGTTACAAAGGCCTTGTCATGAAAATGCTAATATTTACCATAGCTATTGCCTGAAGTTTTTTTTACGGAATATAGAAAAAAAACGCAACAGTTTTGAGAGGGTTTGTTTTCCATTTCATAGGGAGCTGCCACTGTAGTGGTTAGCATACTCGACGTGGCGATGCAGAGGTCACCGGTTCGACCCCATCTTCTGGAGCGGTAGTAGAAACAATGGTGCGGGTTTCTCAGTCCCCCCCCCGCCTGCGTCCACCCCACACCTCAGATTCCCACGCCTCCGATTAGCACGGTTGGCTACGTATGGTGCGAAAGAAGTTCAACACACACACAGCACGGTTGGCTACGTACGGTGTGAAAGAAGTTCAACACACACAGCACGGTTGGCTACGTACGGTGCGAAAGAAGTTCAACGTGCATAATGAGTACATCACAGTTGGTCTATTGTCACTTCGCTTGCGGTGGGGTAAAGTGGTACACCCGCCTCTTCCAACAACATCTGGCCAAATAGCCTCTAGCGAAGGATAGTCTGCCAGCAGTGGCAAGACCAAGCCATTGCAGGGCTGCACCTCAAATTTCCTTTTAGAAGAGAAACAACATTGGTTAAAGGCATCCGACGAATGGAACTGTTCAAGATTTGGTTGTGGTTGTTTATTGCTATTATTGCCTTGCATGGACAGCGTTTCATTGTATGTACAAGTAATTGTTGACTTAGAAGACTGCTTTGCTGGCCATATACTCTGCTACACCACTGGAATTTTTCTGGGTTTGACCACAATAGACGCACTCATATGGGCTCCTTTCATGTGCAGGCTGAGATATTTTCATGCAGTTTGACATTAGAGAAAATGTTGGCCGATGCATCATTATAGTTGGGCATCTCTTAATACATGTGGTTGTGCCTGTTTTGTATTTAAAACTGGTATTCAAGATTGCTAACTAAAACATAATTGTTTTTTATTGATGTTTTCAACTTTTCACCTTGTACAGAGCATGTAACCTAAACTCCAATTACCTTTTGAAGGAATGCTGTCCTGGTGTAATGGTTAGCCAGCATACTTAGTGTGGAATCAAAGGAGATGCCGGTTCAGTCTCCTGGCGTGGCTGTTGAACTAATGGGCATTTTTGTTTTAATCCACAAACCTCTGTCCACCCAACAGTAAATGTGGGCACACCAGAGTTGGTCGATCGCCAGCTCACATGTGTTGGGGTAGTGTGGGTACTCACACTCATCTGAGACATTTGGCCAACATGGATGGGTAGGTGAAATACCCTCAAGAGGGGCTCTCTCTAGACCTCCCTGTGGTGGAGGTCCTTCTGCCAGCAGTGGTGTGAGCAAGCAATTGTAGGGCTGCACGTTGAAATTTTTAAAACAAGTCTGTACCTGTAATATATCCTGTGTAAGTTACCGTGCAAAATCCTGAAGGAGAAACCCATGCCGAGTTTAACCGGTCCGTTCCTCATGCACTATCCTGCTTCTGATCGCCCACCACCTCACGCACGACCTCCCGCACGATCGATCGACAGACATCATCGGCGTCGGCTGCCGCCTCAATGGCGAGCACTACCAGAACGGGCAGACGTTCCAGCAGAGCTGCCGCTACCGGTGCACGTGCGTGAACGGCGCCATCGGCTGCGTGCCCGCGTGCACGCACGAGTCGCGCCCACCGCTTGTGTGGTGCCAGCGGCCGCGGCGCGTCGCCGTGCCGGGGAAGTGCTGCGAGCGCTGGGTTTGCGACGACATCCGCGCCAAGATCAGGAAGTCCGTGCCCAAGCACCTCGCTCTGGCAGGTAGGCACGGTGAGTGAAATAACATGCGCCGATTTACACGACCCCAAAAGGAAAAGTTTCCTAAATATGCCTTGCCCGTGAAGTCATTTGCTTGGAAATGTTATTTATTTACTTTATGCTTGTTGCCCACGAAAGCGCGACAGAGCATCAGGACTTTTTCAGGAGGGTCCTGCTAACTTTTTGTAGTCTGGGGTGATGCCGCTATCTGTAATCCCAATGGAATAATTTTCAGATAATTTTGCAACATTGCTATGCTTGGCAGATACCAGTGAACATTTTTATTTTGCTATGAGAGGATTCTGGAGATCCTCAAATAAATTCTTGCAGAAGAGGTGGAGAACAAATTCTGTACAGAAAATACACAGCAGTCAAGAATTGAACCCTGGGCCTTATTGCTGAGGCACAAGAGTTACTACAGCGCCACTCTCCTGCCCCTAAATAATTTGAAATACTTCCCATGAAAATCCTTAACTTACAAATACACTTTATTATAGTTTGCGAAATCTGAATTAAGTTGACAAAACAATGGGATGCTGCCGTGGTACGTTGGTCAGCAAAGTGGACTTGACTGTTTCTGTTTAAATTTCGATTTAAAGCTTTCGTGACTGCAAGGATTCATCTTCTTTGTTTTTTTCGGTAAAGTCACGTAGAATGAGAATAAAATAATAAATTAATAAAATAAAATTACACAATAAAATTCTTACGACGTTTCGGCCACAACACAAGTGGCCTTCTTCAGGTGAAAGGAACAGACCTGTCGGGACGACAGAGCTTCAATAAACGTTGTTAAGATTCGTAGTGTCTTTTAAGCTGGTTTAGAGAAGTGAGGCACCTTGACAAAGGGGTTTACATATCAAACAGGAGAATTTAGCATTGAAATAGCTGAGTGATTAGCTTGTGACTGGTCATAGAAATAGCTATGTTAAAGTCAAAGCCTACACATCCACAGAGGCACCTAGTATAAATCAAACAGGAGAATTTAGCATTGAAATAACTGAGGGATTAGCTTGTGACTGGTCACAGAAATGGCTATGTTAAAGTCAAAGCCTACGCATCCACAGAGGCACCTAGTACAAATCAAACAGGAGAATTTAGCATTGAAATAACTGAGCTAATCCCTCAGTTATTTCAATGCTAAATTCTCCTGTTTGATTTATACTAGGTGTCTCTGTGGATGTGTAGGCTTTGACTTTAACATAGCTATTTCTATGACCAGTCACAAGCTAATCACTCAGCTATTTCAATGCTAAATTCTCCTGTTTGATATGTAAACCCCTTTGTCAAGGTGCCTCACTTCTCTAAACCAGCTTAAAAGACGCTACGAATCTTAACAACGTTCATTGAAGCTCTGTCGTCCCGACAGGTCTGTTCCTTTCACCTGAAGAAGGCCACTTGTGTTGTGGCCGAAACGTCGTGAGAATTTTATTGTGTTATTTTATTTTATTAATTTATTATTTTATTCTCATTCTACGTGACTTTACCGAAAGAACCAAAGAAGATGTTTCTGTTTAACCAACGTGCTCACTGTTAACCCCCCTGGCAGTGTTCCGAGACGAACGCGAGGAAGACACCCTGTGGAGGAGCAACTGTCTGGTGCAGACAACATCGTGGAGCCCGTGCTCTGAAAGCTGCGGCCTGGGAATCTCGACGCGCATCACCAACCACAACGCGGCCTGCAGCATGAGCCGCGAGCGCCGCCTCTGCTATGTGCGGCCCTGCGAGACCAACGGAACGCACAGCATCAGGGTAGGCACCTCGACCCGCGTGAGGTGTGGATGGGCAACCTGGCACTGCATTCAGATCGGCACCCTGCGTTGCATCTGGATCCGGATGAAGCACCCTTCACTGCATCTGAACGAGCAACTCGCACTGCATTCAGATAGGCATCCACCACTTTATCATTATCTAGGTGGGCAACCTGTATTGCATCGAGATGAGCACCAAGCAGTCAATACATATTTCATCTTATCAGATATAGGTAATTATTCATAACATCATTAAGTGGCAGGGTTGGAGAATATGTAAACCAATTACTTATGAAGCTTTTCTTACTCAGGAAAGCCCCCCTGCCCATTTTTCATGGTAGCGGGCAATATTGCCAAGTGTAATCCCAATTGAGTAATTTGCAGGTATTTTTTTAGAATTGTGATGTTTAGACAATACCAGTTACATAGAATATTATTACATTATATTATGCTTTGGAAATGTTGGCCTGTGAGACGGCCTAACCTGCAGACCTGCCCTGGGGTGTATAACGACCCTACTGGTGCTCGCAGGAGGGACGCAGCTGCCAGAGGGAGTACCGCTCGCGACACCCCGTGCGCCTCGAGCTGTCCGGCTGCACGAGCATCGTCAGCTACCTGTTCAAGTTCTGCGGGGGCTGCCGCGACGGGCGCTGCTGCGACCCATACCGCACCGCCACCATCAGCGCCGAGTTCTCCTGCCCCGACGGAACGCGAACCAAGTGGCAGCTCATGTGGATCAACTCATGCCGATGCCACAGGCTCTGCCGGAACCCTAACGACATCTTTGCCGACTTGGGAAACCACGATGGTTTCAACGGGATTGAAAACTGAGCCGTTCATGACCAGGAATGTGAAATTGCTTTTGACAACACTTTTACTGTTTTGACAACGGCACGCATTTATAGAAGAGGGGGGTGATGGCGTAAAGCCTCAGTGTCTCCCTGAGGTTCACATGTGTTCTTTGTTTATTACGCTACAGACACTTCAGTATTGAGATTCGGAAACCAACATGATCACAGCTTTGGGAATCAACAACTACAGTGATGGGAGTGTACTTTCACCAGAGGGTAGTGTGTGACTGAAAAGCTTTGTGTTAAAGCTAGATGATAATATAAATGCTAAGCATGTGTAAACGGTTTTTTATTTAGATGTTTATTAAACAACTGGTGCTTTAACATATTTTATGTAGCGAATGTTTGCACTTGCCTCTATTTCCTTATAGAATCTGTGTGAAGATTCAGGAAGAGATGCACATGATTTAAACCGGAGAAGACACAATCTAATAATTTGTTATCCGTTTTTCTTCAAGTGCAAACCATGTTAGTCTTCAAGGAAGAATGTTAGTTAAAGGCAAATTAAGAGATATATTTTGCTTTGCAAAAAAATTGTAAATATTTTTTCAAAATAATCTTACATTGTATTATACATGATAGCTGCTTCATTGTCATTTCTAAAATACATTTTAAAATGTCACAGCACCTCATGGCTTTGGTTTAATAATTTAAATCATGTTTTTATCAAAAAATAATATATACAAGCATTTGTCCTATTTCATGCATTTGTATTGTCTATCCTTTCTGTCTATCTGTAGTTGTTTATCACTGGTAAGGTGGTACAACAAGGTTTACTATGGTACTTATTTACCACCTTGAAAATGAATACGGATACCGACTACACCCAGGATGTAAGAGGACAACAAGGTTGACAATTTGTCAAGAGTGGAGTTATTACTCGACAGTTGCAAGTAAAACGATTAGCATCCAAGCCAAATGTTATACATGTAAAAAACGTACATTACGATCTAACTTTTGAGCTTTGGACAATGCCACTTCCACATGAGCTCACTTGATACAGCCCAGGTCATGTGGCAATGGTGAGGCGTGGGATGTCCCCGGTCAACTGGCCCTTGTTGCGGTCCAGCTGGTTGTATTCCTCAATGACCGAGGCTAGCGAAGAAGCAGCTTCCGTGAAACAGCTCAGCTCCATGCCCTCCACATCCGTGTAGTGGTGCAGGTGTGCCTAGCGGAAACAAACGCAGCTCATGTCAATACAGCCACACTGCTGTGGGGACACGTGAGCAAGTCTGTGAGAAACATATAAAGAGACCACCTTACACACCTTCCCCACCACGCACGACCTGCTAATCCACTCCGGCATACCAATTTAAACTGTTGGGTGGACAGAGGCAGTGGGATTTAAGTAAATTGCCCATTATATTCTTGGTTCTTTTGGTAAAGTCACGTAGAAGGGAAATAATAAAAATATAAAACAATAAAATTCTCACAACTTTACCGAAAGAACCAAGAATATGAATCCCTGCAGTCACGAAAGCTTTAAATCAAAACTTAACTTGCCCATTGTTTAATTTTGCACAATCGGAGATTTAACCGGCCACTTCTGCAGTTCAAGTCCAATGTGCTGACCAATACAAGTGTCTACACATTAGCAAATGGTTTGTACCAGTGGTGATGTCTGCTGATAAAATTCCTTCTTTACTGTTTAACAAAACACGTAAATTGTACATATTCTCAATGTATCAAATGTGGTAAAAACTGAGATGCAAGCTGCTACGCATACTGTCAGTGGTTGTGGAACTGTTAGTTACATTTAAACATTACAGAAAATGCATGATGCAACGAGGAATTGTGGGATTCCAATGGTCAACACGCCATTGGTTTGGGCATCATTTGGTAAAACTACGCAGGTTTTTGTGGCTATGCTATACAGCTCTCGTGTATTTCGTTCCTTGAAGCTCCAAATACTTGGGCGAAAGGTCGGACACGTCGCAAAACAGCACTTGGTACGAGCCGAAAAGAGGGTGCTATCATTCGGCAACGTTACAATTTCATACGCATGTTTGACACATTTTTTTAAACGGCACTTCGCGAGGAACACGCGGACACTGCATCAAGCCCCGGGGCAACAATCACCTTGCGCCTGTAGAGACGTGCGAAGCGCTCCTGGATATCGGCGAAGGTATGCTTGACGCAAGTGTTGTTGGCGAGCGCCAGCAGGGAGTGCGGGTAGCCAACAGGAGGAACCGAGCACAGTCCCGTCTTCCAGCCCTCCTCGTTCCAGTCGACAAAGTGCAGTGATGGCTTCAACCTGCCAACAAGGACCGCTGGCCTTTGTTATCATTGTTTTAGTTTAGGCAAAAGCCACTGTGCGCAGTGTAAATTTCTGTGGCTTCATTGCATGTACGTATTATTGACATTGAGTGGTTTTCAAAATGTATTGCGGAAAAAAATAATGCAACATTTTTACTTTATTTTTTTACTCAATTGTCATCCTAGGCCTAAACCTATATTCACATATTAAGGCGCATTCGACAATATGGGAATAATTATAAGTGTAATGTATGGATATAGGTGAAAGTTGCATATGTCCGTAAATGTCAATGACATGACAGTCATGAACTTTTGAATATTTTAAGCATGACTTATCGAAAAGTTTCAAATTATTTATTAACTTGAGTATTTTTCAAACCCGTTTATTTATAAAACCTATTAAATATTCATTTAACTTTATTGCTAACAAAAATCCAAATGATTTAAAACAATCAAATCACTGCCGGGGAGAATGTCCACCACCGAGAGGAAGTGATTAAATCGGCTCCTAGGCAGATTATTGAATTGCATGATCATGAGAGAAATCACAGCTTGTGGAGGTCTTCATCCAGCAGTGGACTGATCGTGGCTGTTGCTGGCCATGGTTATTAAGCAATGCAGGAACTTTCTATTTTTTTACAACGCACACAAGCTATACACACCATTGCTAGTTAGCAGACCGTTCAATACATAGCGTGCCCACGTGGCAAACTTATTCGTGAAACATGCAGCCAGGCACGGATGGTAACTCATCAAAGCGGAAGGCATTAATCACCTCTCAATGTTGCGACGAACGTCTGAGAGCTGCACATTTCCTCGTACCATGAGGGCACAGGCCAGGTACAAGCTGCGGCGAGGGTCAACGCGGAGCAGCTGGTTCTCTTTGCTGAATGCGTCGGAGAACATCTGGTCCAGCCTGCGCGCGTTCAGTCACAGCAAAGGGAAAGCAATGTGTGCTTGACTGGATTCTATTCCAATTTCTGCAGACGCATTTAAGACACTACGTGAAATTTCTCTCCCAGTGTTATAACAGCAGACTGTACAGGCAGCTGGGAATGGTGCCCACCACACACACCCAATGTGTGCCAGGCCAAATAGTGAACGTAACTGGTCCCCATGGATTGTTATAAATCTTATCAAGCTGAATAATTATCTGTACAACGTTCAGCAAAATGTATTGGCTGTGATGTGTTTTACCAACGTTGCCAATGATTATAAACACTTCTTTTGACAAGTTCAAATTAACGTGCCCTAACTTGCGCATTCGTAATGGAATGGACTCAAAAGAGTGAGCAATAACAAATATTCTTGCTTACTTGCAAAGTTCTTGAGTTCCAATTATTTACGGCTTTTAAGTTATAAATTCTCAGCAAGCCATTCAGCTTAGGAGTCTCCAAATTACCTCCTGGGTGGCAAGGCGACATCTGCCAATGCATAGAGCGGCGTGAGGCTTGATACAAGGTAATGTAGGCGTGGGAAGGGCACAAGGTTCATGGTGATCTCGTTGAGATCAACATTCAGTGAGCCTTCAAACCGAGACGAGCTGTCTCCCACAGGGAACATGAAACACAGCATGAGGGTGTCTTTTTCGTGCAAAAACCTGTTTCAAGCAAACTTAAACTGGAGTTAACATTATGGTACGACATTTGCACAATTGTCATGCATTGTACCTTCAGAGGCAACTGCACCAAATCTACTTGCATTAGTAAACATTAAATCATGATTGTTGTCATCGGGAATGCTGGCATCTCACATTGTTGCAATGTGAGATGCCACACAATCTATATCGATCCTGCACATGGGCCAATCTTGTCGGTCCATCCTCGATGGTCATATGCAATTGAGAAATATTTAATTATTAATAGACATTTGGTTCAGTGAAAACGGATGCAATCATCTAAAATCTATAACAAACCAAAGCCCTAAATAAACATTGATATTTCAAAACCATATGTAAAGATGCCACAGCTACATTGAGACTGCATGAAGAAAGTAACAATACATAGCTGAAGTAAAAATTCGGCCAAGAAGATTACAAAAATAAATTCAGTAACATAATTAGAGAAGGTACAACCATCTCAGGAGCAAAACCCAATGTAATGTGATGCTTTTTGTGCAGTCAATGGTGTTGCCCAACACACGGGCCCCATCTCTGTGGAACCACCAGTCAGTCCAGCCTTTATGTTGCTGCCCTACAGGAGGGTAGCACTCCCATCAGATCTACAGGCCACAGTATGCACAAAGAATGCAACCGCAGCCCTCCTCCCAACATTTTTTAAAGAAATGCTTGATTTTTGAAAGGTCTAAGTTAAATGACAGTCTGGTGTGTATTGCATCGGCACCAAGTGCTGGCCACCTCGTCATGTTCAGCATCAGGTTGGCCACGATGTTGTTCATGGTGTCGAACGGCTTCTCTTGACCCTTGAGGCACCCGTGGCTGGAGGACAGCGTTGTCTGGCTGCGGACTGATTTACCAAGGGCTGCTGCGTGATTGATCTTGTTTACTATGTCCACCAGCGCCTAATCCAAGTGAACACAAAAAAACGCTTTAACTGCTAAGTGCATTTATATGTAAAATGTTAAACTATATTTGAATACATGTATAAAAAAATATAATTCCCACAAACTTGATATATTACCTCTGTATGTTAACAAATTACATAATTCGCTATTTGAAGTGTATAACTTAATTTGTGGAAAGGTGTGTTTTAAGATGTAATCGCACATTTAACATGTGCTGTAAGTATAATTGGGATGGCCAAATCACTTGAAATGAGAAGCTAAGCAGGTTTGAGACTGTGTGTATATTGGATGGACAACTGCCATTCATAAAACAAACAGGAGCTCTAGGCTGCTGCGGAGCTATGTTGCGAGTAGATAGCAGTCCACAAAAATACACCGTACTGGACGATGCTCCAACGTCTATTTTCCCTGGAATTTGCCAAACCGCAACAGTGACCGGCATGATGAAGAATGTTCAAATAACCCCACGGCCCGCATGGTGCGGGGTAGGCCCTCATCCAGTAGTCTTGAGCTTAAACAAATACTGATGGAGTAAAACCCCATCCAGGTGCGAGTAGTGCTACAGAGTTAAAATACCACCTATGTTAATATTGCACAGATTTTTACAGTTGTGATGTGTAGCTCTCAGACGTATTTTCGGGTTGTACCACGTGTCGTTCGGCATGACGTCCGACGGTTCGCTGTACGTGCCGTGGGAGCTTCTTTAGGAACCTAATTTAGTTCATGAAGAAGCTCCCAGTACGCGAAGGAGCAAACCGTCACACATCATGCTAAACAACGGCTTCATTGGACAGTTGTCACACCTACATTGTGCCACCCCCCCGCCCCGGGCAGGCCACCTGGTTCTCAATGGGCAGCACGCAATCGGCGTGCTCCGTCAGCTCGCGCATGGCCAGCACGGAGTTGTAAGGCGAGGTGACGACGTCATCCTCGGCCGAGGGATACAGCGCCATCACAAAGCGGTGCACGTCCGGGAATTCATCCTCCAGAAGCCGCAGAACAAATGTGCCCAGCCCCGAGCCGGTGCCTATGGAGAAGAATTAATATCCGTCAGTGTAACATTGTCATGAAACCTGCTTCAGAGTGAGTGAACCATGTTTTCATGTTTCACTCAGGCTAAGGGCGTCGACTTTAGAGAGCCTCTTTATAGAGTGTTTGAACTACCTTTCCACGATGACCATACACATTCTTTGAAGTGGTTGGAGTACCCACATTTTACCCCACCACACGCAACTTGCTGATCAACTGCAGTGTACCCATTCATACTGTTGCCAAACATAATACACATAAAAGATGTATAGCTGTTAAGTCAATGTATAGCTGCATGAAGGTTCCCCATGCTATGTCAGTCGTGCAGTTGTTTGACCCTACCTCACAATGCTGGTCAGTGCGGCAAGGGGAGGCTCAGATGTCACTTGCCACTGACATTAGCCTTGACTGGGAATTGAACTGAGGTCAGTAAATGTATAGTACAGTGTGCTAACCTCTGGACCACAGCTCCACCCCCAGAATGTAATATACAAGTGATTTTTTTGAATCTGCTTACCATCCAAACATGAATCACTAAAGACCGTATATTATTCAGTTTTACTTTACTTACAGAAATATGTATTTTCATGTTAACTTTTGGTATGTTGCATGTTTTGATAGCAGTGGTTTTAGTCCTGGGCTAATTGTATTACAATTAAAACTGTTCTGTGATCAACAACTGTTAAATAAAAAATAACTTTTAAAAAATATACACACGTTTAACTAAAAACAAACACACACACACATGTTGGGGATGCAAGGGCAAAGAAAAATATCCATTCCTTGGCATTTTTGCAGAACGGCTCACAAAGCCAGACACAGCTTAAACTTTTGTGTCTGGGTTTGCGTGGAAATTTGATGAAACACTAACCTAACTCGCAATGTATCCCCATTGTCTCTTGAGTGCCAATATTATTTTTTTCCCTTCACTTCAACAAAAGTGTTTCATCTGGCCACCACACACTTAATGCAAGTGTGCACGAACTCACCCCCTCCCATGGAGTGGATGAGAAAAAAGCACTGCAGGGAGTCACAGTGTTCTGCCGTTACTCTCAGCCTTTCTAAAATCTTCTCTCTGAACTGTGCCCCATACACCTTGTTCCCTACAGCCCTTGGACACCACACAAAAAAAAACATGTCATGCATCATTGTTACTACAAATATCACAATCACAGCCTTTACAGTCTTTTTTGTACCAAATGAAATAACACGTGAATTTTGGATTTAAAAGGTCCACATTCTAACCACATATTTACTATAACCGCAGGCCGAGTCTTGCTTGAGTGCATTTCTGACCAGTTGTTTCCAGAGCCGGAGACGTCCGTAATGAGCTGCTTCTGGTCGAACACGTCCCTGAGTGGTCCCTGCAAGAGTTCATTCACCACGCCCTCCTCCATGTCTATGAGCACCGCCTGAAGTGCAAGCATCATCAAGCAGCATAGAATGTTACCGAATAATTGTACACACGAGTACAATTTGTATTCGCACCATTCTCATAGAAAAAGGCCAAAAGCCAATTACAAAGGTGTTATGCTTCACAGAAGGTATTGTCCTCCTGGAGGGAGAGATGTTGGTAAGTTTTTTTTTTTACATTTACATCACTAGAACATTTGTGGGCTATTGTAAATGGCAAGGTGGATAAGCAACAGAAGAAACAGAGACGCCAGATTATCGGATCATTGAAATTGGTGGAGCCGCATAGAAGAATCCTCTGGGCATATATACAGATTAGCTGCTAATGTAAATATACACTGCGCTGCAATTAGCAAGAGCATGTGACTGCCATTGCTTTTCTGAATAAGCACCATTGCCCAAAACAGCATTCCATTAATTAGTTTTATGCAAAAATGAAATGTTACTGGCGAATGATGTAAAGGTTTATTTTCATGAAAACTGTCAATCATGGCCCTTCTAAGTTCATCAAGCATCTGCTAGCATGTGAAATGCGAGGTTGCTATACTGGAATTTTGAGTGCACAAGGTACTCACGCGTGCCTTGAGAGAACGAATCGTGGACCGACTATCTACAGGGATGTCCACTTCTTCACCAGTCCCTGGCCTTCAAGACAACGTGCCAACAAGGACCATGTGTTTACAATGATGAAAACAACTAATTTAGTAACTAAGGTGAAGAGTTAAACAACTGCTCACAATGCATTTCTTGCATGCACAAGTAATGAAGCCACATAAATAGAGTTGGCTGGGCTACATCAAAGCCCAGCAACAATCAACTTTATATAATCGAGGGAAAATGTGAGCTGCTTCTTTCAGTTCAAGAAGAAGCTCCCAACATGTGGAACGAAATTTCACGCATCATGCCGAACAACATAAAAACACATTGGAGAATTGTACAGCAGTAGTCATTACTCTTAAGCTTACTCACTGAGTGTCCACATTCCTGAAAAAGCTGCTCAGGGCTTCGTCATAAATCCCTTTCTGTTGAAACAAAAACAAACAATTCAGTGGTAATGGTTCATGTGTGAATTGAGACTAAAGTGTAATATAATAAATGGTTTAAAAATACGAATTTTCCTTGTTGAAATGTAAATATTCTTAACTTCTTTTGCATGCATGTTATGCCCCAAAGAAGCTATTATGAAAAATACATGTTTTAACAATTAGTGGGATGTACCACTTATTTTATTCTCAATAGGGGTGATTTTGGGAAATTATTCACAAAAGCAGATTCAGTGTGAACACTTTGTGTTTAAGAATTAAAAACTAAAACTTAAGCAACAAAACACCCTCAAGAATAAACAACTCAAGGATATTTCCGTCACTGCAGTCTACGACCAAATCCCTTCAAAACCACCAGAAGTACTTTCCACTTGAACAATCATGCAGTGGATGTCACCCTTGATGTATCCTTCTGTGGTAGCCCAGTGCGCTCCAACCCCACTACAAAATATCTAGGGGATGCGATTCAAGCCCCACATACAATAGATCTGTGAAAAGACCAAACCAAGAATTGCCTCTTACGGAAACTTGCACGAATGTTCTGGGGTGCCTCAGCTAATGTGCTACGAACTGAACCCCTCTCACGGTTCTACTCAGTGGAAGTGGATTGTGCTCAAGCCTTGTAAACGAAATTGCAAGATGGATAATTAAATAGCACAATGCACATCAAGTCCCAATCCCCCTTCTGGGATCGTGCTGTCACCATCCTAGATTCTCACCTAAATGCCGAAGCATTCTGGCGAAGGAAGTGGAACGTGGGTTGTCCAGAATAAAAACCACATCCGAGACCCAAACATCGCGCTTCCTGGCTTTGACATTCCTCGAAGACACTGGTGTACCATCAACTACATCATAACATCGACAGGCCGATGCGCACATATCCTTCCTGAATGAAATGAAAAACAAACCACATTGTGACTGTGGCCATGACACACAAACTACGGACGATATAATAAAGCACTGCAGTATGCTCCCGAAGGAACAGCAACAAAACACAAACTCTCTCCCGAAGCCCTCTCGTGGCTAGCAAACCTCAAAATTGACATTTAGCTCCTGAACATATTTCCATAGACAATAGAATGATTATATCCTATAATCTGATCATCCTACAAGGTTAGGTGCAAAATTAGGCGAGATGGATGTGGCGTGCCAAAATTATTTGGAAGAATAGTTTTATGGACTCTTTCCTGCATGTCATGTGTGCTGTGGAAGCGTGGTGGACTGCAGGCTTTGCCTTGTTGACAGCAGCATGCTCCCGCAATGCCAGGTCCCAGAAGCGGCAACCAATCTGATTTCCACACTGTCCCACTGCAAAGGGTACACACACAAAATCACCATTTTATTTATATATATATCTCGTAGGCTTTTAAAACGGTCACACTTGTGCTGGCTTTTCAACGTAAACCGGCTTGATGCAAACCCAAATAAATTGGCACGTTTGCCCACGTGACAACTTGATTTGTTTGGCTGTCGGGTGATGGAGGGTTATGACTAATTGATATTACACTTAAACGATAATCTAACCCGAAAAAACCCAAGAATCACCTCGGCCATACCTGCCAGTGGAGAATATGTAGCATATGGCCAGAATTCGGCGGTTCTAAAAATTCAGTCATTGCTTTTTTCACACGTGTGTATGTTGAACTTTTTTCGTGCCATACGTAGCCAACCGTGCTAATCGGAGGTGCGGGGGGGGGGCAACAAACTAAACACATAAATTAGTTTTCAATCTAGACTTCAAGTCCACCTTTAACGGTGTTTACATGTCAATAATTCTCAGATAAACGCCACACGCGTGTGGCACGTGCGCGTGACGCCACAAGGGGGTGGGGCGCGCTCGAGACAGCCGATACACGAGGCGGTTGTTATGGTTACCGATGTAGCGTTCGTCATTAATGGACTGCCCAAGTTATTTAAAGCACTAACATTGCTAAATAAGCACTTACTCACTATGTACATGTGTATTGTTACGAGACCATTCCCGCGTGAAATCACATTGGTCTACAGTATTCGTAGGGAGCCGAGGAATAAAGAAAAATAAACACGCTTAACGCGCCCAACGCCTGCTAAGCATATCTAGCGACAGCGTGTGATGTGACAACGCTTGCCCCAAGTTAGAGGCTACACGGTGGATATCCATTCGTCTTTGCTGCACACACAGCGAAGGTTTATACAGGCCGCACAAACGACAAAGTCTGTACCAACGAGACAGTGCAGAGTGCAAGCCATGCAGCACACGCGAATCTGTTTACGAAGTTACGAACGACAGTGCAGGAAGAGCGTACGGATTCTTCTTTACACGGTTAATCATATGTACAAATAATTCGTTCTTCAATTAAAAGTCCCTCTGTCAAGTCACTGTTGGGTGAACACTCTCCCCCCATGCCGGCTCTGCCGTCACTCGCCACTGATGGCAGCCGTGACCGGGAACCAACCACAGGTCGCCGCGTTCACAGAGCAGTGCGCCAACAACTACGCCAGCGCTAAGATTCGATTTAGAAACTCATGCGACCGATACGAAGTTACAACCGAAGAATGTAATGCGTGGACGTTCGGCAGCCGTTGTTATCCATTCAAACGCTCCCGCGCGATTTGCATACGCACCCTGCACCACCACCGACTGCGCCATGTCTTCCAAGCGAAGACTTCTGGAATGATCGAAAGCAAAAGCCGCCCCCTTGCCCCCCGCGTCTTCGATTCCCGGGTCCCGCGGCTGCTCGCCGAACCCTAAACGGGACAGCCGACTGCGACCCCTTTCCCGCGCCTTCCCGCCGGAACCCGCCGGGGTGTGACGTCATTTTTATATGGGCGATGACGTCATCCTACCAAATACATGACGTCGTGTCCACGGTTGCCCGCGGTGACGCGGACTACTTTCATGATGAGAGAGGCACCGCTTATCATCGGTAGCCCGTGATCAAAACCTCCTGCTTGGTTAAAGGCCTCCTGCCCCAATCCGTCGCAATCTTTAACCGCGTAAACGCTCATTGATCGGTCGATGACACGAGAATATAACGCCGCAGAGCTCTGTGTGTTTGGGGTATTTGGTCTGGAATGCTATTGCCAATAAACTGCAACTTGAATCACTACCTATGGGATCTTCACTCAAAACTGCTCTAGAGGAGTTGTGCACCCCTAGCTGCCACTGTTATTCATTGGCGTAAAATAAAATGAAATGTTTCGCTCCGGATGACCGCTGCAAAGTATTATCTGTATTTAGATTTAGCGTGCTGATCTTAAAGGTGCATTGAAAAATTTGATACTCCGACTGATGCTCCTGCTGTTTGCGGAGTGACTCATGCAGCCAGCTGTGGCTCTAGGGTTTGGTGTTACATGTTATTTATGTAGTTTATTGTAAAAATTCGGTCAGTTCCTATGATCACTGTTACATTGCATTTATGGCTTTATTTTGGTGATTTCTAAAAGTTTTTGGTTTGGCCATGTTTTTGTTTATTGTAGTACGGAGTTAGACTGATGGCCATAATCTAAGTTTTCTTGTTGTTTGACTTGCATCCCACTGGGATTTTTGCACACAGCGTTGGTGTACGGTGCTATTTCACTCAAAACTGCTCTAGAGGAGTTGTACACCCCTAGCTGCCACTGCTATTCAGTGGCCTAAAATATTTTGATGTTTTTTCCTGGATTTTCTGTTTGCACAGCACACAAAGTCACTTTAAGAAGTTTTCTTGTTCATGTTTTTTGTTTGTTTGCTGCGGTTGCACCCAATTCAAGGGCCGAATGGCTCACAGGGCTATACCAAATAAATGAAACTATGAAACTAAGCTATTGGCGCCAGTGCATGCCATGGCTGCTGTGGTTTGCTCCTCCACTCTTCCCGCTCGTGTCCAATCAACGTCCTTAGACGCCCTCTCGCGGCCGCCTTGTTATTAATGTGATCGACATGTTCGGTGAGGCCACGTAACTATTCCTGTATTGTACCACGACTGCCTCTACTCGTGCGCCGTATTCTCACGATTATAAGACACTTGCAAACGTTTACTTTTCAACTACAGCGCGTCTATTAATAATAAAAAACGAACGTTTTTATTATTAATAGACGCATGGTGGCTGTGTTGTGGCTATATTTGTATAACTATTTGACACCGGACACAAGTGTTTGGGGTGCGTTTTACTTTCCCGAGTGTCTTATAAATCAGATAATACGGGTATAGCATGGTGTTTTTAATACTTACGGTGTTATAAGCCAATAACGAATGCGTTTGACAGCTCGGGCCTATACTCTTTGGTTTTTTCGGTAAAGTCACGTAGGTATAAAATAAAATAAATCACGACGTTCCGGGCGCAACACAAGCGTCCGTTATCAGGTGGGAAAGCCTCGTCTGCTGCTGAGGCAGACTGTTTTAAAAGGTTTTAAATGGGTATAGCCCAAGGGTCAGAAAGAAGTGGCCGGGTCTAGTGATGTTAATGTGAGAAATTAGCATGTAGCTGTAAGATAGAAGGAGAGATCCATCGCAATGGTATTGGAGGGGCCACCAGCCCCTTCGCACCTGCCCAGAGGCCCCTGCTAGCCACGGTGGCAGCTGCGCCCATCGCTCCCCCGTCCATTCGCCACGATGTCACAACCCTCCTCCGGGAAGTCCAACGTACGTCTCTTCATCCGCCAGGAGGATGTCGTCAATAACGTCCCAAACCAACGCTTGAATTCGCTCAAGCCATTTTGGGGCCCACGCGCTTAACCCTTAATGCAATTTAAACCTTGGTGATGGAAAGCCAAATGGAATTCACAAAACGTTGCAAACAAATACCTCGTGAGTAATAATAGGACATGGGTTATCTGGCTTCGATCTTCCACGAAGCATATGGCCAGCCATTTCAACCACAGCCGGACAAACCATGGCAGATGCAGATATTAAATGACAAGTGGAAAACTAAAAACTCTCCGGTGTGCGACTGTGGTCAACCAGAATAGACCATGGGGCATAAAATGGCTCAATGACCGATTCACAAATACGAAGGAGGCATCGTAACGGTGATACACTCCGCTACTCCTGATGCAATGATCTGGCTCAGCCACAATGTACAATTTTAGTTGTTGCTCTGCATCAACAGCCATACGAAGAAGACTAAATAACTGTTTTATGATGTACAGTCCCTGGAGAGCCTAGTAATGTATTATACAGGGTGTTTTAAAGAGATGTACCCAATTTCAAAGAAGTATATTTCACAATGGCAACATGTTACAATTACACAAAAGTTACAAACGGTTTAATGAGTTATTAAGTTTTACTAACCATTTTATAAATGCTCTATGTACCCTCCACCTGCTGTATGGACAACATCGAGACGATAGTTGAATTCGTCCCAAATGCTTCTCAAAGTGTCTTCTTCCACTTAAGTCACCGCTGCCGTGATTCTGTTTTTGAGGTAATCCCGATTAGTCGCTAATGGTGGCACAAAAACACATGGTCTTTTGTGCCACCGTGCTCTTTGACATTGGCGGATCAATGCCAAAACGCCGTTAAAACGCACGCTGCACCGCAATTACGGATTCAGTCTTGCGGAACTGCAGAACGCAAAACGCCCCTTGTGTTGCGGGGTCACCATCTCGCGAATGACTGAGGCTTGGGGCTGTTTGTGCGCTGGGAGAGGCATCTAGCAGTGACCATTTGAAACTCTATGACCCGCCCTTTCAAGTGGTAAGAGTTTCATTCATGGGCGGTTCGTGCTTGCAGAGATAAAGCGATTTCAAATCAGGTCCATCTTAGTAATACACTGCGTGTATATATATAAACCTTCTGGCGACGAGTAATGCCCAAGCCCACTTTTCAGGAATAAACTAAAGCGATTTACAGATAAATAACGTCGATACACTATCATGATACATTGAATGCCCATACACTTTTAATGAAGAAGACAATATATTCTTGGTTCTTTCGGTAAAGTCATGTAGAAGGGAAACAATAAAATAATAAAAAATATAAAACAATAAAATTCTCACGACGTTTCGACTGCAACACAAGCAATCATCATCAGGTGTGAAAACCACAGCAGGAAAATTTGAAAAAAAGTGTCGGTTATTTTACGTTAGCACCACGGAGAGCGATTTGGCAGTTATTCAGATGGACGAGTCCATCTATGTTCGGAAAAGAGGAGGGGGGAGACGAAAATAATGGATGCGGTCTGAAAGCCACCGTAAGCATGAACAATCAATTAAGACCCGAAATGGTTTATCAAATCCTTCCAATGATTGCTAAGCCAGAATCCATCTTCTCGGTTGAAATTGTCTCTGTGTTTGTATATGTGGATAGCCTCATGAACGAATCTCTCATGGTAGCCAGATGGCTTGCAAAGAACCTCTGTCTTGGAGAAGTCAATGTCATGTGAGCTTACTGAATTATAACAGTGATCTGCCACGGCCGAGGTGTTGGTTCTACCGTGTTTTAGGTCTGCTTTGTGTTCACAAATGCGGTCCGAGACATGTCGTTTGGTTTCTCCAATGTAACTACTACCACAGAGGCAACTTAGTTTGTAGACACCAGGGTACTGTATGTTCGGAATCACATCTTTTACAGACGGAACTAGATCACAGATTTTATATGATGTGTTCAATCGGACCTGGATCTTGTGTTTATTCAAGGCCGAAACCGGATTCCCACCACCATCCATCCCAGAAGAATCCCCTCATCAAGACTCTGAACCATAGAGCCCAATGCATATCCGACCAGGAACACATAGCCAGTGAACTCAAGCACGTACACCAAGCTCTTAAGGCTAATGGTTACTCCAACTACACAATCCGCAAAGCTGTCACTCCAACCATGAAGAAGGACCCTCTTGAGGAGCCTTTCAAAACTATCACTTTACCCTACATTGCGGGGATCACAAAAAATATCTCCAAAATCTTGAATAAACACATGATCCAGGTCCGATTGAACACATTACATAAAATCCGTGATCTGGTTCCGTCTGTAAAAGATGTGATTCCGGACATACAGTACCCTGGCGTCTACAAACTAAGTTGCCTCTGTGGTAGTAGTTACATTGGAGAAACCAAACGACATGTCTCGGACCGCATTCGTGAACACAAAGCAGACCTAAAACACGGTAGGACCAACACCTCGGCCGTGGCAGATCACTGTAATAATTCAGTAGGCTCACATGACATTGACTTCTCCAAGACAGAGGTTCTTTGCAAGCCATCTGGCTACCATGAGAGATTCGTTCATGAGGCTATCCACATATACAAACACAGAGACAATTTCATCTGAGAAGTCGGATTCTGGCTTAACAATCATTGGAAGGATTTGATAAACCATTTCAGGTCTTAATTGATTGTTCACGCTTACGGTGGCTTTCAGACCGCATCCATTATTTTCGTCTCCCCCCTCCTCTTTTCCGAACATAGATGGACTCGTCCATCTGAATAACTGCCAAATCGCTCTCCGTGGTGCTAACGTTAAAAAAAACGCCACTTTTTTCAAATTTTCTTCCCGCGGTTTTCACACCTGATGATGATTGCTTGTGTTGCAGTCGAAACGTCGTGAGAATTTTATTGTTTCATATTTTTATTATTTTATTGTTTCCCTTCTACGTGACTTTACCGAAAGAACCAAGAATATGAATCCCTGCAGTCACGAAAGCTTTAAATCAAAAAGAAAAAGACAATGTCTACGTAATTTTATTCATCAGTCTATGAACATTCCCTTATCTCTTTGCATATAACACTTTGTTCTCCGTGTTGGTCGAACGTTTCTCCTAGAGCGAGATTTTAAAATGTCTTATATATTATATATTCAAGAAAAACAAATTCGCAATCCCAAATGACGTGCCTCTGTGCCAATACTTCA